GGTGCTTCTGCAGTCGTTTTAGCACTTCCCTGACGTCCCTGACATGTTGCTCCTCATTGTCCGAATAGATTAAGACGTCGTCCAAGAAGGCTACGCAGTTCTTGTACAGCAGGGACCCCAGCACGTGGTGCATGAATGCTTGAAAACAGGCGGAGCCCGACTGTAATCCAAAAGGCATAACTAGGTACTCAAAGGCCCCTAGGGGTGTGAACATTGTGGTCTTCCATTCGTCCCCTTCCCTCATCCTAATCAAATTGTATGCTCCCCTGAGGTCCAGCTTGGTAAAAATTTTCCCTTGCCTCACCCGTGTTAAAATGTCGTCAATCCTGGGCATCGGGAAGGTCACGGGTTCTGACACCAAATTGACGGCCCTATAGTCCACAACAAGCCTGGGTTTATTTGTGTCCTTTTTGTCCACAAAGAACACCGGACTGCCCCCCACCGCTTTCGATTCTCTTATGAAGCCTCTTTTCAGGTTCTTGTCAATAAATTCCCGCAACTCCTTCATCTCCCTGTCCGACATGGCATACAGTTTACCCACCAGCAGCTGCGCCCCCGGGAGCAGTTGATTTGGCAGTCAAAGGGCCTATGGGGGGGTAGTCTATCCGCCTCCTTCTCGCTGAAGACCTCCTGCAGGTCAGCATATTGTGGTGGCACCTCCCCTTTCTGCTCCACAGCTATCCCAGCCACCCTGGCCACGGTCATTCTTGGGGTTTCCCCCCCTAGACAGTGTTCCAAACAGTAAGCGGACCCAAAGGTGACCGTCCTCTGATGCCACGCCACCACTGGATCATGTTGTGCTAGCCAGCTCATCCCATTGGGGGCCCTGCCAGTGAGGCTACGTGAAAGGCGATGGTCTCCGAGTGCCTGGAAACCCTCATTCTCATTGGTGGGGTCTGGTGTGTCACTTCCCCTCCCAGCAGCTCTCTGCCATCAATGGTGGTTACTTGCAAGGGGAAATCTAAGGGCAGCAGGTGGAGCTGGTGCTCTAGTGCAAAGTCCTTGCTGAAGAAATTGCAGGAACTGCCTGAATCCAACAGCCCTTTCACCTTGACTGGGTGCCCATTCGGGAGTTCTAGCACCACTTCTATGGCTATAGCCGCCCTGGGGGGGTCTGCTTGGGGCACTTCTATTGGTTGCTGGCCTGGCTGCTGTGCCCGCTGAGTGGCAGCCAAGCGTTGTCGTTTCCCGGCTCCTTTGCTTTTTCCACCTCCTCCTCACCCCCTGCAGCTCCCACCATTCCTTGCCAGGCCTTTCTTTGAGGGCAGACCCTGGCAAAATGTCCTAGCCGCTGGCAGAGGAAACACTTCTTATTAGTTTTCCAATCCTTTCCCTCCTTCTTGCGACCGTCGCTGGAATTTGAAACCTCCCGCGCGCGCGCCCCATTTATTTCCATTGGCTCCGCCGGCGGGGAAGGCTGCCTTGGTATTTCAGGAATGCGGTAGTCATGGTAACGTTGCTCTCTCCCTTCCCGCTTCTCCTGAGCCCGCGCTTCCTGCCTTACACCAATCGCAAGCACAGCCTTGGTCAGCTGATCCATCGACTGCGGGCGGGGTGCGGGAAAGCTCGTCCTTCACCGTTGGGGACAACGCCTCCTCGAACAACATTTGAATGGGTTCAGAGTCCAGTTCCCACCCGAGCCGGTGAACTAACATGGCAAAGTGTGACCAGTAGTCTCTAACTGACTGGTGCCCCTGTTTACAGTTCATCAGTTCCCGCCGAGTCACACTTTGCTGCACATCACTGGAGTACATTGTGTCCATCGCCTGGAAAAATTTCCTCAGGTCCTTCAAGGCGGCATTCTGCGTTGCCATTAGGGGCCTGATCCCTGGCCCCATCCTGCAGATGCCCAACAATATAAGCTACCCGCTCCCCGTCGTCTGCAAAATCATTCTGCTGCAGTTCCAAAGCATACTCTATTTCCGTCCGGAACGCACTATAGTCCTGAGGCTTCCCTCCAAATTTGTGTACCAGTCCCGGTACCTTCCTTGCTACGGGGGTGAGTCTGACCTGTGCATCTTGAGCCCGCCTTTCGTCCAGCCGCGCCGTTAGAAGAGCCACATGCTGCTCCAAATCTCGGTTCCTCTCCACCAGATTTTGCACTCCTGCTGCTCCCTCCGTGGCGCCAGCTTCTCCGGTTTTGCTCATGATGCTGCCTGCCGCTGTGCACAAGCAACGTCAGGGACTGACAGATTGCTATAATGGTATGGGGTTGCTCGTGCGTAAGTTGCCGCCTCTCCTGGCTATGTTGCCTTGTTAAACCTTTCTGTCTGGACAGCCCTTCAATTCGTAGCTGCCTCAGTCGCTAGCAGAATCCGTCAGTGGACGTTTCTTAAACCTTTTCCAACATAAAAGTTGTTTGACACCCAGTCTCCTCCTACTTTCTCTGCGCGGAAGTCTTCTGCGCAGGGAGGGCGTGGGTAACGGAGGACCAGTGCTCTCCCCGCTGGTGTCCGGTGAAGAGTCTGGGAGCCCTCTCGCCGATTTCCCCATCTGCCCCTCCTTATTCCTGGTGTTGCACTGAATTGCTTCCCCATCTGCTGAGCTGCCTCTCTCCCTGCTGGGCCCTTCTCCAGCATCATTAGAGAGCCTTCCCTCCACCTCTAGCTCCGATGTCAGTTCCCTGACACCTAGGTATTTAACTTTCTTGACCAATGTTAATCCTGTCTCCTTCTGAAACCTCTCTCTTTCAATCCCTGTCAGATTTTTCTCTAAAACCTTAGTTTTCATCTTATTCAGCTTAAAACCCGCAACCTGACCAAATTCTTGAATCAATTCCAATACTCTTTTAGTACTAGATTCTGGCTCCTGTAATGTCAGTACCAAATCATCGGCAAATGCTTTCAATTTGTACTGTTTAACTCCGACTTGTATACCTTTAACCATTTGGTCCCTTCTAATCATGTTTAAGAGAACCTCCAAGACGGATATAAAAAGCAATGGGGAAATTGGGCAACCTTGTCGTGTTCCTTTCTCTATCTTAAATTCTTCCGTCACTACATTATTTACTATTAATTTAGCCTTTTGTTCTGAGTAAATTGCACCTATACCATTTCCAAAACCTTGGCCAACCCCCATCCCCTGTAAATTCTTCATCATAAAACTCCAGGAAATATTGTCAAAGGCTTTCTCCGCGTCCACAAATATCAAAACTGTTTTAGTGTTAATTTTCACTTGTAATTTTTCTAAAATATTGATTATATTCCTCGTATTGTCAGACAAATGTCTGCCCGGGAGAAAGCCCGCTTGATCTTTATGAATTTCTTCTACTAGTACTTTTTTTAATCTTTTAGCCAAAATGTCTGCAAAAATTTTATAATCCACATTAAGCAAAGATATGGGGCGGTAATTCTTGAGCTGTGTCTTTTCGGACTCTGTTTTCGGTATAAGTGTGATGTATGCTTCCTTCCACGACTCTGGTGCCCTTTTCCCTTCCAATATTTCATTACAGACTTCTTTTAATGGCTGTACTAACCATTCTTTCAAATATCTATAATATCTTGAAGTCAAACCGTCCGGTCCTGGAGATTTACCCAATTGCATATTCTGGATGGCCCCTTCTACCTCCCGTTTTGCGCAACTTCAGGTTGCGCACCATGCCGAACCCGGAAGTACCAGAACAGGTTACTTCCAGGTTTCGGCACTTGCGCATGCGAAGAAGCGCCGAATCGCACTCGCACAGACGCGGCACTGTGGGTTGCGAACGCTGCTGGTTGCGAACGTGCTTCCTGCACGGATCATGTTCGTAACCCGAGTGTCCACTGTACTTGATGGGGACAGACTATCATTAGCACTTAACTCCAGGGCTCAAAAGTCTGCTGTGGCTGCCCATAAACTACCGAGCCAGGTTCAAGGTTCTTGTACAACTATGCACTTTTTGATGAAAGACTTTCTTCAGTCTTGGGCTGGACAGCCATTCATATATAAAGCAAATCGAGGACTGTTCTCCATAATGCAGGACACATGGCCACCCATCTAAATTTCTAGATGTGCGTAGGGCTGCCATATGCCCAGACATTAATGTGATTTCAAAGGCGGAATTGACGTCTTGGGGAAATTCTGAAAGGTGTCACTTTGTCCTGGAACTTGTCAATAAAAAAATCATGGGTTTTTTGGATGTTTTTGTAAAAATAAAAAAAAGCAGCTCCACAACTTTGGGGTTTGTCGGAAAAAAAGCTCAACAACATTTGGGGTGTGCTGAGTTTTTTGAAAATATGTGGGTAACCTGTAACCCTCCAGATATTGCTGAACTACAACTCCCAGCATCCCTGCAACTGCAAATCCCAGCATCCCTGCAACTAGCCATACTTGTTAGTGCTGATGGGAGTCATAGTTCAGCAACATCTGGAGGGACAAGGATCCCCCGCACTTGTTCTAGCATCAGGTAGAAGCTTGGCAGCAGCATTTTGAACTCACTGAAGTTTCTGGACTGTTTTTAATGGTAGTTTTTGGCATAGAAACAACAAAGAAGAAGGAAGAGGAGAGAGAAAGAGAGAGAATACACACACACACACACACACACACACACATTTCAAATAAAAATTCATGACAGCTTTATGATTAACTGATTATAAAGGGAATTAAGCTTGCTGCTTCCCTTTGAGCACTTTTGAGGTGCCGTTCATGCTCAAATTAGAGCTGGCAGACAGGCTGGAGAGAGAGAGAGAGAGAGAGAGCGCACACACAAACAGTGCTCCTGGCTCTTGTGGCTGACACCGTTTCTGACAGCTCCAGTACATCCCTGACACCAATTTACAAAGATTGCAGCCGAAACAAAAACATTATCAGATCTGTAATTGTTCAAGACAAGGCCAAGGCCTTTCCCCTTGACGCCTTCTTGATGCCAGAACAGAACAGGGTGCGTCATGTTTCCCTAGTGCCCTGGCAGGAGCTCTCTTACGATATCAACATTTGATTTGCTGCTGCTTTTTTTGTGTGTGAGCAGGACTTACCCATAATATTAGCAGCGGCGGCACTGCTGACTTCTTAGCCTGCCTTAGGGAAGGGCCCTAACTCAGTGGTAGAGCACCTGCTTTGCATGCAGAAGGTTCCAGGTTCAATCCCTGGCATTTCCAGGTAGGGCTGCGAATAGCCATCATCTGAAACCCCGGAGAGGTGCTGCCAAGTCAGTGTAAGCAATACTGAGCCGAATGGACCCCAATGGTCTGACTTCTGCTCAGTGTAAATTAGCTTCCTATATTCTTGTATTGTCCTCTGTTTCCTGGCTATTTCAGCTCCCCTTTCTGGAGAAAGATTCAGAGGTGCAAAGGAGGTAACTAGATAACATTCATGGGGGGGTGGATCTTGCCTTGAGTGCCGGGTCATGACCCGCCCAGGTGTGCAATTAAGGCATGCTTCCAGGTAAGGGGAGATCTTGATTGGCCTTTCCCAGTTAAGAGGGCCTAGTTGGGATGTATGTCATATAAGTCAGTCCGGAAAGGCATCTGTGTGGGGCTCCATAACACTGGTATAAACGCACATGTACGTCACTCACCAGTCCTTTTTAAAATATGGTTCTGGCCCCCACCACAATGCAACCTGTCCCTCTGGCATCCCTTGCAAACTCCGGAATGTAGCGTCTTTCCCTTCTCCCCTCCCTCCCTCCAACCACCGTGATATTATTGAATTGGCAGACCAAAAAATGCCAACAGATGCCACTGGGTATAAAGAGACAGGTGGTGCCGGTGCGTCAGAGAAGGGACTTCCTCCAGAAACATGGCACTTACTGAGGCATGTGGGCTGCCCGCTGCCTTGTGACATCTCTCTCCCTTTCCTTGTGAGACAGTCCTCCTGTCCGTCAGAGTAGGCATTCTGCCACTCCCACCAGGTGGCTATTGCAGAGGCAGAAAACAGATTTTATTTTATTTTTTGCCTGGAGTTCTGTGTCCTGCTCTAAGCCAGCAGATCTGGACTCTTGCGTTTTGTTTTGTTTTTGTCCCCCCCCCACCCCCCGCTTTTTCAACCTAGGCTATTTTATTCGGTTCCATTTCCTTTTTTGTTGCTGGTTATGTCACAGGAAGATTTCTAGTTTCAGCAGGAGCTTGCTCAAGTAGTGACATCTTGTGCTGCCAATCTGTTGGTGTACTGCACATTCCCAAGCAAGAGGCAGATGTCAAACACACACACACCCCCTAGTGAAATTCACACAGGTGTGAATATTAATATTATTATTATTATTATTAATTATTATTATTAATAATAGAATTTATTGGTAACTTTACCTTGCCCAGGACAACCCATACTTAAAACCAACCAGATAACCCCCTCAGATTGATACATTAGAACCAGGGGGGGACACACATCCCCCCCACTTCTAAAAGGCCACAGTTTGGGCTTATCCACACATTGTCTGGTTCTGCTTCTTTCCGCTGGGGAAAACTGCTCTTCAGGGCTCAGTCAGACAAGTGGCAGTTTGGGTTTCCCCAGATTGTCATTTGTTCCAATCTATCATTAAAAAGCAGGTTTTCCCTTGTAAAGAAGTGGGACAAGGGAAAAACCACTCTGACCCGTGTGGGTCAAGCAGAAAAATGCTTGGACCCATGCTTTCTAGACAACGTACAAGTGGGAGTTAAAGGCCAAAGGCAGGCATCCCCAAACTTGGCCTCCAGATGTTTTGGGACTACAATTCCCATCATCCCTGACCACTGGCCCTGTTAGCTAGGGATGATGGGAGTTGTAGGCCTAAAACAGCTGGAGGGCCGAGTTTGGGGATACCTGTTATAGAGGAAAGTTTTTGCCTGGCGCTTAAAGAGAGGTTGCATACCTTTTAATTTAGGCATGTCCAAATGTCACACTGAACAAAGTTTCAAGATGTCCCTGCGCATGTACAAGTGTCTGTGGGCAGAGGTGTACACTTGTTGACTTGTACAGGTCAACTATTTGTGTACACAGACTGCACACTCACTGAATGTTGCCTGTGAATATCTGTACAAGTGTGGAGCTCAGCTAATGTACACCTGCTGAGTGCAACTTGTGAACACACCTTACATCTCTCTCACACAAGAGCAGAAAAGGCACAGGAAAATGTTGACTCCACCCATATACAACAATGGCCAATGCCACCTAGTGACTAAAGTATATAATGATGCCATGCACCCATTAGGAACCTTTTGTGGAAATGCACAATTTAGAAACCTGTACATGTGTCCGAGGGTACTCTTCTATATACCCAGTGTCTTGGCTCCCAACCTCAGATACAGTAGTCTCTGCTCAAGGAAACCCAAATGTTTTACTGAAGAGGTCAGCACACTGTTTAAGCTCAGAGTACAGGCTGCAAGAGGGGAAGGACTGAGCTACAATGGTAGAGCATCTGCTTTGCAAGCAGACAGCCCCAGGTTCAATGCTGGCATCTCCAGGTGGGTCTGAGAGATTCCCTTGCCTGGAGAGCCACTGCCAGCCAGTGTAGGCAGTACTGAGCTGGAGAGACCATCGCTCTGATTCAGTACGAGGAAGCTTCCTAAAGTAACCATGAGGGAGTTTTTTTCTCCATTTTTGAAAGGCTGTTTTTTTTAAAAAAAGTTTCATCTTGAAAGCACTTTCTCGTGATGAAATCAGAAGGTGTTTCATCCAGTCATTTAAAAAAATATATTATTCTCATCCATTAATCTGCTCCAGGGCTTTTTTCTAGCTGGAGCTCACAGGAACTCTGTTCTGGCACCTCTCAGGTGGGCACCATTGCCATTCTAAGAGAACAAGGGTGAGTTCCAGCTCCTCTTTTTCTAGAAAAACAGCACTGCATCGTTTGGGAGCTTGTGTTGGGAAAGTGGTGGTGTGCCACATCAAAGCCAGGAACTTTTGCCGCATTGTGGCCCCTTTTCACCTACACCACCAACCCCCCAGGGGACAACTCCACACAGACAGGCCCCTTTGAGACGTCCCCCACTCCCTGCTTCTTCTTCTTTTTTGTCACACAGTTCTCAACTTCCTCAATCTAACAATCCTTGGTTTTGCTTGCTTGCTCCCCCCTCCGGCTCACCCACACCCAACTTGTTTTTCCTCCACTGCCATCTCCACACGGGGCTGCTTCTGTGGCCTGCTATTACGAGCTCCACTTTGCAAACCCACCAACTCTTGCAGCCTTGAAGGGTTCCAGGAAATGTAATTAAAGGCAGAATGTAGCCCCTGGAGATTTCTGAGGCGGTAAAGGGCACTCCCTCTCACCCTGAAACTCTCCATTCTTCTTCCCGCACACGCTTTAATCGGTTGCTAAGGCAGTGGCTGCGCTGAAAAACAGTTTGTTCCCTTTCTCCCTTTCTCTCTCTTTATTATTGTGTTTATGAGCAGGTGGAACATAAATTGCTTGTTTTTCCACACAAATAGCTAATAGGAAAGAGAGGAGGAAAGCGGGGAGATGGGGAGGAGTGAATGAAAGCGCCCCAGCACCACAACATGGCAAAAGGTGGTGGGTTTAAAAGGAAAACTTACTTGGGAGAACATTCCACAACTTGAGCATGAATAGACACACGGGGGATGACTGAGGTAAACAAAAGGCGGTCATGGAAGGCCAAGACCAGGTATTCAGAGGGTTGGTTGGGAGGGGAAGGGAAGAAGAATGAGGCACGTTGGTTGGGTCCTTTTCAGCCTGCAAGGCCAGCCAAGCTGAATGTGAGAGGCCTTCTTGAGCTCTTCTGCCTCGCTGTCGACGTCATTACCTTGACATTCGTGTGTGTTCCCAACAGCTCACAGAGCTGACGTTTGGCACGGCGCGTTTTACCATGTATTAGACACATTGCGCTGCTGAGGAAAACAAAAGCAGCTGAAGTGAAGAGTGTGTGGGAGTAAATGAATCACTTAAAAGTGTGTGTGTGTGTGTTTGTGTGGAGGGGTTGTTCTAGAAGAGAGCAGATCATCGCCATTCAGAGAGTTTGTTCTCGCCAGTGGGCAGCATTTCAAAAGATAGGCTTATCAGGGCCCTTGGCGGAAGATCATTTTGTCCTGTGATGTGGCGATACGTAGTCTTTGGTACATCTGGCGAATGCAAGCTTTTTGTGAGGAATCATTTTTCCTCATGACTGATGCTATGGCTCGGAAAATAGAACATCCACGCCATATTTCCTTAACACCTACTCGGTTGGCAGAAGTGCAAAAAGGAAAGGGGGGTGGGATAAATTGGTCTCATAAGATGTCTGTCGATCTTTCTGCGATTATTTTTATTCTATCATAGATAAATGGGTCTGTGTCATTTACGACCCCCTTATGGTGGCTAGGATCTCCTGTGACTCAAAAGACTGAGAAGCAGGGGGTTTGGTGATGTCACAAATTCGCCGTTAGTGATGTCAGAAGATGGTGATAGCACACACTTGTCATATCTTGTTGGAGGGGAGGTATGATACACTAGCAGTCTCATGCCCGCTTAATAATTCTTAAAAAACCTAAATAGAACCAGTACAGTTTTGAAATCAGTACAGGTTTGAAAGGGCCAGGCTGCCATGTTGATTCAAAATGACATTCAGTTATATCCAAATATAGATGGAAATCTTCTCTTTGATTGTGGGAGCCATCATGAAAAATTCAGTTACGACATCTTAAGATGTGTCCAAATACAGAATGAGCAGACAAACCACTTTCTAGAATATATAGTAGATAGGTTAAGAACATGCGTAAAGCTTCGATGGATTAGGCTGAGGGCCCATCTAGGCCAGAATTCTGTTCTGACAGTGGCCACCCAGATGCTTATGGGAAGACTGCAAGCAGGACCTAAGCACAACAGCATTCTCAACACTTGTGATTCCCAATAGCTGGTGTTCAGTATCATACTGCCCTCCAACAGCAGAAGCAATATACAACCATCATGACTAGTAGCCTTTGCCATCCATCTCCTCTATAAATTTGTCTGACCACTTTTTAAAGCTATGCAACAAGGGTACAGTGAATAAGAATATACGGAGAGCCCTGCTGGGTTAGAGCACTGGCCCATCTAGACCAACATCATGTTCTCACAATGGCCAACCAGATGCCCATTATGAGAAGCCTGAAAGCAGGACCTAACAGCTCCATTTCCCACTTGTGGATTCCCATCAACTGGTATTCAAAAACACATTGCTTCCAACAGTGGAACTGGAATGCAGCCATTGTGACTGCAAGCAATGGCCAGCAACATTTTCTTGCAGGATACACTTGTATTTTATCATTATCTCTTCCTGCGGGGTTTGAGATCTACAATTTTTCTTGTCTGTATTGAAAATTGCTGACATTCTTGTGATGTTACTTCAAATCATGAGATTTGAAATGACTGGGGTGGGGAGTATTTATTGAGGAATCCATTAATCTCAAGTATACCATATTTGTATAGCAACCAACCATCTTTGTATAGCAACCATCTCTGGCAGCTTTAGATACAAGTTCACAACAGTACAAACCTTAAATAGAATTCTCCAAGTCCCATCCGCTGGCTTTAGCTGACTTATGCTCTCGAACCCATTTAGCAAGAGGATTAGAAACATTTGAGGCTATTAACTACCTTCCATCTATGTTGCAATTCCATTGGCTAGTAGAACATCATCTGGCAACCGGCTCCCAAGATCAGCTGTTCTTTGTTCAAAGAAAGAAATCCATTTTTACATCTTGATGAGTACTGTATTAGTTCCCCATGCCATAAACTCATAAGGTTGTTTCTTTTTTATCTCTGATTCTCAGAAGGAATTATTCAGCACTATTCCAAGCATGGCTAAAACCAGTTTGGCGGGTTTTCAGCTACAATACTGAGGACTGGCAACTTGAATTACAATGGAGGACAGTGGGAGGGCAGAGCAGGGAGGACCTCCTTATTGTTTTAAAAAAATATACATGGAGGGAGTTGGAGGTGAGGCTTGTGAATTATGTTAAGGAAGGACACACATACACCTTCCCCCTGCTAATTTGAGCACCACACTAGTAAGTTGCTTCCAGGGCTGATAAAAATTTTAAAGTGCAGGGATTGTGGGCTGAGCTACTAAAAACCTTTCAGAAATATTTTTTCTTTTATTGTTTTAAATTTTCAGATGCAGACAGGATGGGTGTTCTCTGTATATCACAGGTAAGGTCTCTATTACATTTTATGTTTGTAAATTATTAAAATTGTCTATAAGTGCACTCTGGAGATCAAAAAATATACGCTTCAAAGAAACCCACAGATACTGCCAAATAAAAAAGGGAAATTCTAGCCTCAACCCCCACCCATCCCTTAGAGAACAAGTGTTTCTGAAGAAAACGTTTCTTCCCCTTTTTCTTGTTGCTGTTGCTTTTTAGCATGGCAAATATGCAACCTTGGCATAGAATCTGCTGGGCTTGGTATGTTTTTATCTTGTTCACTTCAGTGGGCTGGATCAAGCCAAAAGTTGCAGTACTAACCCCACTTACCTGGGAGAGAGCCCCACTGAATATCTCTGATTTGACATGGTCAGGATTGCACTATAAGGAACGTAACCAACAAGTTTGTTTATTTATTTATAAAAAAAAGTATTTCTGTACTGTCATAGGCTAAAACGTACCAAAGAGGGGTATAGTCTCAAATATACAACATCACTTAAAATAAATGCAGATAATCATTCAGGTGACTAATCAAAAATTTAAGCAATTGCAAAGGCCTGTCAGCACACAAAAATATATTCAAGAGATGCCTGAAAGTCAAGCGTGAGGGTGCCTGCCGCATCTCTGCTGGAAGAGTGTTCCACAGCATGGGATGGGCAATGCAAAATGCCTTACTTCTGGCTGAGGCAAATCTGGCCCCAATCTGTGAAATGGGGGGGAAGGGGGAACAGCTAAGAGCACTCCTCTGGTTGATCTCAGTGAGTAGGACTAATGCTGGTATGTATTATTTTTGTTGGTGGATACACAGTTTTCATATTCTTATGTTTTACTTTCGGTTTACTGTATGACATTTTGGATTTTAAACGTGCATGGTGCTCTCTGTTTTGGGGACATTTTGTAAAAAGCAACAAACAAATATATAATAATGTATATACCACTAGTAAAAATAGACCCACTGAAATTAATGGACACAACTAACTTCGGTCCATTAATTTCAATGGGTCAGTGTGTCTGGCTCTTTCATTATACAGCTTCTGGAGGCTGCTAAAGACACACCTCTTTGCCCTGGCTTGAGGTGTATATTTTAGGAGCACATTTTTATTTTTATTTTTATTGGTTGTAAGTTGTTTTAAACTGCTTTTAATGTTGTGTTGCTGCAACCCACCCTGGGACCTTAAGGTGAAAGGCATGAAATAAATTTAAAACAACTATTACTTTGACTTAGAGACAACCCTAAGCTAGTTGAACTTGGGACCTGTTGAAATCAATGGTAGAAATGAGCCATGATTTAAGCCTAATTGATTTCAACTAAACCTAAGTGATGGGACATGGGTGGCGCTGTGGGTAAAACCTCAGCGCCTAGGACTTGCCGATCGTCAGGTCAGTCGTTGCCAGACTCTAGGCGGTGTGCGCTCCATCGTCGCGTCTACAGCGCCGGGCAGCCTAGCGCTGTCCGAAGACACTCCCGGGTGCAAGCAGATAAATAGGACCGCTTACTAGCGGGAAGGTAAGCGTGCCAGTGCTGCGCTGGCAGCCAGACGCAGCTATCACGGACCACGTGACCGATGTACCTTCGACACGCTGGCACGCGGTCCTCTATGTGATGGCGCACTTGCACCCAGGAGTGCTGACACAACTGGCTAGGTATGGGCAGGCGCTGTGACCTTAACGACGGTGAGCGCACCCCGCCTGCAGGGCAGTCTTGAACCGACTCTGAGCCTGACGATCAGCTCAGTCCATAGGCGCTGAGGTTGTCTGACCCACAGCGCCACGCCAGCGTGACACTCATCTACACTTTACCTTTAAACCTAAGTGAGCTAACTTAGGGTTGTATCTAATGTTAGTCCTCGCCAAAGGTTTATGAGTTCATTGCAATTAATGAACATGACTAAATTTGGTCCATTAATTTCAGTGGGTCTACTCAGAGTAAAAGTTTTTTTTTTTTAAATAATTTTTATTAAAGTTTTAAACAAAGAATAAAGAAAAAACAACACACACAGAAAAACAATACAAAATTTAACAATAAAAACACAAAACATAACAATTAAAAACAAACTCTCTTTTCCATTCCCAATTTTAAATTACTTATTTTCTGGACTTCCTCATACCTCCCTCTTTTGTATTCCAATCTACATTATTTGTCCAGCAGTTTCTTTTCCACTTTTTTAAACCCAATCTTTAATTTAATAAAATATTAAAATATATAGCTTCAACTTTTTAAACATAATCCTTGTTCTTAATGTCATATACCTTTAAATTTTTCCCTTTTATTATCAAATTTCCATTTCTTTAAACATCTTTAATCTTGATCTTTAATCTTAATCTATCCTTAACTTTAACCTGTACAGCTGGAAACCACTTATTTTCAATCCAACATCACTCTAACATTCCTTAATTTTGCAGTGTTTCTGAAGATAGTCTTTGAATTTCTTCCAGTCTTCCTCCATCGACTCTTCTCCCTGGTCACGGATTCTGCCAGTCATTTCCGCCAATTCCATATAGTCCATAAGTTTCATCTGCCATTCCTCCAGCGTGGGAAGTTCTTGTGTCTTCCAATACTTTGCGATGAGTATTCTTGCTGCTGTTGTTGCATACATAAAGAAAGTTCAATCCTTTTTAACACCATTTGGCCCACTATGCCCAGGAGAAAGGCCTCTGGTTTCTTGGGGAAGGTATACTTAAATACCTTTTTAATTCATTATATATCATTTCCCAGAAAGCCTTAATCTTTGGGCACGTCCACCAAAGGTGAAAAATGTACCTTCAGTTTCTTTACATTTCCAACATTTGTTATCGGGCAAGTGATAGATTTTCGCAAGCTTGACTGGGGTTATGTACCACCTGTATATCATTTTCATAATATTCTCTCTTAAGGCATTACATGCCGTAAATTTCATACCAGTGGTCCATAACTGTTCCCAATCAGCAAACATAATGTTATGTCCTACGTCCTGTGCCCATTTAATCATAGCCGATTTTACCGTTTCATCTTGAGTATTCCATTTCAGCAGCAAGTTATACATTCTTGACAGATTCTTAGTATTGGGTTCTAACAATTCTGTTTCTAATTTTGATTTTTCCACCTGGAAGCCAATTTTCCTGTCTAATTTAAATGCCTCCATTATTTGATAATAATGAAGCCAGTCTCGCACTTTGTTTTTTAGTTTTTCAAAACTCTGCGATTTCAGTCTATCTCCGTCTTGTTCCAAAATTTCCCAATATTTCGGCCATTTGACCTCCATATTGACCCTTTTCAAGGCTTTCGCTTCCATTGGTGACAGCCACCTTGGGGTTTTATTTTCTAGCAAATCCTTATATCTTATCCAAACATTAAATAGCGCTTTCCTGACAATGTGGTTTTTAAATGCTTTGTGTGCTTTGACCTTATCATACCATAAATATGCATGCCATCCAAATACATTATTGAAACCTTCCAAATCCAAAATGTCAGTGTTTTCAAGAAGTAGCCATTCTTTCAACCAGCAAAAAGCTGCTGATTCATAATAAAGTTTGAGGTCTGGCAGGGCAAATCCACCTCTTTCCTTTGCATCTGTTAGTATTTTAAATTTTATTCTAGGTTTCTTGCCCTGCCAGACAAATTTAGAATACTCAGAGTAAAAGTTAGTTGGCTACAACCCTTCGTCTGGCTCTAACCCATTGGGAATTTCTTAAGCATGCGCTTAAGCTCTTTGCTCCCTCGTTGCTCTCATTAGAAAAGAGCTAACAAGAGCAACAAGAGCGCAAAGAGCTTAATGTTCTTTGGATTGTGCCTACTATTTCATGTAGACTCTTAGTAAATGACTTTTATTTAGTTTTAGAAAACAGAACAGTATAGACAAAGTACATTAGAGTAATGTTCGCAATGGCATTTGGGGTCACATTACAAAAGTTCATGTAAGAGAATATCTGAAGAACTGCGCAGTAAGTCAGAATAAAATTTGTATGTCCAATAGAAGTTCTTAGGCACAGAATTATAGAGTTGAAAAGGATCCCTCCCAAGGGTCATCTAGCCCAACCTCTTGCAATGCAGGAATCACAGCTAAGCAGAATGTAGGCTGTTGAGATATGCCCTCCACAATGTAACCTGATTCATTGGAGTTTGTAGCAAATGTCCATCCTAGTTCACATAAATAAAAGGCCACCATCTTAACACTGAAGAAAGTGTATGTGGTGCTGTTGTGTCAGTGGCAGACCTAAGGTAGTACTAAGTGACTTAGCAGCTGGTCACCTGACCTACAGTCACCCCACATAACCCAGCCTAGTACTGACCTACAGAGAGATATCAGAAGTAGATAGAATTTTACGGGTGATCAGGGCTAGCTGAATATAAAGGAGGATGTGAGGATCCTTCTGTATGAAGGCTATATCCTGACTCGGGGAGAAGACTGAATCTTGGTTGCAGGACAGGCAAGGAAAGAGAAGCCTTTGTTGTAATTGGTGTCCCATTCTGAATCTCTTTATTATTTATTAGTATGTATTTTACTATAGCTCTGCCCACATTAAAGTGCTAGTGTTACTATTTAAAACCCTAAATGGTTTGTGGGTTTTCAGGTTATTTGAAGAACCACTTTTACCCATATATACCTGCCCAGGCCTTATGATTGGCCTCATAGACTGTCTTCCTGCACTGGCTTTTAAAATCAGTCTGCTAGGTAGGCCCCAGAAACAGGGCCTTTTGGGTGTTGGTCCCATACCTGTGGAACTCACACACTTACTTCTAAATAGGCTCTAAAAACACCCTTCTTCCAGTATGATTTTAGTGAAGAAGCTATGCTGGTTTTTATTTTAGGTTTTTAAAATGTATTTTATGGCTGCTCTTTCTAAAATGTTGGCTTTATATTGCTTCTTTTAAGCTATTCAGCGAATTTTATAAGAGTGTGGTGCTGGCATTTGGAATTATGTTTACTGCTGTTTCAGTAGGATTGCATTTCCTTGGAATTATGTTGTTGTTATTTTTATGTGAGCAGCCTTGGGAGCCTTCAGCCTTAAACACTGCCTACACCCTTGGGGGTAGGCAGGCTTCTAAACGAGGAAGGTAGCCTCTGTGTCAGGTTCTACAGTGTCCTGGCCTTGAAGCCTGAGTTCTCCTTTTTGGTAACCCATAGGAAGAATCTGAGTGAGAGAGGGAGTGTTGTGATCTGGGGAGGGGAGGGGCTTGTGGAAAACCCCAAGGGCCAAATGGAGAGGGCCTCCAATTCTAAGGTTCCCACACTTGTTCTAACTATGTGAGTTGCATCCAGTGTTAGCCCTCCTCAGAGTAAAGGTAAAGGTAAATGGACCCCTGACCATTAGGTCCAGTCGTGACCGACTCTGGGGTTGCGGCGCTCATCTCGCTATATTGGCCGAGGGAGCCGGCATACGGCTTCTGGGTCATGTGGCCAGCATGACTAAGCCACTTGTGGAGAACCAGAGCAGCGCACGGAAACGCCGTTTACCTTCCCGCCGGAGCGGTACCTATTTATCTACTTGTACTTTGTCGTGCTTTCGAACTGCTAGGTTGGCAGGAGCAGGGACCGAGCAATGGGAGCTCACCCCGTCATGGGGATTCAAACTGCCGACCTTCTGATCGGCAAGTCCTAGGCTCTGTGGTTTAACCCACAGCGCCACCCGCGTCCCTCCTCAGAGTACATCCACTGAAATTAATGGACAGGACCATTAATTCAAGTGGGTCTAGTAAAATTTAGTTGAATACAACCCTTTGCCTTCTTTGCACTTGACTCTGGTTGGTAGAACTCGGGTTTACAGTAGAAGACAAAGTAGACTGAACAAGCCTGAAGTCGGCCCAACCCTGACTTGCTGCACTGCGGAAGCAAATTGAGGGGTGGAGGTGGGGAAAAAATCTCACTTTTGTATGCATGAAAACTGCCAAGATGACAATTTTTAACACTTACACGAGGCAAACTGTTGGGTTTCAAATTGGCAAACAACTTGTTATGACAGCACATTGATGGATCGCTTCATAAAGACAGAATGAATAAAAGGAGTCTCAGCTTGGGAAAGAAGAAGATTGTTAGCGATGGGGGCTGATCCTTCCACCGCTCAGCTGGTGCAAGGTCTGGATGGGAATACGTAGAAGATGGTGAGCATTCTGAGGTTCAGGGATAAAGGTAGCAATGCCTGTCCAAGGGAATTGGGGATACTTTTGGAGAAAGTGGACTAGCTCTGGTGATTATGGGAAAAGCTAATTGGGCGTCATGAGATCAGCTTCAAAGGTGTGAATTATGGGAGAGAGAGATGGCGTAAAACATTGACTGAGCTCAAAAAGAGGTTGGTCATCAGTGGCCACAGGCTGAAAAGGTACATAGAAGAGCTGTAGCTCAACGACAAAGTACAGGCTTCCATTGTGAAAGGTCACGGGTTCAGTCCCCAAGGGCATCTGTAGGTATGCCTGAAACCATGGAAAGTCGCTGTCAGTCACTGTAGACAATACTGGACCGTTAGCCTCATTTTGTATAACACAGCTTCCTAAGTCCTCATCCCACAACATTAGGTCCTCAAAGGCCAAAGCCAGTAGACTGAACTGGGATTTTAACCACCTCATTAACTAGTTGCATTTGTTTTTTCTGTTACCACCTCCAGTACCGGAAGTGAGTCAGGAACAACAACAACAAAAATGACTGAGAAGGTAGGGAAGAGGTAGGAAACTTTTTTCAAACTGAGGGTCACATTTCCTTCTGGACAACATTCTGGGAGCCACATGGCAGTGGTGGGTGGGACTAGAGGCAAAGTTGGGCGGAGCAGCAAATCTGAATTTTACCCTTGTGCACTAGACTCGTTTCAACACACACTTGCACAAACCCCTCTCTAGCTGCCATCCTGGGAAGCAAAAGGCATTATCAGGAGTTCAAGGGCATATTCTAGCCAGGCAAGAACACTTGTGGTGCAAAGCAGTGTCAGTGAGGGTTGTGCCCTGTGGTGAGTTCTGAGGGCCAGATAGAGTGGCTTGGAGGGCCACATTTGGCCCTTGGACCGGGGGTCCTCTATTGAAATAGGACATGAGAAATGAATGCAGGGAAGGGCCCCAAATGCTCCCTTCTTTTACTGAAGGGCCCCTACCCTGCTTTATAATTTTATTCATTTAAAATATTTATAGGCCACCTTTCAGGGGAAAGCCCTGCCAAAAGCAGTCCTTGTACATAAAATGAAAACATCTCATCCCAATAAAATTGATCCAATAAAATAGCGGTCCAAAAACATTTCACAGCTCAGCCCTCGTGTAATAAAAAAAGCCAATGAGTGAGCTAAACATATAAAAGAATTCCATGCCTACCACAGTCGGGTCTAGTTTGGCTGTAACTCACTCGGCTTTGAGGTGTGAATATGCCATTGGATGATGAACCTAGAACACAGAATGATGCACCTAGAACTTGAGACCAGAACCCACTTGGCAATATGACACATTTATGTAAATGTGTAATTAATCTGCCCAAGTGTAGGCAGAAACAGAGCCAATGACAGGCAGAGCCAACTAATTCTAGTTTTGTGCCCACCCTCTTCCCTCCTGAGTTCTACAAGGGGCAAGATGGAGACGGCAAGATGGAGGAGAAAGCTAACAGCCAATGGCGTCCTTTGGGCTGGCTTCATAAGAAGGGAGGCAGGTGGAGGCTGGCTGAGGGAAGACTAAGGTTGGCAGGGCAGAGCCTCATTTGCCCTAATAGGCCAGCTTCCATTGATACTTGTCCAGATTAATGCCTGCTGATACCGCAGGCACACAATCAGAAAAGGTATTCAGATTCCAGCTGTTCTGCTGATGATCTCTATCAGAACTTTCCCCCGTCTCTTTTTCTTTTTTCAATAATACTAAAATCTGTTTTCTCAGCCTTGCTTTGACCTTTAAACTTCTTCTCCTGCACAAGCCTTGGGGCGGCTGCTCCAGCTTTTAAATCATGTAAATGGCAGCATTACACCTACTTGCTGAATGATTAATTTGGCTTTGAATTGCTGCCTGACTTTGATAGGAAGGGGGAGGCAGGTCTCAAGGGTCTGATTATGTGAATCTTAGCTCAGTTGGGGGTGGGGAGAGAGGTGGGAAGGCTAATTAATTACACATTTACTATGGGGAATTTTTTTTTAATGCCACCTAAGCTGCTATTTTTCTGTTGGGTGCAGCTACAAAGTGTAATTCCAAGTAAAACAGCTGCCAGGAAGCCTTTAACCCTTGAAGTTTGCTTGCAATACAGGATTTATTTATTTCTCTTTCTCTCACACACCTCAACCTCGCCTCCCCATCCAGTTCACCTGCATAGTTACTAAACACTAGACTGGAGACAAAATTTCTCCCTCATTTCTGATAACGTTCTGTTGTATTTTTGTGCTCTTCTTGAAAGAGACGGCCATTTTGTTGAATATTTTCTGCAATTTTTTCCCTTGTGGTGGCCGCCATTTCCTCCCTCAGTGCTCCAGAAGAATGCTGGGATGTTGTTGTGGGCAATGCAGTGGCAGCTGCTATTTGCTGCTGTAGCAGAACAGAAGAAGAAAAACCCTAAAAGAAGGTAATTCTGCAGCGTCTCAACCCTAGGAACTGTTGGAGAAATTTTCCTTGCCTCCTCCCCCAAACAGGAATACTCAACAAAATGGTGTCCCCAATATTGCTCCCTGAAAATGGGGTGGGAAAGCTGGGGATGCCAGTTTTCCTCAGTTATTAAACGAAAAACTCAATTTCTATGGTTAGTCATTAGTTGCTGGTGTGGGGTTTTTCTGTTACGAGTGCTTTCATCTGGGAAGGTTTATATCCTGATCTTTTGCGGTAGCCATTTGGAATATTAATCCACCAGATGGAGCAGATGGAGCTCTAGCCTGCTCCAAGTTGGGTCACACCAGCACCACTTCTACCTTTCAAACATAAAGGATGATAATGATGCACTATGGCAGGGATGGGGAACCTCAGGTCCAGGGGCCAAGTTGTTCTATAGGCTTCTCTGTCTGGCCCTTAGAACTCTCCCCAGGCCACACCAACCACTGGCCCTGTTTTGCACCAAAATCGTCTTTTAATTAGTTGGAAGGTGTCCTACTTGGGATGTGTGTAGAAACTAGTCCCCTGAACAAAAGTAAATTTTGTTGCTTCACCTGCTCCACTGGCATGTGGCCCTCAGAAGATTGTCCAGAAGGAGATGTGGCCCTCAGGTTGAACAAGGTTTCCTACCCCTGCAGTCTCCCAAAACAATTCCAGCTCGTATGGAGTGGTGGTGTGTAAGGGTCAGGGGCCCCTAGAAAAAGGGGTGTTTGGCATCATATCTAAAAACAGAAGCCCAGATAATTGATCCCTCACAACCTCTGGGTATGGTGTCACTTTGCATGGAATGGGATGTGGATTTATTGCATATACAGTGGTACCTCAGCTTACATACGCTTCAGGTTACATACACTTCAGGTTACAGACTCTGCTAACCCAGAAATATTACTTCGGGTTAAGTACTTTGCTTCAGGATGAGAACAGAAATCATGCTCCGGCAGCGCGGCGGCAGCGGGAGGCCCCATTAGCTAAAGTGCTGCTTCAGGTTAAGAACAGTTTCAGGTTAAGTATGGACCTCTGGAACGAATTAAGTACTTAACCTGAGGTATCACTGTAGATCTAATTAAAAAGCTGCTGCAAAGATGGAAGTAGCAGGATTTTGGACAGATACAGTGAAGGGGGGAAAGTATTTGAACCCCTGCTATATTTGCCCTTTTGCCATCTGATGAAGAAATGACCAGTCCATAATTTTAATGGTAGGTTTATTGTAGCTGTGAGAGACAGAATAACAACAGGAAAACCCCCATAAACCCAGAAGACAAAAGTCAGAGATTGATGTGCATTATAATGAGTGAAATAAGTATTTGATCCCCTATCAACCAGCCAGATGTCAGGCTACCTGGTATCTTCACTGTATGTAAGGAGCTGAGATTAGAGACACCTGCTGTAAGGGAGAGGTCTTACCTGTAATCCCAGCTCGTTATAGTACCTGTACAAAAGACACCTGTTGACAGAAGCAATCAATCCAGCAGATTCCAAAGTAGCCATCATGACCAAGACCAAAGAGCTGTCCAAGGATGTCAGGGACAAGATTGTAGACCTGCACAAGGCTGGATTGGGCTACAAGACTATTGCCAAACAGTTTCGTGAGAAGGTGACAACAGTTGGTGCAATATTTCGCAAATGGAAGAAACACAAAATAACTGTCAACCTCCCTTGGTCTGGTGCTCCATGCAAGATCTCATCTCGTGGAGTTGCAATGATCATGAGAACAGTGATGAAGCAGCCCACAACTACACAGGGGGAATTTGTCAATGATCTCAGGGCAGCTGGCACCATAGTCACCATGAAAACAGTTGGTAACACACTACGCCGTGAAGGATTGAGATCTTGCAAAGCCCGCAAAATCCCCTTGCTTAAGACAGCCCATGTACAGGCCCGTCTGCAGTTTGCCAATGCACATCTGAATGACCCAGAGGAGAACTGGGTGAAAGTGTTGTGGTCAGATGAGACCAATATCAAGCTCTTTGGCATCAACTCAACTCTCCGTGTTTGGAGGAGGAGGAATGCTACCTACGACCCCAAGAACACCATCCCCATCGTCAAACATGGAGGGGGACAAATTATGCTTTGGGGGTGTTTTTCTGCTAAGGGGACAGGACACCTTCACCGCATCGAAGGGATGATGATCGGGACCGTGTATCGTCAAATCTTGGGTGAGCACCTCCTTCTCTCAGCCAGGGCATTGAAAATGGGTCGAGGGTGGGTATTGCAGCATGACATTGACCCAAAACACACAGCCAAGGCAACAAAGGAGTGGCTCAGGAAGAAGCACATTAAGGTCCTGGAGTGGCCTAGCCAGTCTCCAGACCTTAATCCCATCAAAAATCTATGGAGGGAGCTGAAGGTTTGAGTAGCTACACATCAGCCTCAAAATCTTACTGACTTGGAGAGGATCTGCAAAGAGGAGTGGGACAAAATACCTCCTGAGATGTGTGCAAACCTGGTGGCCACCTACAAGAAACGTCTGACCTCTGTAATTGCCAACAAGGGTTTTGCCACCAAGTACTAAGTCATCTTTTGCAAAGGGATCAAATACTTTTTTCACTCATTATAATGCACATCAATCTCTGACTTTTGTCTTCTGGGTTTATGGGGGTTTTCCTGTTGTTATTCTGTCTCTCACAGCTACAATAAACCCACCATTAAAATTATGGCCTGGTCATTTCTTCATCAAATGGCCAATGGGCAAATTTAGCAGGGGATCAAATACTTTCCCCCCTCACTGTACAAAAGGGTTGTTCATTTAAAAAATGGATGGAAAGGGTGTGGTAAAAAGTCCTGGTGGAAAAGTTTAACATTTAAAAAATGGATTATTGAAATGGCAAATTGAAACTAATGTGCTTTCAGCAACATGGCACCTTTCCATCATGTATGCAAATAAGAACACTTCGCCATATGCGCCACTAGCAGATCAGGCTAAACTTTGAGTTAATATCGTCTAGTAGAATTGGGTCAATAGCGACAAGTAGAATTGATGTGTGTGCTGTTGTGGCATCCATAAGTTCTGGAGAAACACAGATTTCAGACTGGCACCTAAAGGGACTTTGCATATAACAGCGGGATTCAGTCACATACTGGCAAATTCAGGTTTCGTCGTTACAGGTGACTGGGAGGTCTTGAGCAACAGACTTACTTCTCCAAAAGATTGGAAATTCTGCAGTAAGGAAAGTGATGGGGTAATGCACTGGCAAGTGTGGGGTGGCGTTTGCTTTGACACAACTTCATCTAACCTCCATAATGACAATCAGATCAGTCTGTCTGTCCCTCCAGAGTCCATTTTCAGTCCCTGTCTCTGCTGCTTAATCAACTTCAATCCCCACCCTCCCACCACATGCATTTATGGAGTTAACAGTTACAGGCAACTCTTAGTTCATGTGGGAGTTACAGTCTGGGAATAGCGCGTAAAGCCTAAAGACAAAATTGTGTACAATCAAAACACATAGGCTACTTTAGCAATTTCCAATGAAAGTAGTGTGGCTGGGCATCCAGACCCATTGATCCTCCATTCAGCCACCTTTCCTTGTGATTGGCAAGACCTAGCCAATCAGGAGTCCTTGGGACACAGCCAGTTGTACGAGAGGGGCATTCCTGGCCAATGCCCATAACCAATCATGTGCTTGCTGTGAAGTTGCAGCTTCGCCCAGTACAGGATGAACTCTTGACTGGTGCACCCCTCCCTCTCCTTAAGATGGGGGTACCATGTACAATAAAGGAGGAGCAACGAAGTAGGAGGAGTAGCAGACACCAGAGACCAGGGGGAAGCAGGCAGCACCAGGTGCCTCAGCAAAGGTGAAATTCTCTCTTCTTTCTTGCTTTTACGGTCCCCTTTGCAAGGGAGGCATTACAGGATGTCAGAAAGGGGCTTCACTGCAGCTATAGCTCTTTCTTTCCCAAAGAGTAGCCAAGGAGGGGACAGTTCCACTTCTTTCTTGCTATTTATAAATGTCCCCTTTGCAAGCGAAGGATTGGAGGAGGGACTTCCCTGCAAGTAGTAGTCTTCTTTACCCACTCTGCATTCTTCTTTCTTACACCTTTGATGGCATATTTTCCTTCCCTTTTTTCCCATTTCCCCCTGAACATTGGAAGCTGCCTTATATTGAGTCAGCTCAGTATTGTCTACATGGAACTGGCAGTAGTGCTCCAGGATTTCAGACAGTGGTTTCTCCCAGCCCTACCTGGAGATGCCAGAGATGATGAGGACGTTGGAGAAAAAAGGCTTGTTCTATTACGTTTCTATCCTGCCCTTCCTCCCAATGCAGTCCAGGATAGCAAACATGCAAGTAGTAAAAAATAAAACATTTATAAAACAATCCCAATATAGATGCAGGCTGGGAAAGATCTCTACTTAATATGCTTCCTGGAAAAGGAAGGTATTTAGTAGGTTCCAAAAAGACAACAGAAATGGTGCCTGTCTAATATTTAACAGGAGTGAATTCCGAAGGGTAGGTGCCACAACAGTAAAGACCCAATTCCTTTACAGTGGTACCTCAGGTTAAGAACTTAATTCGTTCTGGAGGTCCATTCTTAACCTGAAACTGTTCTTAACCTGAGGTACCACTTTAGCTAATGGAGCCTCCTGCTGCCACTGCGCCGCCGCCACACAATTTCTGTTCTCATCCTGAAGCAAAGTTCTTAACCCGAGGAACTATTTCTGGGTTAGCAGAGTCTGTAACGTGAAGCATCTGTAACCTGAGGTTCCACTGTATTTTGCAGAACGGACCTCCTGATAAGATGCTATTGCAGGATGCCCTCTCCTGCAGAATGCAGCCATTGACTGAGTATATAAGGGGTAAGACAATCTTCCAAATATTGAAACTGAGTGCTTTTGCCCTCCCCTCCCCTTCCCCTTCCACCCTGCCCCCCAAAGGGAGAGAATATTGCCTTAATTCCCTCTTCTTTCTTGATTTTATGTTGCCCACCCCTGTTGCTCGTATTTGAAGATCGGGAATTTCCCTCAGCTAGAATTAATATTGCCCAGTGTTTCTTGAGTGGGGCAGGGGCTCCTGTGGAAACTTATCTAGATCTAATGATTAAAAGACAAGACCCCCCAGGGTTGGAGGGTACACAGAGGAGTGGGAGGGAATAGGCTGAAATAATTATAACATGCCCTTCAGAAGGGAAAGGGATTAACAGCAGAATATAGGAGTGGTCTCTTTGATCTTCTGATATGTCTCCTCTCTCTGGGAGTTGTGTCTGTGTCCCAGTTTCCTGTGCAAAGCATTCTCTCCACCCAGGCCCTTTACTATTTTTGAGTATTAGAGATGGGGAACAAATGGTTAAACGGTCCACAGTAACTTAATTTAGCCAAAAGAAAACAGGAAAAGACAGGAAGGGGGGGGCAATAAACTGCCTTGGTGAGGACTACATGCTTGAAGACACATGCTACTCACTGAGACCTGCCTTCTTTTTAAAAAAATAATAATATGGCACTAATAAACTAAACTTCTTTCCAGACTTCATATCGCTGGCTTATAAAGGGTAACAATCAGATTATAAAATGTCTTTCCCTGCCTCTCCTTGTGTGTCACCTTCTGATTTTATGGGTATTTTCTTCTCTTCTTGCTCTTTCTCTTGAGGTTTGCTTTGGTGACTGAACAATAGATGCTTGAACATATTTCGACTCTTGTGATCTTTTGTTGTCTTCTCATAAGCAGTTTTTTTAAAGCAGATGCCTTGTAAGGTGACTTTGCTTGCCTGCGAATGTCCTCCTTTTAATTACGCAGCAAGGAACATAGGAAGGTGCCTTGTACTGTGTCAGACCAATGGTTTGTCCAGCTCAGCAGTGTCTACACTGACTGGAAGCAGCTTGCCAGGGTTACAGATAGGGTTGGGAATGTCCCCTTTCGTGAGATGCTGGGGACTGAACCTGCCATCTTTTGCATGCAAGGGACACGCCACTGAGCCATAGCAGCAGATCACTCATAGATCCTAAACATTCAAGAACTTAAGGCCTGCAGCTTCCAGCCAAGAATGTGAGCAGCTGGTGTGTCCTGGCTGGAAGCGATGCGTGGGCAGGTCTAACTCAAGTTTGTCAAATCAGTTTCATTTTGCCCTGGTCCTATTTTGTCCTAATTTCCTAGGAGAGTTTGCTTCTAAGCACTAAACTGGGAGCTGTCTGATTCCCCCTGGAATGCTAGAACTGCTTGCTGTGATGATGATATAATGCTGTTGACACCCACAACACAAATTTTGTGTGTCTATGTGTGCGTGCATGTGCACTTTGGCACCACAAAGTTTTGTGCCACAAAGAAGCCCTTCGTGCAGAATCAGCTTTTTCTAAAAATGACTGTCCACTATTTTAGTAGCTGAGAATTACTGTCCTTGCTGCTGAATTATCTCAAACTATTTTAATGCCCCAGGGAGACACTGGCCAGTCTCTCTTTCCACTGTACATGTATGGTCATTTTTGAGAAGGTGTCAAAGTTCCCTTTTATAGTCAGCACCCATTTTGCACAGTGAACACAGCTTAGTGAGCACACACTCTCTCCTTCACATCTAGCGTTTTCTATATACTTGTAAGGGATTTAGTGGGGCAAACTAAACATCCCATTGCAACTGCATGAAGGGGGAGGCCCCTAATTGCACTGGGCAGTAGAACAGCTTGATCCTTTTCCTTCCAGTAGCTTTTCCTCTGAAGCACCACCACCCAGTTTCCCAGGCCCTTGCAAACACAGCTCTGGAACTCCACGCAGGGTAAAAGTAGGCGAGGGGGAAAGTGACAGGGGTCACAGTCACATGATACATTTAAAGCTCTACAATACCACTTCAAGCAGTGAATGACTTGCCCCCAAAGAACCCTGGGACTTTGTTACAGGTGCTGAGAGTTGTTAGGAGACCCGCTATTCCCCTCTCAGGGCTACAATTCCTAGAGTTCCTTGTGAAGAGGGATTGATCATTAAACCACTCTGTCTCAGTGGGGGATCTCGGGTCTGGGAACTAAATGTAGCCCTCAAGGCCCCTCTATAACTGGCCCTCTAAACCCTCTGCCCCCCCAACTCAGATTTAAGGTTAGAGTGCAGAAAGGGTGGTGGGGAGCAGAGCGAACACAGTTGCATGAAGGCTGTTGTGCCTGTAAAGGTAAAGGTAAAGGGACCCCTGACCATTAGGTCCAGTCGTGACCAACTCTGGGGTTGCGGCGCTCATCTCGGTTTATTGGCCGAGGGAGCCAGCGTACAGCTTCCAGGTCATGTGGCCAGCATGACTAAGCCGCTTCTGGCGAACCAGAGCAGTGCACGGAAACACCGTTTACCTTCCCGCCAGAGTGGTACCTATTTATCTACTTGCACTTTGACGTGCTTTTGAACTGCTAGGTTGGCAGGAGCTGGGACCTAGCAACGGGAGCTCACCCCATCGTGGGGATTTGAACCACCGACCTTCCGATCGGCAAGTCCTAGGCTCTGTGGTTTAACCCACAGCGCCACCCGCATCCCTTGCTGTGCCTGTAGCTTTCCCCAAAGCATCTGGCTGGCCACCATAAGAAGCAGGAGTCTGGTAGATAGCTCTCAGGTATGGCCCATGAGGACTCTTCTTGTGTTGTCCACATTATTCGTATTTCTTTCCACAGTGCTCAGGGTGGTGTTTATCAAATGAGGTGGCTGCTGGTTGTTCCATTTTTAACTTCACAACAACCCTGTGAAGCAGTTTAGGCTAAGCATGGTTGGCACAAGGAGGGAGGGTGCTATTGCAGAAATAAGAGGAGGAGTGTCTGTGGAGTAAAGTATGATTAATTCAGCCCAATGTCGGCCACGGAGCTTCATGCTTTCGCATGGATTTGAACCAAGATCCCCCCACCCATTCCCACAAAACAGGGATGGGCAAATCTGTCACTTCCGTATCTCTCAAGTTTCTCATTTTTCCCAATCTCGAATTAAACTCTTTGCATTTCTACATCAGTGTGCAAATTATTTTTATTTTTAAATCCTCATGAAAATTCATCAGCATTTTAGTGTGCATTTCTCCTAATAAACACTTCTTTTTTGCAAAGCAGTTATCTCAAATATAATGCATTTTTGGTAAGTTATTTTCATGGATCACTTTACTCCGGTGCCTGCCTTTTTGTACACATTACTTGGCTGGAGAATCCGGTGAAGTGCGAATTTTGAAGGATGGCTCTGCTTTCGTTCACATACTGTTTCGGCAATTGTGAATTAGCAAAGCTTGCCTAACTGGGTCAAATTTCTCCCCACCTCTACCCTCTGTCTGCTCTGCTGCCTCTTTCAGCCTATACCCTTTGTACTCTTCCTTGGTGCTGATCAGTGTTCCCTCTTGTGCTGAGCTCACCTGAAGCCTTCATTCTTTGTCTTCATTTCTAATTCACAGACCTCTTTTCTTTTGCTGTCTGCTCCACCTCCAACCTTTTCTAAGCGCACTGAGTGGTTTGCTTCCTAGGAAATGCTGGGCCCAGAGCATCTGCAGAGCTGTGTCTCTGCCAAAGGCTTTGAAGCAGGCTCTTTTTTGGATTCCTCTGCACTTGGCTGGCTTTCCTGCCATCCTCCCTCTCCTCTATCCTGATCTCCTGAGATTGAGCCCTGATTGGCAAATGCTTTGTCTGTGGAGTAGAAAATTTTGTCTAGGAGGCGAAATGGGCAAAGCTCTCTGCTTCCTATCAAGACAAATGTGGCATTCTAACAAGCTCCCCTGGAGCAACAACTTCTTCTTCTTCTTCTTCTTCTTCTTCTTCTTCTTCTTCTTCTTCTTAACTTCCCAAAACAACATGCGAACCAAAGTACGGGCTTTCTTCAAAATTGCAGTTCTTTGAATTTTGCAACGCAGTTCTCCAACCAAAAGTATGCGTATATTAGGAGAACATGTGCATGAACATTATTATTAATTATCAGATTTAGAGGCTTTCCTTTCTCCTAACCTAGAGAGGCAAACAACAAGAGATAAAACATCTTGAAAATAATTTCAGTACAGATGCAGACTGAGAAAGTTCTCAACAAAAGAGGATGACCTTCAGTAGGTGCTGAAAAGACAACAGAGATGATGCCTCTATAATATGTACAGGTGGGGCTACCTTTGAAGGTGACTCTTTATTAGAAGACACAAAGCCTGCTCAAAGGTGCCAGGTCTAAGGAGCACAGCAACTCTTCTCAGTAGGTTCCCCCCCCCCCATGAGGCAGTTGTGGAGGCTGATGGTGGCACAGTGCTTTCCCATTTCACCCTGCTTGCTTTGCATGCTATGTGTTTTGCCTGGTGCTAATGAGCTTTGCTGTTTAGCCTCTGTGTTGTTTTTTCTGTAAATTAAATTAACACTGAGAGCATGTCTCAGTGGGTGTGCATTTGAGTGCCGATCATAACACAGTAGGGAGGTTGGGAGGAAGGCCTTCAGGACCCACCAAGCATATTCTGCCAAGAGGGCAGAGCTTACCCTTTGCATCCAAAACAGACCCTCTGTTTCCTTTTTACCTGCCCCGGAGCATCTTGAGCGGCTGTTGCTTGCCTCTTCTTGTGTGTGTAAACAGATTGAATGCTACTAGGCACAGCTGAGGCTCAGGAGGGGAATATAGATGCTCATGTGTGTACATGCACAGACACGGACACACACAAATTTGATTCAGCTCGCATTTAAAGGCAAACCTACCTAATTTATAAGGAAGTATGCAAATGGAACCGCAGCCATCCTTCAGAATTCTCACCTCTCCAAATTTTGCAATGCACTTCTCCAGCAAAAAAAAAGTACATACTGAGGTCAAGTGTGCACAACAATGCATATAATACTGAAAATAGCATACAAGAATGCATTATATTAGGGGTAATTGCATACAAAAAATGTGTGCTATAGGGATAAAGGTAAAGGTACCCCTGACCGTTAGGTCCAGCCGCGGATGACTCTGGGGTTGCGGGCTCATCTCGCTCTATAGATAAATGCACATACAAATGCGTATGAATTTTCATGAGACTGCAAACTGATGTGGAAATGTGAAGAACTGGCCTGAATACTAGGGAGTGGAGAAACTGAGAGAAACTGAAATGGACAGATTTGCTCATCTCTACACATGGTTCTAATGAGAGAAAAGAATGCTAATTGAAGGGAAATGAAATTGATCACAAGGCATTGGAGTGGAAATACACATTCCACTCTCTCCTTCTCACAAAACGTGCTTTCTGCAGCTGTAAGAGAAGCAGAAATTCAACAGGTGCAGGGGCAAAGAAGGCTGTATCTCTGCATTGCATCTGTTGCATTTCTTCCCTGCCATGTGCCTCTTATAGCACCTCTGCTGAGTGTGGTAGTAGGAAGATGATGCTTGAGATGTTGGTATGTCAGACTCACTGGCCTCCCTTACATTGTGCAGGGTACAACTGTTAGTTGTCTTCCGTGTTACTGAGGTCCGGTTGGCCCCAACCAGAAATTGGGCATTTAGTGTCACCACAAATCTGTACTATGCAACACTCTTTTGCCAGAGATTCAACAGGTATCACTCCTTTTGACTTTGGAGACAGTTTGTTTTGTATTCCAATAGGCTTAGGCAGTTGTTAACTATTTTCCTGAGAAGCCAGTCATTTTAATGATTGCTCTGTATAGCTTTTATTTTATTTTTTTAAATAATGCCCTGATGTTTTGTGAGAGGGCGGTATATAAATACAGTGGTACCTCGGGTTACATATGCTTCAGGTTACATACACTTCAGGTTACAGACTTCGCTAACCCAGAAATAGTGCCTCAGGTTAAGAACTTTGCTTCAGGATAAGAACAGAAATCGTGCTCCGGCGGCGCAGCGGCAGTAGGAGGCCCCATTAGCCAAAGTGGTGCTTCAGGTTAAGAACAGTTTCAGGTTAAGAACGGACCTCCGGAACAAATTAAGTACTTAACCCAAGGTACCACTGTACATTTATAAGCAAACAGGCATCTGGAGGACCACAGGTTCTAGGGCTGCCATATGTCCAGATTTTCCCGGACATTACTGGGATTTCAAAGGTGAATTGAATTGACGGGGTGCCCTGGTTTTTACTTTTTGAAATATGGCAACCCTACAGGTTCCCTATTCCTGACATAGGGCAAACATGGTAGGTCCCAGGAAGGAGATTACAGCCCCTTTGCTCCTCTCCTGCTCCTCTTAGCTCAGCACAATAGCTAAGACAAGGGCTATCTTAGTCCAACTTACCGCATTTTTCGCTCTATAGGACACACTTTTTCCCCTCTAAAACAAGGTGCGTCCTATGGTCACGTCCTATAGAGCGAAAAATCTGGTACTTGCCTGCTGCTCCTCTTGCTTGCTCATTTCAAATCCCAACCCCCGGCCACCACAAACCCTAGTTTGCTCACCTACCACCCCACTCACCTGCCCCTCCACCTGCCTGTTTCAGATTCTCCCCTTACCCCGGAGCATGTACAGTCCATCACCAGTGTGACAATGGACTAGTGCAAATAGATATCACACATACACACACTTATATATGTACATAGGAAGCTGCTGCCCTTATTGAGTCAGATCATTGCTCCATGTAACTCAGTATTTATTATCAGCACTGACTGACAGAAGCTGTCCAGGGTTTCAGACAGGGGACAATTCCCAGCTTTATATGCAGGTGCTGAGGGCTGAACCTGGAACCTTGAGCCACTGAGGTGCTGTACCCCTAACCTATGGTCCTTTCCCATGCACATTTATAAGGCACATCTAGAATCAATTCTGAATGCACACTTAACATGCACACTTAGAAATTTAAATTAACATAAATTTAAATAGAAACGCAGTACATCTCAACGTGTACCCATTTTCGCGATGGGGCATGTAACCCCAAAACCTGAGAGATGAGAACACTCACAGCCTTGCTCCCTTTGCTCCTGTGCAGAGAGAGGGCTCATGCAAGCAGCCATAACAAAACACATTCTCTCTGAATAGCAAATGCCACATGTAAAATGCAAAGCCACGCCATTCTGCCTTTATTCTCTGCAATGAAATGTATGGTTTTTGCCATTTAAAATGCACACACACAAACCGACAACTCTGTTCTTTGCCAAGGAAAAAGAGAAGGCAGCTGTCCCCATGATAAACTGTGGTACTCCTGCAAGTACAGTACATCTGCAGCAAAACAAAACAAGAAATGTTTGCTTTGCCAATTTATTTCCAGAGTTAGGAAGTTTTGCTGCTTAACTGTTTCTTTCCCACCACGGACCCCAAGAAGCCACTTGCTTTTGCTTCTAAATGCACAGTGCAGGAGGTGGGCCAATGCCTTGAGTACCAGCAGATGAATCCCAAAGCCCCTTTTGCCCCGCCTCCGCTTTCCCTGCACCCCCAGGGGATATTCCAGGCAGCCAGGAAGGAAGGGAGTGTATGTTCCAAAGAGGCAGCAGAGTGCAAAGTGGTTTGCAACTGACTGCCGAAGAGAGACTGTGCCAGAGCCTTTCGCCGGCTGGGCTTCTCCTTGGCTGCGGCCCAGTTGGGAACATGGAGCCGAGAGAGCTCCAAGGCCAGGGGACAAGTTCATCTTCCCACAGTCCCTGTCGCTTTCAAAGGTCAAGGCTCTGTGCATTGAAATAGGCATTAGTGGCTGATTGTTTCCCTCCCACTTCCTTTGCAATTTTGTTTGCCTGTTCCTCTGAGGGTCTGTTTCCTCCTCAGGGCAGAAGAACATTAGCACAGTGTGGCGGTTAGAGAGTTGGAATCCAGGGTTCTAATATCCACTTAGCCATAAAGTCCAGTCACCAGCTCTCATTTTATCCTACCTCACAGTGTTGTTCTGATATTAATATGCAGATGTCTGTTTATATCAGACAGAACCAATGACAGGCACAACCAACTACTTCTAATTTTGTCTCCATCCTCCTGTCTACTGTGCTCTACAGAGACAACACTGGGACTAAGAAGAAGAAAACTGACAGCCAGTTCCACCACCCCAGTACAGGTTGCAAGTAAATATGTAGGTGGGTGGGGATTGGCTAGGAGCACACTGAGCTTTGTGAGGCAGTGCCCCATTTGCTCCAGTGGCCCAGCCTCCACTGAAGGGCCATGGCTCAGTAGTCTGCTTTGCTATGGAGAACTGCTGCCAGTCAGTGCATATAGTACTGAACTAGATGGACCAATGGTCCTATTCAGTGTAAGGCAGCTTCCTTTGACACCACATTGAGCTCTGTGGAGAAAAGGTGTGATATAAAGGGTTCATGGCTGATGCTGCAAATGGCACCCATACATCCAGTCCTGGGGAAAACCAACAACCCCCACACACTGCATGTGAAGAGCCAGTGTGGTGTAGTGGTTAAGAGCGGTGGACTTGTAATCTGGAGAACTGGGTTTGATTCCCCACTCCTCCACATGCAGCTGCTGGGTGACTTTGGGCTAGTCACACTTCTCTGAAGTCTCTCAGCCTCACTCACCTCACAGAGTGTTTGTTGTGGGGGAGGAAGGGAAAGGAGAATGTTAGCCGCTTTGAGACTCCTAAGGGGAGTGAAAGGCAGGGTATCAAGTCCAAACTCTTCTTCTTCTTCTTATGTGTAACAGGAAGGAGCCCAAACCAGTTCCAAGTTGGAGGGGGGGGCAGGCCAAGCATTTCTCTGTGCCTCCTCCTCCATTGGTGGGAAACACAACTCAGAGCAACACTAAGCATGTGAGTCCAGCTGCCATTTTTATTTCCCATAATGCCTGCAGTGTGCTGTTGCTCAGGAGCATTGTGGGAAATAAAAATGGCATCTGAACCATTTCATTGTGTAGTGTCATTGCTAGGCACATTCAGGCCACATTTCTTCCGAAGGGAGCAGCAGCTGCGCTGCTGAGCAAAGCCAAGCTACCACTTAGCTTCTTTTCTTTACTTTTTAAAGAGAAAACCTCAATTGCTCTGTTGAAATGTAAGTACACTCTCACCTAAAAGTGCTATGACACACACATACTCCATCTGTCTATATCTATCTATCTATCTATCTATCTATCTATCTATCTATCTATCTATCTATCTATATCTATCTATATCTATCTATCTTTAGGTGGAGTTTTTACACACATACTGCTCTCCCCAAAGTGTCAAGAAAAGTTGAGTTTAATAATTTGATCCAACACTTGTTGAATGTGCTTGGGTTATCACAGGCTGAGTCCCAGTAAGGCAGGTGTGGGGAGTCTCTAACCCAGGGGCCAGATATGGCCCTAGAAGCCTGTCGCCATAAAAGCACCTCCTCTCCAAACATCCCCCTCCCTCACCAGCCCTGCCTCAAGTGCTTTTACCAGACAGAATGTATCCTTCCACTGTGATGATAATTCTTGCTTGCTTTAACTAAAATTAAAATCGAACTGAATGAAAAATTGCCCAAATTCTCGCTGCAGAAGGAACTTAGTTCACATTCATTTCACCTGGAATTACAGGAGGTACATTCAGGTATAACCCAGATATTTTTGAATTAATCCAGTGGATTAGTTAAAATCTTAATTAGTTCAGTCCGAGCACTGAGAGAAAGGAATAATGGATGTTCACTTGATTCTCAAAGGAAGCTTAGGACTGAGAGGCTCAGTAGAGAGGAATCTGTATTCCAAAAGGAGTTTTTGCCTGGGAAGGAATGGGGTGATAGTTGTAGGTGATCCATGAAAAGACCTAGTCTGCTCAAGGCCGTAGCAAAAATCTGTCTCCATCACACCAGTGTACCTCCTTTCCCACTACCATTAGTTGAAGAGCAGGCTGTTGAATTGGTGCGAGTCGTGCGACAATGCAGGAATGTTGGTGCATGTCTGTGAGTCCATGACACTGGCTAACTTGAGAGATAAGTTGAGCAAGCAAGCTATTTAATTTTTTTAGCTAGGGGTTTCCTTTGCACTCCAAATATCTCTCCTTCCGATTTTATCCCACCACCTGTTCTGGTGACACTTGCATTTTGTCATCTGCACGGACCTAGGAAGGCTCAGAATCTGAGCCAGATGGCTTGGGATCAAATATGCATGGAAACTCTTCCTGGTCCTGCTTTATGCCTGGAAGCAGAGCGTTTATCTGTGTCCGCTTCGTGATACTAATTAAATACACAGATATCCTACACAGACCCTCCCTCTCACTTCCTAAAATATTGGAGGAAGGGAGAACCAAATATAGGACCCTATATTTTGTCTCTGCATCTAAATAAGTCAATGGATGTTCCCATTGTTCAATTACCCCTCCCTTTCCTTAGACATTCAGCAATCTTTCAGGTGGAAGGTGGTCCTGGCAATGGCTGCGTGGATTGTGTGCAGTGGCGCTGAGCACTTGCAAGCCAAGCAGCAATTCTGCCATCCCCCAAGCCCAGGGCCAAGAGGGCAAATGAGAGATTAGCAAGTGCTAGCATGCAAATTCATTTCCTATCTATAGGGATGGGTGGTTCTCATTTCTACAATCTTAAATTCAGTTCTTCACATTTCCACAACATTTTGTGATTTGTTTATTTTAAAATACTCCACGTTCATCAGCATTTTAGTGTGAACTTCTCCTAAAATATGCATCTTTTGTGTGTGGGATTTTGTCATATATAAACATTTTTGCACATTTTTTCAGAAATATGTGCGGTTTTATGAACACTATACCCAGTTTGTGCAGTTTTGTATGCATTTCTTGGCTGTAGAATTGCGCTCCAAAATTGTGAAAAGTGCAAATTTTGAAGGATAGCTGTGTTTTAGGTCACATATTGTTTTGGAAACTGTGAATTACGTTGGTTCACCTTTAAATGTGAACTGAATGAACACCCCCACATGCAAACACATCCCTACATATATGTATAGGCCACCCTATAACAAAAGTTATCACTACTGGCTACAGAATAAAAAGGAGCAAGTTAAAAACACCCACAATGGAAAAGTTAATACTAATAAGTACATTGATAGGGGGTTTGGCTAGATGATATTTGATGTCATTCACAGTTCTCCATGGTTCCACTATTCTAACATGTCCAAGAATATGTGCATCTGGGACTTTAAATTCCTTCTGCCCCAATGGGCATAAAAGCATTCAGGATAACACATAACGCCTGTGTTTGCAGAAGTACAACATTAGGACTCAAAATCAACCCTACTGGGTTTTCCCAAATGCTTAAATTTCTTTTATGTATAATGGTGACTAGTGATTTTGATTCCCTAATTAATAAGCTTTTTAAAAAATCTGCTACATCATCTTTTTCTTAAACTCTTATGCCCACCCACACTTATGTGTTCTGGGTGCCATCATTTTTTATTGATGGAACAGACAGTTTGGATTTTTACGAGACCACGAGGCATCAGATGGCTTGAGGACTAAAGTGTGGCAAGTGTGGTGGTTAGAGCTGGGGGGGGGGGCTTTTCAGCCCAAGGGCCGCATGCCCTTCTGTGCCACCTTCTGTGGGCCACATGCCAGTGCTGGCCATGACCAGAGGCAAAAAGAGAGCAAAACAAGGAAAGCAAATGTTATCTTTCTTCAGTAGGCTAATTTCTACACACATTCACACTCCCCATCTGTATCCTCCATCCAGGCAAGCAAGAGTCATTATCAGAGTTCAAGGATTCACTCCAGCCAGGCAAAAATACTCAAGGAGGGTGCAAACCAGAGTCAATGAGGAGTATGACTTGGAGAGAAGGTGTGGGGTTGAGGGCCAGCCTGACGGGAGCTATTTGGTGATGGGCCCGAGGTTCTCTAGCCCTGTGCTAAAACAAATAAGAGCCTGCTGGGTCAAGCCAATGGTCCATCTAGTCCAGGAAAGTGTTTCTGAGGTGATAGCAAGCAGCAAACACCATTTCTGAACGCTTGTCGTTCCTGCTTGCCATTTTAACTGTGAGTCACGTGAAGGTGCAAGTCATGGGATATTAGGAAAATCCCTGCTTGATCTCCCATAGTGGGTTTTAAGTAAGCTCCCAAGGAGATAGCATTTGGAGATAGCAAGGTTTGTGAGGGTAGCATGTGGCTCTGGAAGACAGATGTCAAAGACTTTCCATCCCAACGGCCAGAGTTGCTTCTGAGGCTTTGTGACTGAAGTCACTTCCCCTTCCCCTACACCAGTTCTGCCTCTCATTTTATAACTTTGGTCTGCAAGTGGTTAGGGCTGCTTTGAACCACCCATAGCCTTTCATATTCATTGTGGGGCCCATACAGACATCCTTTTTTATTGTGCGTTCATGAAGATTTGTGCTCATGGTGGTATTGGAGCAGCTCTGTGTACTCCTGCTTTCAGAGGTGCATTTAGGGCAGGGCAGCCTGTTCCCCTGAGAAGTGTAGTTTGTTAAGGGAGCTTGGAATTACCACTCTGTGAAAGGTAAACTATGATTCCCAGGATTCTTTGGCAGGGTGGAAAGAACGTGCTTTAAATGTGTGTTGTGTACGCAACCTTTGACAGTTGGTGTCACCCAGGACTTGATTCCCCATTGTATAGCAATTTTTAAATCACTTTAGTTCCTGCTCACATTACAGTGTTCTCTGTGCTCACCGCTGTCAGGGATTGAACTTGGGACCTTTCTGCCAGTTTCCACATGGGCTGTACCACTCAGCAATGTCTCCTCTCCATACCACATGCACCCTGTCAAATCAGTGGTCCATTCCATCCAGAACTGTTTATTATGATTGGTAGAGGCTCTCCAGTATGTCTGAGGCAGGGGTGCTCTCTACTGTAGTCTCTTTAGCTGGAGATGCCAAGTATTGGTCCTGGGACCTTTTGGGTGCAGAACACATGCTCTGCTACCAAGCTATGGAAATAGAAATGAGGTTACACTATAAAATCAGAATTCAGTTCAAAATGCTTGCTGGATTATTATTATTATTGTTGTTTTTAATTTCAGTAGGCAACGGAAGTTCAAAAGACCTCAATCTAAGCTGTTATGGGCCTTGCAAATTAATACAAGAACCGTGAACCTGGGTAGGATATGGGTTTCACCATCCTTTCCACAAACTTTCCAGGAGCTTCTTACTGAAATTATATAAAATTAACTCCTGTTTCTCCAGCTCTCTGTCGGCACCCAGCAAGGAAATGGCAGTAACAAATCAGATACATCGGCAGCACATTCCGAGCTGCCTCCCCTGCAAAACTCCTGCCTGCCTCCTTTTTAAATCCTAAAAGCAAAATGCACCAATCTTTAGAGGGACAGCAGAAGGGAGAGGGAGGAGTTGGTCGGTTGAAAGGAGAAATACATTTAATCCCTTTAATATTTTAAAATTTAATTATTTCCAAATTAGGTTAGCGAGTCTGACAAGAATCCTGCATCTAAAGTACGGAGCCCAGGGGCAGCTTTGGAAAATGAGACGAGAAATTAATATAAAAAAAGGAACCCTTTCGCTTCAAGGCAGCAGACTGGAACACTGGCATTCCATTACTCTGTCTGTCTGCTGAATTCATTTAGCATCTGTGGCTTAAATAGAATAGCTCTAAAGAGGCATGCTGCAGGCTGCGCTTGGCTTGCTGAGGCATTTCCCTCTGGAGGAATCAAACCGCATCAGAAAGAGGGTTGCAATTAAAATAATTCGGTTTCCTGATAAGATAGCAAGAGGGTCAGACCAAAGGCCTGTCTAGTCCAGTGTTCCTCAGTCCCAAGCAGTAGACATCCAGATGTCCCTGAGAAATCCACCAGCAGGATATAGCAATCAGTTTATTTGTTGCTTTTTATTGTGCCCTTCTAAGGAGCTCAGGATAATGTACAACATGCTCTTCCTCCTCCCCATTTTATCCACAGAACAGCAACCCTGTGAGGTAGGTTAATCCGAGAGGCCATGGTTGGCCCAAGGTCATGCCGTGAGTTTCATGATTGTGGATGGATTTGAACTCAGGTCTCCTCTGTCCACATCCAACACTCCCACCAGTACTCCAATGGGAAACAGCCATCTGTTCCTGTTTGCTCAGAAAGGCATCCCACCCCTGAACACAAAGGTTGAATATGGCCATTGATGGATATGACCTCCATTATTTATTAAGGTGGGGACTGCAACAAAATGTTGCAATTTGTCCATCTCTAAGTTGGGGGGGGGGAGTATTTAACGGTCAAAAGCAGCACTTTAAAATTCAGTGCAGAAATTGATTGGAAGTCAGAGATAGAACAGCATAGCTATAATGTGACCATAATGCCCAGTCCCAGTTAGTAATTTAGTACTAGCATTCTGCACTAAATACAGTTTCCAAACAGTCTTCAAAGGAAGCCCCGCCTACAGTGATTTACAGTAGTCTAACTTGGAGTTTGCCATAGCATAGATATTTTAGCCTAGCCTATCTCTTGTCCAGATAGGGTTGCAGCTGGCAGACCAAGCAAAGCTTGGAAACAGCCACTGTGCTGTGGAACTGTGTCACTGTTATATAATCCAGTTAAAAGCAAGCGTTCCAACACAGAAGAAGGCCGTGTGTGTGTGTGTGTGTGTGTGTGTGTGTGTGTGCAACTGTAGGAAGGTTAAAGCAGAGGCAGCATTAATTTTGCAACAACAAGCAAAATTGCCTTGATTGCAGCAGCCCACTGCTTTTTAGTCTGTGTTGGAGATTATCTTAAAATGTTGCTCCTCTCCAGCCTGGCATAGATTTTTGGGTGATTCTGGGCCATCAAAGCTTTACAGCAGTTTCGGTTGTGATTATTACATAGACTCTTAATCCTGCTACTTGATGCTAGACAGCCAGCTGGAAGGAAAGGCAGGGGGCGGGGAGGAGAAAGATTCATATTTAATTACAAATGTTTCACTTCTGGGCATTTTCAGCAACATCTGGAGAGCAGGAGGATGAAAGATAACCAGCAGCACCTCCCACCAAGATCAGTTGTGTCAAGCTTCCTGTTCTAATCTGGCTGCTATCCCAAGATTTATCAACAGATACTAGAAAAATACCTTGCAAGTGTAAGGTAGCATAGGGAGCAGAGTCGTGGTTTACAATGGAGAACGGTGTTGATCTGAACATACCATTTTGCCTGTATTTTGATATAACTTGGTGAAGGTGCATCAAAATGTATATAAATTTATGCCATTGTGGAAGCACACTTGCTGCATCATGTATAGATGTACCTACTCATCTCTAGGGTTTAGCTCAATAAAAAGGTCTCTTTGTAGCAGAAGCTGGATGCCCACAACACTGATTGGCTAGTGTTTGTTATGTCACTTGTCCTTTCTGTTGAGCCTAGCATGGGTGGGTAAGCAAGGGCATTTGGGCAGCACCCGTGATAATAAATTTGTCCTCTGTGTTTCCAATACATTTACAGTATGTATTTTTATTGCTGTATTTTCTTCCTTGGCATAAATCTTAGTCTGGAGTAAGTCCTGTTGAACAATGGTGTGACTTACTACTGAGTCAACATACAGAGAGTTGGCCTGTTAGTCAATTAATCACACAAGTTCGCCTGTTCATTAGTCAATTAAGTTTGCATGTAAGAAAAAGGCGAGAGTTTTAAAAATAAAATAAAGCATACTTTGTTTTTGAGTTATGATGCACACATATGTCACCCTAAGCATCACCTTAGAAGTAGAGATTTCGTTTTCTCTCATTTTCTCATGAAAATTCATCAGTAGTTTAGTGGGCATTTCTCCTAATATGTATATTTTTGCTAGCAATTTCCCCTAAAATAATGCATTTCTGGTATTTTCATTTGTAAGTACTGTCATACCTCATGTTACGTTTGCTTCGTGTTACGTTTTTTCAGGTTGTGTACCACGGCAACACAGAAGTACCGGAAAGGGTTACTTCCAGGTTTCGCTGCTCGCGCATGGGCACAAGCGCCAAATTGCACCGCGCACCTGCGCAGATACAGTGCTTCAGGTTGCAGGCTTTTCATGTTGCAAACGGGCCTCTGGAATGGATCCCATTCGCAACCAGAGGTACCACTGTACACTTTCCCTTAATAAGCACATTTTGTACTCTTTCTCTCTCTCTTTCTTTTGCTTGAGGAACTGCATTGCAAAAATTCAGAGAAGTGCAACTTTTGAAAGGTAGCTGTGTTTCATTTCTGCAGATTATTCTGAAAGAAGTGCGAAATAGATAGGATTGCACTAAAATGAGAATCGAATCAAATTTCTCCCCTTAACTCCAGGAAGCTTTCTTTTTCTTTTTTCTTTTCTAGAAAAAAGCAAAAAGAGATGTCTGAACCTCTGGACACCACTTATTGGAAACTGCAGGTGGGGAGAGTTGTGCTTGTGGACTTCCCATAATGGACATATGATTAGCAACCGTGATAATGTTTGCTTATTTATTATATTTGTTCGGCACCGTTTGCAAGATGTGCCAAAGTGACTTGCAAAATATTAAAATATAGAACTTACCCAGCATTCGTTTAAAAGGCATAACCCAGAGGAATAATAAAAGTGTTCATCCATCAACTATATCATTGTCTGCTAGCCACAAAAGGCTATCAATGGCTACTAGCCATGATTGCTATCCTCTACCTCCAGTTGCTGGAAGCCACAGGAGGGAAGGATGCTCTTGTGCCTGGTTCCTGCTTGCGAATTTCCCCCAGGCATCTGATTGGACACTGTGAGGACAGAAGGCTGGACTAGATGGGCCGCTGGCCTGATCCAACAGCCAAGATTTACATTCATTTACTTCCCTGAAATGCTGTCTTCACCATTAATGAACCTCTTCTTATAAAGCACCTCAAAGCAATTTCACATTGCAACATATATAAAACAATTGCAGGTATAAAAACAATTAAAACAACTGCCAGTACAAAAGCAGTTTCCATTCCGGCTGGGGATAGTAAATCTCTTAAAATGATTACTGAAAAAGGAAAGTCCTTCCTAGCCGTGTCTACCTCATTGAACATCTGCTAGTGAGCATGTCTGGTTCTGTGTACAGGGCCTTACCACTGTAGGCACTTAATAAATGTGCAATATAGTTTATATTACAGTTACTAGTTGCTGGGCATGATTCTTCCCTCTGGACAGACACCTTTTGTCCCCCGTGCTTGGTGGGCAGCTAAGCTGGAATTGATCAAATGCCTGTCCTGTCACACTCTTCTCCCCTCCCCACCTCAAACCCTGTTTTATTTCAAGATTCTCCACTCTTTACACGAGGTTAGCTCACCTGTTCCGTGGCAGTCACAGCTTCAGCAAGCAAGCGTGGGTGTGCCTATGAGGAAAATTAATGGGAACCAGTTAGGTTTAGCAGGGAACCAGAACAATTAGGAGGTGACCTCCAGGAGCAGAAAATTGTCTTCCTATCAGGTAAACAAGCTCAGTCTCTGTTATAAGGAAAGTAAAACCATTGAAAGGGTGGGAGACTAGGCGAGCCTCCTGAGGCAATGGCAGCAATACCACAGATGATTTTTTTTCTTTTAGAATGATAGCAAAAAAGCCCCTTTCCTACCTGGTTATGCTGGAGAACAGGTTTGGTTTACAATTTTACCTGAATAACTATTTTAATGTAGGTATTATAAGTACAGGGAAGAAGGTGTTAAAAAAAATGGTGCCAGTATTCATATATTGGTGAAAGTGCTGTGGGTACCAGCTCAAAATGTCTGCCATGGGCAGCAGAAACTGAGGTTCCAATTACTCAGTACCAGGAAATATTGTCCCCCCAAAATCTCTGGATACTGTATACCTTTTACTGGAAAGGGAAAAAATAGATTAACCATATTTTTCTGTCTATAAGACTCCCCCATGTATAGGACGCCCCGTATTTTGGGGGACTCTGCTTTAAGAAAATGGGGAAAGATCTATCCATGTATAAGATGCCCCCAAATTTTGGACATTATTTTCAAGGGGGGAAACCTAGTCTTATACATGGAAAAATAGGGTATATTAACCCAAGTCAGTGTCTATTGGTCCTACTTTCCACAGGACTGTGCTCTTTTTGATGGGCTAATATTCCTCTTTCTGGTGGACAAACAATTCACTCTTGGAAGCTGTCTTCTACATAAGGGCACAACAGTACTCTTTCTAATTGACATCACCAGGAACTTGTATTCACAGGTTGACTGGCTCTGATACTGGAGAGAGAACAACACCATTGTGGCTGGCAATCTCTGATAGCCTTACCTTCCACCTGGCCTACCCCATGATTTTTTTTCTAATCCTCTTTTAATGCCACCCAAGTTGGTGGCAATCGCTAACTTTGCAGTGTGAACGCCCTAGTTTAACTCTGTGCTATGTAAAGAATTACTTTATGTTTGGGGGGAGGGAGAGTTGCAGGGGTCTTGAAATTGCCCATCAACAGTTAGCACCTGGGTAACAGATTGAACAGACGCACAGTTGGCCTCGTCACTGTCAGATGTGTTGCAATTCTATTTAAATCATTATTTGTACATTTTCATTTACATATATAATTTTTCATATCCTCTCCTTTGGTGATGTGAAAGTAGGCCCTAGGCCCAATGTCTCTGAATTGAGCTTTAAAACTGGTTTCCGTAAACCATAGTTTAGATTAACCACATATTGGCAAACTCTGGTTAGTCAAAAAATAGAAATGAAAGCTTCCAATCTTATGGCCATGGTGGAGGAGAGGGTTAGGTGGAAGCACACAGTCCCATGGCTCATTCATGCAATGTTATTCTATAGATTTAGTTTTATGTTTGAACAAGACCTTATTAAGATATAACCATAAGAAAGCTGGGGAGGACTTGGCATAAAATTCTTAGGGTTCACCTTTGAAAGAAGCATTTGAAATTAGGTCAGCCTAAAACCTGCCCTAGCAACTTTTTATCTTGTTATAACTGTCAGAGGAGTGGAGAACTTGTCTACTGATCTGATTCAGTCTAGCAGACCACGTTTTGCAAGAACAATTTTAATCAGCTTGAGATTTCTTGCAAAGCGTTTTGCCTTTGAGCTCAGTTCTCAGACCACTGCCTTAATTTCTAGTCGTGTGCAAGAATAAAGGGGAGCACAGGGGAAGAAGAAGAAGAAAGGGGAGATGAAACCGGGAGGTCAGATTTCAGAGAGAGTAAGGAGAAGTAAATTAAAATTGTGTGTCTCCATGTTCAAAGTTGAGGAGCTGGCATGACTTGTGAAGTGCCACTCTGAGGCACACTTGTTGTGCATGCAAAACTATGCATAGACATGCTGCGAAGCACCACATGTAAGCCGACACAGTTTTGGAAGGATCAGAAAGCTTTTCTTTCGCAGCTGTACATTTCATGGATCCAAGTGTTTCCCTATCTTGTTGTCATCTAACGAACCACAGGTGGTGGCAGACACTGGAAAAAACCCAAAATCGTTGCGCAGATGGTGGGAAAGGAAAGGAGGGAAACTGCAGACATTGTTTCCAGACTCTGAAAGGCAGGGGTGGAGACTCTGGCAGCTGCAGCCCATAACGTCAGAGGCTGTGCTGGGTAGCTCAGGAAATGCTTAATTCTGCCTGAAGCCCAGAAACGTCTTTAGCTGGGGACAGCTTTAAAATGAAGCAGAGGCACGTCAGGAAGCAGGCCTAAGGCTGAGAGACAGCCAGCAGTTAAAATGCCTGCCAGCAAGCAGTGAAGTGCAAGTGGGGCACTGCCCCGCTGATCTCAGTCTAGGGACGGTGGGAGAAATTTTATTCGTTTTGTATTTAAAGGCAAGCCTACCTATTTTGCACTTTCTAGAACCAATATGAAATTTATTTACAAAATAAATAAACCTTTTGAAATTAATACCTCTCCAAATTTTGCAATGCAGTTCTTAGAAACACATGCAAAAGTGAATACACTGGGGCAGAGTGTGCATATAAATGCATTCATTAGTGAAGGTGACATACAGAAATGCTTTATATTGGGTGAAATTGTTTTGCAAAAATAGCATACAAAAAAAAGTCTACAATGGGATAAATTTGCCCCAAAATGCCAATGAATTTTTCTGACTTTTAAGGCGAGGAGCTGGTGTCAAAACAGAGAACTGGACTTAAGACCAGGGAAAACTAGAAGCGGAGATAAACAAAAACCAACAGATTTGCCTATCCCATCTTACAGCTAATCTTATGTGTATACCTTGCTGCCAGCCTCCACATCCATAGTCCCAGTGTTGCCCTTGTAGAACTCAGCGAGGAGGTGGGAGAGGAAACTAGAATTAGTTGGCTTTGTCTTTCATTGGGTCTGGTGCCACCTGCTGTTGATCTTCCTGCCCCTTCCTGCCCCACAAGTTCTGGTGGGCACTGGGCACTAATGCTAGCAAGTGTTCCTTCCTCCCAACTGCCCAGAAGTCAATGCTTAATCCGGAGTGGAGTCCCGAAGATGTTTGGTTGGCATCTTGTACACCTCCGCCCAGCAACCAAATGTATTGCTCTGCTTTTCTTTTTTTTGGACCACATCAGTGATGCCAAGATCCGAGTCTTGTCATCTGGGCAGCACAGGACCTCCACACGCACTGCCCAGGCTTGCGCCCCAGAGAGGTCACTCCAGTGCTGCTAATGCGCTAAAAACAATGCAGGAGGAAGCAGTTCTGAGTTACCAGTCTCTGCAGCCACAGCCGTTTGACTTCATCTGTAGAGGCATACTCCATTGTCTCTCAAGGTAGACGAATGCCAACAACAATGTTTCTCCTTTTTGTTGTTTTTTTCATATTTGTGCAAATCGCCTTGAACTTTTATTCTAATGCAAAGGTAGTTAAGAATATATATATATATATATATATATATATATATATATATATATATATATCTGTGATGTAAATAAGTGCCACCACTGCAATCTGTATGGGTTTCTGTTTGCAACCTAGGAGACCTCTGAATTCCACCCTCTTCCAGACTGCAATCCCAGATGCGCTACAAGACCCCCAGCGGGTATCTCTGCTTCTGAAATATGGCACTCGGGAGACTCCGTAGCCCACAGTTCCTTCTCCTCAGCTTCACTCCAGTCATGCTATAACCTGAGTAAGTAGCTCTGCAGATGCTTACCAGATGCTAACGTCTCACTACACTTCAGCAGGTTCCCCGATAACAATACTAGGGTGTTACTATGGTGATAACAGATTCACTAGAGGGCTGAATTAATCGAGCAGCTTTGCCTATTAGGATCTGTATAGTTACCATAGTGTTCATTCAAACAAACGTTCCATCACACTCAGGTTGTCGGGTTTTTTTATGACCAAACTGATCGTTTTACCACCGGGTTCCCCATCTCTTTGCGGACGGTTATTTTGCTGTCTAAGCAGGTCCTAATCAAATTAACCGATCTCTTCCTTTTCATTCTCCTGGGGTGGGGGGGTATAGCAGGGGATGACTTTTCTGCTTTCCCCAGCCCCCAGTAATGATAGAAAATGTGATGGCTTTGCCATTGCAATGTTAAAATGGAAATGGGGAAAAAACAACTCATTCCATAATCCCCACCCCCAGTCTCCATCTGCTTTTTAGCTGAGTTGATTCAGTGGTTGGTTGTGACCCGCTGAAATTGGTAAAGGACGTTGGGAGTTTCATGGGATTTGGAACTGCATGGGCTGAGGCTGGAACCTAGCCTAGCCAGCTAGGACTGTTTTGTTCCTAGGGATGGGCCATAACTAAGTGACAGAGTGCTTGCTTTGCATGCAGAAGGTCTCAGGCACTAGCAGATGGTGTGGGAGGGCAGAGGCATGGTAAGTGGAGGTTGGTTCATCAGGGTAGAAGGGGGACTACAGTCTGCCTTCAGCCAGATGCCAGCTCCCTTGCCTTCTAACTTATAACCAATCTAGGAGGGTGGCAATGCCTACCAGCTTCCTCCTCTTCAGAGCCAGTGTTACTGAGCAAAGAGGATGAGGACAAAACTAACATTTGTCGGCTCTCTCTGTCATTGCCTCTGATGCCAATGACAGTAGAGCTCCCTGGATCCCACCCTACCAATCTGAATGGGCACAAGCCATGGAAATGCCCTACCAACACCAACATCCCTGCAATGAGGCAGCAGGGTAGTGGTGGGACCACTTGCCACACAGACACACGGTAGAGGTTTGAGCAAAGCAGAGATGTAGAGAAATTGAGAGGGGGGAAGTGGTTATTTTAAACAGTGGCAGATGTTTGAGTAGACCTAGCAGGGGATAACATTGAGGGGGGAAATGGCAGCTTGAAACATGGTTTGAGTACAGTGAGAAGGGTGTTTCGAAAGGCTCTGTTTCGTTGGCTTCTGTGTTGTGCACATCTCTGCTATTTCTTCTTGTTAAAACTGATTTTTTCTTAAAAGATGACCCCTCGGTGTACCTGCTTTAATCAAAGCTCTGCTGTTGTTTAATAACACTATTTTTCTATCAGTGTTCCTCCACCCCCACTTGACTCAAAGTTCTGCCATTGTTTAAAACAGCCACTTTTTTCTTTTCAGTACATCTCCTTTCTCACTGTTCTCAAACTTCTCTCTCTTCCATTTCCTCAGCTGCCTCATGTGAAAAAGATAAAGAATGTGGGCTCCTCAAATATTCCATAGTACACTTCACACAATGCATTTCATTCCTGGTACCATGTGCTGTCTTCAACATGAAGTTCCAGATTCAGTAATTTAGTGTAGGTACTTTACTAACAAGGGACGTGGGTGGCGCTGTGGGTTAAACCACAGAGCCTAGGACTTGCCGCTCAGAAGGTTGGCGGTTCGAATCCCCGTGACGGGGTGAGCTCCCGTTGTTCGGTCCCTGCTCCTGCCAACCTAGCAGTTCAAAAGCACGTCAAAGTGCAAGTAGATAAATAGGTACCGCTCTGGCAGGAAGGTAAACGGCGTTTCCGTGCGCTGCTCTGGTTCGCCAGAAGTGGCTTAGTCATGCTGGCCACATGACCCGGAAGCTGTACACCGGCTCCCTCGGCCAGTAAAGTGAGATGAGCGCTGCAACCCCAGAGTCGGCCACGACTGGACCTAATGGTCAGGGGTCCCTTTACCTTTACCTTTTACTTTACTAACAAGCGGATACCCATATATATATAAACAAATTTCATCAACTGAACATAATCTTCTCTAGCTGAGCAAACCAACTGACTTTCTTGCTCTTAAGATTCTATTTATCTTAAAATTACAGCAACATATATCTCATTGTGGTGGGATGTGCAAAGCAGAACAGGAGAGAGAGCCAGGCATGGAAATGGGGGTGTTCTATGTTCAAGGGAGCATTAAGCAAAGTGAGGAGCAGAGGAGAGGGGGAAAGGAAGTGAAAATGAGGGTGCAAAGAAAAAAATAAGGGATATCGGAATGGGGGTGAAGATGAAAGCAGGGGCATGAAATCTGAAGAATAGGAGGTTTCAAGGGGGGTTCCACATAAGGAGAGGGAGGACGAGGCAGGGACATGGTGGGTAGATGTGGACATGGTTGCAAACAGGGACGTCTTTAACATTGGGTGTAGTGGCGCGGCAAGCCAGGGTGCCAAGCAGTGGAGGGCGCCAGGCGGAGAGGAGGGGGAGAGGAGGGGGGAGGTAAGCGAGGCGAAGCGAGGCGAAGCGGGGGCTTGGAGGCTGCGTGCCTCCAGCACCCGTCGGAGACTCTACCACCACTCCCCCCATCCACTCTACCTCGAAAGATCCCTATGCTTGAGGCTACACGCTGCAACTGCTGCCCCCAGCACCCCTCCCTCCTTCCCCTAATTCTCCACCGCCTTGCACGGAGCCTGCCTCCTCCCGCTGCCCCCACCATCTCTGCACTCCTTCACACGAACAGCGTTTCCTTCCCCCCGCCCAATCCCCTCCCAGTCATGCTCTCTCCTCCCCGCCCCCTCCTCCCCAAGCAAGGATGGCAAGACTGCAGCTGAGTGAGTATGTTTCTCTGCTGCGGCTACGCGGACGGCCCAGCTCACTTCACCTGTTGCCTCCCGTGTCACCCCCATTGCACCTGGCTGCCCAGCCCCACACCATGATCCCACCGCAGGAGCCGATGCCTGGCTGCACGCGCAGCAGCACAGGGCAGCAGTGCGAGGGCTGGAGCAGCCTTTCCTAAAAAAGGTCAACAACTTTGGGGTCCCCCCCTTAAAAAGGTCAACAACTCTGGGAAAGGATCTTTGCACCACGGCACCAAATATACTTAAGATGGCTCTGGTTGCAAATTGGGGCTGCATAATTGAATACAGAAGTGGAATTGGAAAGGGGTTTGGGAATTATTATTGTTGTTGTTGTTATTATTATTATTATTATTATTTTATTATTATTTAAACCCCGCCCATCTAGCTGGGTTTCCCCAGCCACTCTGGGCAGCTTCCAACAAAATATTAAAATACAATAGCCATTCAGATGTTAAAAGCTTCCCTAAACAGGGTTGCCTTCAGATGTCTTCTAAAATCTGGTAGTTGTTTTTTCCTTTGACATCTGGTGGGAGGGTGTTCCACAGGGCAGGCGCCACTACCAAGAAGGCTCTCTGCCTGGTTCCCTGTAACTTGGCTTCTTGCAGTGAGGGAACCGCCAGAAGGCCCTCGGCGCTGGACCTCAGTGTCCGGGCAGAATAAGGTGGGTGGAGACGCTCCTTCAGGTATACTGGGCCGATGCCGTTTAGGGCTTTAAAGGTCAGCGCCAACCCTTTGAATTGTGCAAAGGTCAACAACTTTGGTCAGCCCTTTGGTCGGCCCGTGCGGCCCTTCACTTCATCAAATCTTTCAAAAAAAGTTTGGACACCATGCGGTTAATGTGGGGTGAGAGTGACTAGTGAGTGACTAGGGAGCAGGGGTACAGCCCCTATTACTGCATTCATGCATATGAGATGTTTCCGTTTTGCCTATTGTTTATATGTTTTGTAATTAAATAACCCCTTGCGAGTATGGTTTATAGTACCATAGGAAAGCAGCATACAAATAAATGGTGATGATGAAGAAAGCACCTTTAGCACCTTTCGCAATTATTCTTGTGAGGGCTTTGAGAGAAGGTCATCTTGCATATCCAAAAAAAAAGCAACGTGTGCAGCAATATCTCATTTCCTTGCCAGCGCTTTTAGGAATGCTCACTGGTATGGTTGTCCATGAGGTTGCTGCATCAGCAAGCAACTGCTTGGGATCAGCGGTGAAACTTTTTCTAAGCCCATCCACTTCACCAGAGAGCAGCAGATGATGGCTTATCAGCATTGGGTCTGGCATGGGCTTGCTAGGGCCCCCTGGGGCTGATGCCAGTCAGCACATCATCTTCTGATTCCTTCTTTTTTTATAAAGGGGTTGACTGTGTTTTACTCAGAGTAGGCTTGCTGAAATTAATGGGCCTAACTTAGTTAATTTCAATGGGTTTACTCTGAGTAGGATTAACACTGGAAACAACCCATTAAAATTCATGGTTAGCTTAAGCCCATCAGTTTCACTGGGTTTACTGTCAGCAGAACTTCTTTGGAGCTAACCCTTGTTACCCTTTTCTACAACACAACAGTAGCTGTTCCCAGGTAAATGGATTTACCATCAGAAGCAGAAGCAGGTCCCGTTTGTATTCCTGCAGTGATGGTTGTGGTTTTATTTAAGTGAGTAAAATGCAGAACCGCACATGGTCAAAAGTATTCTTCATTTTTTTAATCAGGGCAAACTATTTCTTGCTCTAATGCTTCAGGAATGTGGAAGCAGTTGTAAAGCTAGGAACTGGCGTGTGTGAGTATGATGAGAAAATATTAATTGTGTGCTTCGCAACCGAAGTAATACATACAGCGTCTAAAGGGGGCTCCTGTAAGATCATGAAGCCCAGGGTCCAAAATTAACTGCTTAGGAAGGGGGCTCTGTTATTGCTGCACCAATCCAGTGCTGCATGCTGTGAAGATGGCCTAACTTTTTTTTATTTTTTTAGGCAGGCACAGGAGTGTGAAATACTGAGGATCAGGGTGCCAATTTAACTGAATTACATGCCTTGCATGTAGACAAGACCTCTTGAATCTTGCAGTGTGGGAGCCTATTGAGTCTGATGGTGATGAGCTGTCGGTAGAACCTTAGGCTTCAGGTTTTATGATTCCACACACCCCCTGCTCTCCCTCCCTCCCCCCACCTCCCCAAACCCTCCCACCCCCTTCTGCAATAACCATAATCGTCCCCTAGCCGGATGTGTGTGATTCATTTCACCATACCCAGTCAGTGCTTGCTGGCAGACGCTTCATTGGTATTCAGAGCAGCGGCCCGTCTGTCGCTCCTCCATGTGCTCCAGGTCTGGGATCCTCAGGGAGCCATGCAGCTGTCAAATTGACTTCCATCATTCCCTCCCTGAGCCGAGAGACAAATTATCCAGCCAGCTGTCAGACGAGACTCTGTGATCGAACCTGCAATTTCTAAGTGATAAAAAAACAAAAAAAAACCACCCGAACACTCCACGTCCCCAAAACTAAGCCAGCAAGCACTTTGCGGGAGGGTGGTGGCACAAGGAGGAGGGAGGGAGGGTTCGGCAGGTGGCAGGAAGGAGGAGGGTGTTTTTATCCCAGTTTCTTATTCTTCAGAGGTTATTAGCTGGGGCTGTGTGATGTCTTTGCAAAAGAGGCGAACATAATGGTTTGGCAGGAGCCCCAGTTGACTCACAGTTGCACGCTGGTGAGGAACTGCGGCTTCCTCAAGAGACACAGTGGCATTTCAACACTGCCCAACTGAGGCAGGAGTTTTAACAGTGCTCAACGGTGCTCGCAGGAAGGGAACCTTTTGGCCCCTCTAGATGGGTGGAGTTTTCGTTTTTGCGAGTTGTGGAGGCAATAATAGCGCATTTGCGGCAGATTGATACTGGGCTGCCCACCCACTATTCTGCTGTATTAACTGTCCTGCAGTGCTTTGCTCGTGTTATTGCATTATTGCAGCGCGGAGGGTACTATGAAAGCAGGACAGCAACAAGCATATGGAAACCTCAGGTAAGGGATATCAGGAGGAGATTACAGTATGTTCACGGACTAGAGAATAATAGCAGCGTGGCTAACCCCCAAACTTTTGGTAATTGCTAACAGCATTGAAAACGGGATTGTGTATAACTGCCCCAATACCATACTGAGCACAAATCATGAATGAAAAATAAGAAGGGTGTCTGGTGGAGGGGCCCTTATACCTTTATACCGCTGATCCAAGTGTGTCCTCTACATGATATGCATATTGGCGACACCTCGGCTCCACATGCACACTGTGCTTGAAAGAGCTCAATTATGAGCCCTGCAGAGCCATCGTGGCACGTGTCAGTGTGTCCATTTTAAAATACCAGCTGAAGCGAGGAGGCTGAGGAAGTGGGGAGGTTGGAGATTAGTCACAGGCTATTACACTCCAAGAGGCGATAAGGGCAGAGGAGGAATTACTGGACAGTCGTTCTCCACTTGAGGCGGCCTCCTAATGCACGTATCATTCCTCAGATCGTGTCCGCCTCTCTCTCTCTCTCTCTCCCTCCCCTCCTGCCTGCTTCTGTCCGGCCTTGTGTTTTGAGGCATTTGCTGTTATCTTAGCCATACAAAGTGATTGTTAGGGAAGCGGACATGAGTGGGATGTGTCCCAAACGCAGCAACAGCATTTCAACAGCCTTTTAAAAGCGAAGGAGCCATTTCTCTCTGGCACCTTCTGCGTACAAAGTTCTCATCCTACCTTGCAACTGCCCTTGAGACTGAGGGAACCGAGGCTGGCTGATGAAGAGCTGCTCAAGGCCATGATAATAAGGAAATATTTGAACCCAAACCTTCCGGATCAGATCCAACTAGATCACATCCACACCGTCCATATAAAACACATGGCTTCCACACGAGGACTCCGGGAACTGTAGTTTGCTGCTCACAGAGCTACAATTCCCAGCACCCCAAAAATTATAGTTCCCGGGTTTCTTTTGAGGAAATCCATGTGCTCCGAATTTGTGGTGGGGATTAGTTCTATGTCTCACAGAAATCTCTGTGAAGTGAATTTGGTGGCAAGAGGGAGGGTGGGGGAGAGATCATTCTAAAGTCAAGTCAAGTCAGTGTTGGTGTCAGGAAGCCTGAGTAAAAATCCCTCCTCAGGTGTTGAAGTTCAATGAGCAACCTTGGGCCAGTCAGTATGACCTACCCTACAGGGTTGTTGTGAGAGCAAAAGTATGGGAAGAAAGAAGCCAAGTATGCTGTCTTGAGCTCCATGGAGGAAAGGCAGGATATAGACATCTAAAATAAACAAATTTCAGGTGGTTCTTTTCTGCCTGTGCAAAACTTTTCTGAATGGCAGGAAGTAATTTCTGTACTTGGGAGGCGGGGTTGGCGTGTGGCAGAGAAGCTCTTTGCAAAGAAAAGGGCAAAGGAGATGTTGCAGGCAACCATATAGGCTGTTTCCCTAGAGACTGAACAAAAGGATGTGAAAGGCTGGATTATGTTTGAACCCCCGGCGTTCCCTTCTCACTCAGGTTTCCAAGGTCATTGGTAATGTTTCCAGGGTGCAGACTCCCACGTCTCCCATGAGAACGAGAAAAGGGATCATCAGCTGGAGCACTGGCGGCTGGTAACATTTTGATTTGGTAAGGTTGTAATTTTTAACCTTGCTGTTTTCACCACAATAGGACATGGGCCGCACCTATTTAGGAAAGTGTGCCATTGCACACGTTCAGAGTGTCATTGCCTCATCACTAAAAATATATATAGTTGTACCTCATTTTATTGTGCATTGTTTTATTGCGGTTCATAGGTATTGCTCCAGGAAAAGGAAACCTGCCATGCCTCTGCTAGCCACGGGAGGGGAGCTAGCTAGAGCTGGACCTGCGTTTTTCCACTCCTGCCCCTGCAGGTCTGGCTTAATAGACTACAGTATAGTGTAAACATAACTTTTACATGCACTGGGAAACCAAAAGATGTGTGTGACTCAATTTATTGCAATATTCGCAGTGGTCTGGAACCAAACCCACAGTATCTACAAGGTATGCCTGTATGTATGTATGTATGTATGGTTGTGTGTGTGTGTGTTTATTATTCCCTACACACCTATGGACGAGGGAAGAGTTTCCATGTAAAAGGGCCGAAGTGCAATTTTCAGACAAGATTAACTCCATACCTCTTATTTAGAAATTAAGCCGTACCACAGGATGTCAGTTCTTGGATTCATGTAGTGTTTACACCTGTGTGCTTAGAATCAAAGTATGATTGCAATGTAGTTTAATGCTACTACATAGAGTTGTTCTTAATGCCTGAATCCTTCCATATTGGCTATAACGGCTTGACAAGATAGGCCTCGTAACAACAAATGGAGCAAGAGTCTTCCTACTTCAGGCTGACTTTCAGGCAGTCCGATCAGTCACTGGTTTTCCTGCTAAGAGATACATGGGCAGTACCTCCTTACCATTGCTATTCTTTTGGATTAGGATTGGCTGAGTGGTGCATAAAGGAGATTAACAGAAACGCTTCTATAAATTCAAGGTAGTATAAAATGTGTATGTTGCAGGAACGAGTGTGTGGCTCTGATGTTTCGAGGATGTTGTTGTTGCTGTTTAATTGCTTTACAGTTCCATTGTAAGAGTTGTGCCCCAGTAGCTCCAATGAACCAGCCTCCCTTGAGCTGGAGCCTTCATATGCGTAAACCCACCCAACCAACTATGCTTGAAGGCTTAAATAGGGTTAGGTAAAGGGACCCCTGACCATTAGGTCCAGTCGTGGCCGACTCTGGGGTTGCAGTGCTCATCTTGCTTTACTGGCCAAGGGAACCGGCGTACAGCTTCGGGGTCATGTGGCCAGCATGACTAAGCCGCTTCTGGCAAACCAGAGCGGTGCATGGAAACGCCGTTTACCTTCCCGCCGAAGCAGTACCTATTTATCTACTTGCACTTTGACGTGCTTTTGAACTGCTAGGTTGGCAGGACCAAGGACCGAGCAACGGGAGCTCACCCCGTCTCAGGGATTCGAACTGCCGACCTTCTGATCGGCAAGTCCTAGGCTCTGTGGTTTAACCCACAGCGCCACCCGTGTCCCCTTAAATAGGGCTACCCGCTACTGAATATGAGCAGGGTACTGACCTTGGCTGTGCATGCAGACCTAATCCATTCACTCTGCTTGAAGTGCCTCCAAACGGCCTGAAAAGATTGCTAAGATTTTCCTGTGATTTACACACACAGCCCTTGCACTTGGCAACCGGATGGAAATCGAAATATCACACCCTACATCCTTCCGTTTTCAAGATCGGGCATGAACTAGGTCATTGCTGCAGCTTTGAATTCTGCAGCCTACGAGCACAAGTGACTTCCCAGAAATGACCCACGACTGGGAGCAGTAGGCTGGAGTAGCAACAATTTCCTCTCAGCATGAACCTGCCAGACCTAGCCTCCTCCCCCACTGCCACCACCGCCACCAAGCTTTCTCTAGCTCTTTTTATGAAAACTAGGTCAGGGCTTTGAACTGCAAAAAGTCTCAGGGCTCCCTGTTTGTTTTATCACTGTCACCACCCAGCATAGCGGAACAACCTACCCGCCAGCCGCTTCCTCGTGGCTAGACAGAGCACACATGCCTTCGCTGCACACCTTAGAGATATAAATTAGAAACAGCTTTGCACAGAAAACAGCTCTCCTGTTTGGAAATTGTGTGAAGCAAGGGAGATTCTAATGACCCAGTGACGCTGCAGCAAAGCTCTTCTATCCATGGAGAGTTTCTTGAAAGCAATGAGGGGATAACAGGCTATGTGAGATATAGCTGTATCTATACAGGGGTGCCAGCTCCTGGGGGCCGGGCCCTTTTGGGGCCCCTGAATATTTTGGGGGTGGGGGCTAGGCCCTCCCAATGTCCAAGGTGAAGCAGAGAGCTGAGTGTGGTGACAGACTCAAGTGGACGGCTCCCTCTTTTCTTTTTCCTGCTATGGAGGGGAAGGAGGGTTGAAGCAGCCTCCCACCATTGAAGCCACACAGTCATGTTCAGCCCCGTCCCCAGCTCCTCCTGACATCATGCATGTGCCGGTTCGCCACCCTCGCAAATGGCGCAAATGGCACGTCTGTATCTTATCTATCTATCCAATCAGATCCATGTTAGCAGAGAATGTGATCCTTAAAAAAAGTGGCTGCATACTCATCATACATTTAAAGCACGTGACTTCTGCAAAGAATTCTGGGAACTGTAGTTTACCCTTCAAAGAGCTACAATTCCCAGCACCCTTAACAAACTACAGTTCCTAGGATTCTTGGTGGGGGTGGGAGTGTGTGCACTTTTTAAATGTGTACGTAGCCAGAGTTTCCCTGGTCACACTTAGACTCCATTGGCACTTTACATTTTAAACAGTACTACAGTGGTACCTCAGGTTACAGACGCTTCAGGTTACAGACTCCGCTAACCCAGAAGTAGTACCTCGGGTTAAGAACTTTACCTCAGGATGAGAACAGAAATCGTGCAGCAGCAACGGGAGGCCCCATTAGCTAAAGTGGTACCTCAGGTTAAGAACAGTTTCAGGTTAAGAAAGGACCTCCGGAACGAATTAAATTCTTAACCTGAGGTACCACTGTATACAACTTTAAACAGCCATGATTCCCACCAAACAATCCTGGGAATGATAGTTTGTTAAGCATGCTGAGAGTTGCTTATTGCATTTATATCCCACCCTTTTCTCTAACGAGCTCAAGGTAGCATTCATGGTTCTTCATCTCCTCATTTGACCTCCATAACAACCCTGTGAGGTAGGTTAGGCTGAGATGCAGCGACTGGCCAAAGGTCACTCAGTGAGCTTCACGTCCAAATGGGGATTTGAACCCCGGTCCTCAAGATCCCAGTCCAACAATCTAACCACTACGCCACACTGGCTCTCAGCAATGGTGGTTGTGATTATTATGGTTGTGGTGATTTGGTGGAAATTTTATGCTAGGTAGGACTCCAAGCGGTGCAGGGATAGAACTGCTAGCACATTTGCAAAGCTAAGCAGGGTCCGGTACGGTTTCAAATTGGATGGGGGACTGTGTGTTGGGATTCCTGCATTGCAGGTGGTTGGATTAGATGACAGTTGGGGCAAATGAAGGTGTCCAATTTTGCTGCTACTGGTGAACCATGGTGTTTCTTCTCTCTGCGCGCCTCCCAGCAGTCATTCCTCCTCTGGTCACTGCTATGGATACACAACCTGACAGTCTCCAGGCACTGTGGTCATCTGCAAGAGATTGATGTTGCCAGCCTTCATGTCTCGTTTGCAGACATCTTTGTAATGCAGATTTGGACTGCCAATGGGCCTGGTGCTTGAAGCCAGCTCCCTATAGAGTACGTCTTTGGGGATCCTGCCATATTCCATTCTGTGGACATGACCAAGCCAGTGTAGACGTCGCTGAGACAGGACTACGAACATGCTGGGAATGTGGACTTGGAAGAGCACATTTTGTTCTGCCCCGCGATGTACAAGGGGCACCTCTGCTCTCAGCATTCCTCTTGCAGCTGACACAGTGCAAAAATTATGTCGACTGTTGACCTCTCAGCTCTAAAGCCACATTGTGTTAGCAGGTGAATGTAATCTGTTGAGAACTACACAGCCAAAGGCTTTCCACACAATACCGAGCAGGGAAATTCCACGGTAGCTGTTACAATCATGATGGTCACCTTTGTTCTCATAGAGGGTCACAATGTGGGGGTCTTACATGTCTTGTGGTGTTGATCCTTTTTCCAACACTGCAAGAGAAGGCACATCTTGAGAGAGGAATTGAAGCCAGCTTTCAGCACTCCTGTTGGAATTCTGTCCTGTCCTGGGGCTTTACCACATGCCTGAGAGTAGATGGCGTTTTTCAGCCCGTCAAGGGAGGGAGGGATGTTCAGCTCTTCCAAGACAGGCAGAGTCTGGATGCTGTCAATCGCTGTGCCAGAGACCATGTTCTCCCACGGGTACAGTGGTGTGCCCATCATCTGCTTGCTGCAGTCTGTGATGATCTCTCCTGACAAGGTTTTCAACAGTGTCGTTTTCCTGACTGTTGGTCCAAAGGCTTCCTTTATGCTTTTGTACATTTTCTGAATGTTGCCATTGTCAGCAGCGAGTTGAATGCTCCAACACAGATTTAGCCAGTAGTCACCGGAACATCACCTGCTGGGCATCACCCCTTGCCTTTGTCAGTGCAGCAAGTGTCTTTTCACAGGGCACGCGCTTGTAGTTCACAAGAGCCTCGCACTATGCAGCGATAACAAGCTCCACGTCCTTTATGCCAGCATCAAACTAGTTGGGGATCTGTTGCTCTCTTTTGCCATAGGAGGACATAGCTGTGATATGGTTTCAGCTTGATTCAACGCAGGGCAGTTCAGTAGAGTTTGTTTGACGGAATCAGAGAACTGTTCACAAAGCTCAGGTATGACTGTTGAGGCAGTGTTAATTTCAAGCCACACATTCTGTTTTGTTCTATGAGCCCTCTGTGGATGGAGATGGATCTTGCTCACCTTCAGGGAATGAGCCATGTTGAAGTTGGCACTGTGCCAGTCGCCTGCTGACAGTCAAGGCCAGTTGGTACCAGTGGCCTGACCTTGTGAGTAAGCCACTGAACTCAGTGGACTTCTGATCTGAATCATCCTGGCCTGTGATTTATCTGTTATTGTTCTCCAATTGAAAACCCATTCACGCAATTGCAAACTGTTTGAATAGCATCACATTTAGTTTTGACCTGAGGTTAAGATCTTATGAAACAGCAACAGATAAACCTGCACGGTATCTTCTAGGGCCAATTCATAGTCCCAGAACACTTTGTCAGACTTAAATGTTTTTTAAACAATGCTTGCGATGCAGCAAATTGTAGAGTCCGCTCTGCAGAGCAGCTATGGACATGAGTAAATTAAGACTTCTGTAAGCTTGAGTCAATAGCCATTCAATACCTACCTATCAAGCTTTAAACTGGTTTATTACTCATTGATTTTCCTCCCCCACCCCTCTCCGAAGTGTGAATTATACCACTTTTAGGCCAAGAATTAATTAAGGGAGCTCGTTTTTTTCTTAGAATGATGTTACTGAAACAAATGTATTGGAAGAGGCAGAGAGGATGTGTGATAAACACATTGCAAAGGTCTACATTTTATGAGCTGCTTTGCCTAAAATAGATGTAAATTTTTAGAAATAACTATTTCTAGATAGATTGATAGATAGCACTCACTTTTTAAGAGGGGCAAAAGCTATTACTTAGCTTGAATCACGGTATGATTAGATTTCACCAAGGGTCATGACCTTTGGTGGGATCATGAACAGGATTCAGTGGGTCACAGCCCATTTTGCTAAATGAGAGAGGGGAGTTAAAAATTAACTGAGAAACATTTTGAAGAGGATGTATTGCATCCAGAATTTGGGGGGCCTGTAAGATGGAAACACTTAGCCATTTGCATACAGATAGGTTCCCCCCACCCTATCTATAAATACCACAGGTGTGCCATGGATCACACAAATATTTTTCTAGAAAAAGAAGTGCAGGAATTCACCATGAGAGCCTCCCTTGTTCTCTTATAATGGCCATGGTGCCCACCTGAGAGGTGCTGAAACTGAGTTCCTGGGGGGGGGGAGCCCTGGTTCTCACCCTCCCAGTTTTAATCCCCACAACAACCCTGTGAAGTAGGTTAGGCTGAGAGGCATTGTCTGACTCAAGGTCACTCAGTCACCTTGATGGCCATGGGGATTTGAACCCTGGTCTTCCAGGTCCTGGTCCAGGCATAGGCAAACTCAGCCCTCCAGATGTTTTGGGACTACAACTCCCATTATCCCTAGCTAACAGGACCAGTGGTCAGGGATGATGGGAGTTGTAGTCCCAAAACATCTGGGGGGCCAAGTTTGCCTATGCCTGTCCTAGTCCAACATTCTAACCACTCCATCGCAATGGCTCTCAATGTCAGTGGTTGTAATGATTACTGTTGCAGTGATTTGATGGCGGTATAATGCTTGGTAAGAGCTGTAGCTATACTTTTGGTGTGGTGCTCTGTCTTTCCATTCTTTATGCTGCTGGATTGTAGATATGTATGCATGTGTTTTTTATGCTATTAAGCATGTTTAGTAAGCTGGCGTGGGGGTCCCTGTTGGATCAAAAGTAGGAGATATTGAAAGTTGCAAACCAAATAAAGGTATTTGCATCAGGGTTGGGGAATCTTTTTCATGGGGAATAAGGCTACTAATCCTGATCGCTGTGTCCTACCTCCACTGTGGGAGGCAGTTTGCTTCTGAGTATCAGTTTCTAGAAACCACAAGAAGGGAGAATGACCGTTGCACTCAGGGCTAGCTTGTGAGTTTTCCAGAGGCACCTGGGATGCTGGGATAGATGGGCCCTTGGCCTGTCCAGCAGGACTCCTCTCATGGTATCTGTGGCCTTCCTGATGTTGTTAGACTCCAAGTTCTATCAGCCTCAACCAGTGTGATTAGTGGTCAGGGATACTGGGAACTGCAGTCCAGCACCATCTGGGTTAACACACCCCTGTGTTCTGCTCTCTTGGTATCTCTCTTAACACCCCCCCCCTTTTAATGGTGTGTTTAGCATTTAGAAGGATCAAAATGCCTCTCTTTACATAACACTGCAGCTGCATTACGTAAAACAATTTGATGTCATCGCTTCCATAGCCAAACAGAATAATCATCTTCCTAAGAAAATGCCAGAGAACATTGGTCTCTCTCCCTTTCCTTTCTGTTTCCTTGATCCTCCATGGCTTGGCTAGCATCAAATATTATTCCTTCTCTTCCCACACTCTCTTAACTTGCTACCATACAGCTATTTGCACAGACCCCTTTTGGAGCTGCACCTTATGCCTGGAATCTATTCATTCTTTCCTGGCAACGACTGCTTGGCAGAAAGTGCCATTCATTACAACTTGGGTTTGTCTGCGGTTGAGCTTTTTTTCCAAACTTTTTTGAAAAAGCAGACTTGTTTGGTTGCCTTTGGTCCTTCTGAGTGACAGGGAAGGAACTGAGGTGGCGGGATCAAAATGACCCTAAGCTAGGTCTGAATGCACACATGGGGGAAAACTGTAACCCAGCGGTAGAGCATCTGTCTTGCATGCACAAGGTCTTACGTTAACACAGGGCAGGGAATGTCCCTTGCCTGATACGCCGTGTCTGGAACCCTGGAAAGTCACTGCCAATCAGAGTAAGGTAAAGGTAAAGGGACCCCTGACCATTAGGTCCAGTCGTGACCAACTCTGGGGTTGCGCGCTCATCTCGCTCTATAGGCCGAGGGAGCCAGTGTTTGTCCGCAGACAGCTTCCGGGTCATGTGGCCAGCATGACTAAGCCGCTTCTGGCGAACCAGAGCAGCACAGGGAAACGCCGTTTACCTTCCCACCAGAGCGGTTCCTATTTATCTACTTGCACTTTGACGTGCTTTCGAACTGCTAGGTTGGCAAGAGCCAATCAGAGTAGTTCAGTTGTATTCAGCTTTTTCAGACCCAGGGCCCACCTTTAACCCAAACATGCATTTGGGGACCCACTTCGTGGTTTTCTACCATGTATTTATACCATGGTAATGGTGCTGTCAGGGACACGGGTGGCACTGTGGGTTAAACCACAGAGCCTAGGACTTGACGATCAGAAGGTCGGCGGTTCAAATCCCCGTGGCGGGGTGAGCTCCCATTGCTCGGTCCCTGCTCCTGCCAACCTAGCCGTTCGAAAGCACATCAAAGTGCAAGAAGATAAATAAGTACCACTCCAGCGGGAAGTTAAACGGCGTTTCCGTGCGCTGCTCTGGTTCGCCAGAAGTGGCTTACTCATGCTGGCCACATGACCCAGAAGCTGTATGCCGGCTCCCTCAGCCAATAAAGCGAGATGAGCGCCGCAACCCCGGAGTCGATCACAACTGGACCTAATGGTCAGGGGTCCCTTTACCTTAATGGTGCTGTCATGACCCACCTTGGGTTAGGCTAAGACACAGTAGTGGGTCCTGACCCACCTATTGAAGAACAGTGAAGAATATATTATATTATGCTTATTCCCAGCATCTGCACCTAAGGTGGGTGACTCACTTTGCCTAATGGTAGGGCCCAGCCATGGAGGATTGATGGAAAGATGCCAAGTATTACCTGACTATCACAGTGTGCAGATAAGCCAGGTGTAATCAGTGTGCTTGGCAGCCGTGTAGAGATGACTGAGGCAAAGCAGAAACTGAAGCACACTGCATTGCTAAAAGAGTGACTGCTGATCCTGAAGTCATAGCTGTCTGCATGCTGCTGGCTGATCAGCTGCTGGGCTGGAGGAGAACCTGAAGGCATTCACACAGACCTGACCACCTTTGCCCTGGCAGCTGAATGCGTTGTGACTTTTAGGAGACAGGATATGACCCACCTGGGGGAGTGCAGAGTGGAGCGGAAACAGCGAGAAGCAAAACAGTACCACCAGAGCGAAGAAAGCGAAAGCTCCCTTGATTTGCTCTGTGGCTTGAGGTCTCAGCCCAGCTGTTTGAGGGTCTGACTCGCAGTTGTTAGTGGAAATCACGTCACTGCTGCCTGGTAACTTTGTCCTGTTACGAAGCTGCTAATTTCCTTCTTCCAGAACACCAAAAGGAGGCAAATCTTGGGTTGTGCTTCCAACCTGGAGCTGTATCTGTGACTGTCTTGTTGTTGTGAAACTATTGTATAAAGGGTTTAATGGTTTGTTCTTGCAGATTTGACTGTCGTAGCCATATTCAACACAGAATACACACACACACACACACACGTGTATGTATATATAGTTTTACTTCTAACAATGTTGATTTGTTTTTTAATGAATAATTTTTCTGTGTTTTCAGCAGTTCTCATTTTTATATGTAAGCCGCCTTGAATCTCATCAGGGGAATATAATATAATATAATATAATATAATATAATATAATTAATTTATATTCCATTCCATTATTGATTATTATAAAATAATAACAATCCCCAACCACTGGCCATCCTGGCTGCGACTGCTGGAAGTTGAAAGCCATCAACACCTGGAGGTCCTGGGGCTCCTCATCCCTCTAGTAGCCCTTCCCCACTGATGAATCTCCAGCAGCCCGTATTCAGAAACATACTTCCTGTGGATACTGTGTGACTCAAGCTCCAGTCATCGTTCCCCATGCTCAGTTATCATAAAAACTAAAGAGCATAAGAAGAGCCCTGCTGGATCGAGCCAAAGGCCTGTCTAGTCCAACATCTGTTCTCACAGTGGCCAAGCAGAGGCCTCTGGGAAGCCCACAAGCACAACTCGAGTGCAACAGCAGTTCTCCTCACCTGGAACTGGTGTTCACTGGCATACTGCCTCCAACAGTGGAGATAGAACACAGCCATTGTGGCTAGTAGCCATTGGTGGCCTTCTCACGAATGAATATGTCTAATCCCCTTTTAAAGCCCTCCAAGTTGGAGGCTCTCTTGTTGGAGCACGTTCCATTGTTTAACTATGTGAAAGAAGTAATTTGTTTTGTCTGTCCTCAATCTTTCAACATTCAGCTTCACTTTTCTCCATCCACTTTCCCCAATCCGTGCATAATTTTATACGCCACTGTTATACCGCTCCTTATTCACCTTTATTCTGAATTCAAAGCAACAAAATGCAACCATATGAATCAACCATACAGTCATACCTCAGGTTGAATGTGCTTCGGGATGAGCGCGTTCGAGTTGCACTCCGCAGCAACCTGGAAGTAACGGAGTGCGTTACTTCCGGGTTTCGCCGCTTGCGCATGCACAGATGCTCAAAATGACGTCACACGCATGCGCAGAAGCGCCGAAATGTGATCCACGCATGCGCAGATGCGCGGACACGGGTTACGTTTGCTTCTAATAAAATAATAATAATAAATTTTATTTATATCCCGCCCTCCCCAGCCGAAGCCGGGCTCAGGGCGGCTAACAACAATAAAATAGTTTTATAATGAAATGATTTTAGAATATTGTACTAATTCAAATCAAATTGATGGCAACCATTGGGCTAGAGATCCGGAACGGATCCCATTCGCATTTAGAGGTACCACTGTATTGTTTAAGCCAGAATCCATCCAGCACTCATGGGAAAATGTGGTGTGATCCTCTTAGATTAACCAAATGAAACTTTTAACACATGGCGTCATAGGTGTGTGACATCATACTGGGTTCATAAGGAAAGGGTTAACTAATTGTAAAATGACTAACCAATGGGAACCCAAGGGGCAGAGTTAACTGTGTATAAGGTTTAAGCACAGAGGGTTTTTTGGAGGAGTTAGAGTTAGGGTGGTTGAGAAGACAGTCTGGAGTTAGAAGAGACAGAGAAGATAAGTCTGTGGGTTGGGCTAGTCTGGTGTGAGAGAGTGAGAGAATTTGTTAAGAGGAGTCAGCCAAACAGTTGAGATAATCAGTCAGAAGGTATAAGGAAGGTATAGGCCCGTAAAGAAACTAAAGTTAAGATACTGACAGGAATATTATCTGAGAAACCATAAACTTGTTAATGTTTGTAAAATAAACTTGTTGGGTTTTTTTTGTTCACTTTTAACAACTGTCTGGACTCAGTGTTTTACCAGAGAGTAACGGGTTGGTGGCAGCGGGGAAGCGAGCACAGTGGTGGCACAGGGATCAATAGACCATCAAACGTCTGGGGATCCTGTGTGATTGCCACACAGGGGTTTGGACTAGATTACTCTTTGGAGTCCCTTCCAACTATACAATTCTATGATAAAATCTGTAAGACAGCATTTAGAATGAGCTAAAACTATTTGAATAACAGTAAAAAGCAATAGGAGCACAACACTTTTTAAAAAGAGAGAGAGAGAGAGACCTTAAATAAGCAAGTCTTTTCTGCCTACCGGAAGGCCTCAAAAGTTGGGGACACATCTGCACATCTCCCTGCCCCAGGAGAGAATTGCCTTTATTTGAATTGGCTTTAAAAGGCAGGCAGGCAGCAACTCTGTGTACAAGACAGAAGTTGAAAGAGACGGGGAAGGAGACAGAGAGGAAACAAGAATGCTGAATTAATGACAGGGCTTACAGCTGGTTCAGTTTCCCCCTTTCTCAACTGGAGTTTCTTCAGGCAAACACGAGGCCTCTCGCTGAGGAATATTTGGCAGAAATCAAGCTATACTCATGCCAGCTCCCGCCCCCTTTTTTATATATTTTCAAGGAAACTTCCTTCTCTTGCTCTCCTTTAATTCTCCACCACCACCCATCCACAGGACTTTGCAAGTGGCAGTGTTTAAAACAGAAAGATTTGCAAGGAGCTATCAATCATGGTGCTCGCAGGATATATCTCCTGGCGAAATTTTGCTGGGGCTTTCATAAATCAACATAGCTGGAATATTTGTGGCTGTCCCTGTGAGATTTATGCAGGTGGGAGATTAGAACCAGTCTGTCGTGTGTGTGTGTGTGTGTGTGTGTGTGTGTGTGTGTGTGTGTTGTTGTTGGTTGCTGAGGAAGTGGGGTAAGCATGAAGAGAAGTCTAGCGATAGAGGTGGGTGCAAGGCTGGTGTGCAGAAAGGGAAAGGATTTATTATAATATCAAAGGGTATTTAGAGATTTCAGAGAAGAGTAATTAGAGGGGAAAGTGTGTGCTTGTTCGCCTCTTTAATTTGGAGTCAGAGACTCTCATTTAGATGTGTCATTTGCAAATGAGTTTGCTGAGAAAGAAGCCTTGAAAGCATTTATCAAAGCTGTTGCTTATGCTGGGTTTCCCCTCCACTAATGAGTCCCTCTTTTCAAATTACCTCTACAGGTACAATGAAATTTATACAGGGTGTATTAAAACTCACGTTGGCTGTAACTTCCATGGACTTAATGCTCAAAAACCCCAGTGGATGGAGGTGACTTGATGCCCATACACCCATGATTCGATGGGCTGTATCCAACTAAGCTTAACTCACAGTAGACCCATTGAAAGTAATGGCCCTAACTTTGCTGTGTGCATTATCCAGTATGGGCTTATCCACTCTTCCTCTTGTCCCACTTCTCCCCGCACCTCCCCCTGGGGAAACTGCTCTTTAGCTCTCAGTCAGGCAATTTGGGTTTTTGCTGGGTTGACATTTCCTCTGATTTAGAGCTAAAGAGGGGCAGCCACTCTCCCCACTTGTGATTCCCAGCAGCTGATATTCAGAGTCTCCAACAATGGAGATAGAACACAGTCGTCGTGAGTTGCAGCCACTGGCAGCCCTATCCTCCATGAAATGAATTTCCATGACTGGTGCATGCAGAAAAACTGGATCTGAATGAGCCGTTTGTAAAAGATAAAGCCCCCTAGAAGGGGCAATGCTGCTGCAGAGCACCTCATATATATGGGAAATGCTTATTCACAGAACCCTAATTAATAGTAGCCCTAAAGCGAGCAAGGGAGGCATTTGCTTTTTCAGTATAGCCATCCCTGTAATACGATTGCAACTTGTTTCTCCTTGCACAGTTAACAGCCGAGGCAGACCTGTGAGCCTCTGTGCTGCTAAGCTTTTACAGCCCAAGGCAAAAGCCACGGCTAAGCCACATGGAGGTCACTGCAGCAGCTGCCCTCCTGCCTCCTTATTAATGAGATCAACGCTGCTCCTGAGCTCAACCAGGGGTTGGTAGGTATCTGGGGAGCCTGTAAATTTCTGGCAGCCAGTAAAATGCAGTTTGGTATGCTCACAACTTTAGATGATGGAGAAAGGGGAGGAGAAAGGGGAACCTCCTAACTCGCCCGGCAAAGCCATCCAAGCCACAGGTTGCGGCTCAGTTCCTCTTTCGTTTGCAAGTTCAGGGAGGAACTGAAATTATAAATTATTTTTTGGGGGGGGTGTTTTTCCCAAGGTTCAGGTCAGACCTTCGCAACCCCACATTTGTTAAGGAAATGCAACTGCAGGGGCTGGTGGTGGGGCATCTGTAGGAACATAGAAAGCTGCCTCACACCTAGTCAGACTTGCTTGTCCATCTAGCTCAGTATTGTCTACACTGACTGGCAGTGACTCTCCAGGGTTTTAGATGGGGATGGCTCCTACCTGGAGATGCTGGGGATTGAACTTGGGACCTTTTGCGTGGAAAGCAAGTGCTCTGAGCTATGGTTTCTTCCCATAAAGGTAAAGGGACCCCTGACCATTAGGTCCAGTTGCGGATGACTCTGGGGTTGCGGCGCTCATCTCGCTTTATTGGCCGAGGGAGCCGGCGTACAGCTTCTGGGTCATGTGGCCAGCATGAGTAAGCCACTTCTGGTGAACCAGAGCAGAGCACGGAAATGGCGTTTACCTTCCCGCCGGAGCGGTACCTATTTATCTACTTGCACTTTGACGTGCTTTCGAACTGCTAGGTGGGCAGGAGCTGGGACCGAGCAATGGGAGCTCACTCCGTCACAGGGATTCGAACCACCGACCTTCTGATCAGCAAGCTGTAGGCTCTGTGGTTTAACCCACAGCGCCACCCGCGTCCCATGTCTCCCCATAAGGAAGTGTAAAGGTGCTTAACCTTTTTCATGCAACTACTTTCCTGGTTTTTGGCTTCCTCTTGAGATATTGTCACCAAACTTGGCATGAGGCTTCTCAATGCACGGGCAGTGGCCCTTGTTGCCATTTAAACACTGGGCACCATTTTGAATCTTAAGTAGTAGAGCAAAGTGTGACTTGGCCTGCTTTTTGGCATGACAGAGCCAAACTTGCAAATTATACTACCCATTTAAAAATCACAGTATTTCTAAAAATTCCTGGGCCCTCCCTCCCAATAAGCTTTAATTCATTACTATGTAAAAGCAAGGCCAGTTTGGGTTGAGGCACCAAGATGTGGTCCTTTTTCGCATTAGAATCTGATCTGAATGGAGAAGGGGAACCTTTCAAGCCATCAAAGGAGAACATGAATCACAAGCTATACCCCTAATGATAAGGGATAGTTTGACAGTCCCTACAGAGAGCCAGAAACAGAGGGCGGAAATAAAGAAAGGAGAAAAAACTGTACTTGATCTACACCAGCAAATATTGAATCCTTTGTTGTAATGATTCAGAGTAGGTTGTCACCTGTTATCAGAGCTGCTTCGTGAAAAGTATATCCACTGTAGCCCAAAGAGGCTAATGCAAAGTGGCAATGACACTCTTGGTTAGGTCAAGCTTTCATACACAATTACATTTTCGATTCCTCTTTGCCAGGTCCATAAAGTTGGTTTGGAGGGAGGCATTATTTGCTGAAAAAGAGAGTGGAGACCCCACCCATACTTCATTTTGCCTTTCAGTTCTTTTCTGTTCAGCAGCTATGACTCTGGAGCTCATAGATATTAGGGTTAGTTTAAGAAATGGTATTGGAGGCCCTTGCACTTGAATCACACCTGTGGCAAGAGCAGGTGTAGACATGGGGTCTTAGCAACAGAGCAGAGGGATGTGCCTTACACCACGTCAGACCATGAGTCTAGACAGCTCAGTAGTATCTACTGAGTGGCAGCAGCTCTCTAGGATCTCAGACAAGAGAGTTTCCCAAATCTGTCTGGAGATGCTCTGATACTGAAACATGGATCTTCTCAATAGGAACACAGGAAGCTGCCTTGTACCAAATCACACAATCAGTCAATTTAGCCCAGTGCTGTCTACACTGACTGGCAGTGGCTTTCCAAGACAGGAATCTTTCCAAGTTTTGTATGGAGTTGCCAAATTGAACCTTCAGAATGCAAGACAGATGCTTTCCACTGAACTGACGGAGCAAAATTAAGCTTTTCTTGCATTCCAATATCTTCACAAACATTATCTCTGTAATCCTGACAACAAACTTATAGGGGATGCCATCTTTATCACCACCCCCATAGTGGGTATGTGTCAAGGGCTGGTGGCTTACCAGTGGCCAAGACACGGTTTGAACAGAGCTCTTTCTGGCTTACAGTTTATTATCAGAGCTATCTCACAGTACTAGTCTCAGTTACTACTATTACAGTGTTTGTTGGATTACAGTAGTATACTATAGTTTACCATAGTATAGCATAGCATAGATTAGCAAAGTTAATGGCCCAGAATGGTTGGTAGTTCCATGGAAGCTAATGATTAGGAGATGGTCTCTTGATCACTGGGGATCTCTCAGGGTTTCAGAATGAGATGCCCAGCAGAGCTTTAAGATGGTAATACATGGAGGGGGCAGAGAGACAGGACAAGGAGCAGTTGGCATCTGGGACATTAACAAGATAAGAAACATAAAAACCAAATTGCTCTGAAAACACAGAAGAAAAATTAAACACACACACATACAAATAACCACAAAAGCAATCATCTTCTTTCTGAAAATGAATTCTATTCTGTACTTCTCTACTCAGAAGCAAGCCCTATTAAGTTCTCCCAAGTAAATGTGGATAGGATTGCAGATGAGTTAGAAATCGTTGTTGGATCCAGTAGAGTTCTTTTTTAAAAAATTGATCAATCATATTTTAACTGACCAATTCACCATATTTAAAAGTTTCCAGATTGCCCAGATCACTTTTTGCTCTTTTAATGAAAACATAGAACTTAAAAATTTAGCCAACAATTTGGCTGCCTCTCACTGCAGAAAAAAAATACTGAAGAAATGACTCGGAGATTTCTTCTTCCATTCCTGATTACAGTAAAATACCAGATATCCTTTGAAAAAGGAAGAGCAAGCAAGCACTGCCCTCAGATTTCATCCTCAGTGATTAAAAATTGCCGCCACTAATTAAAATTGGCCCCAACCGTCAAGGAAAGCTTTAGCTGATTAATCTACCGGTTAAAACTTACAGCTCTCTAAATTGCACAATTAAAAAGAAAAGAAAAAAGAAATTCTTTTTTATATATAAAAAAGCAAGCCGGAACAGCCAGGCAGGCATCTTTATTGCCATTTGCAATGCTTTTATTTCACCTTATTTTATTAGGAACTTCTGCCATTGCAATGGCTTCTCTCCCCTCATGGGCTTGCACCAAAGCTCAAGCAATTAACCAGCCTGATCACTCTCCATAAACCTGAAATAAACCGTGAAAGGGGGGAAGCAGCAAAACGTATTAACTCCTGACCCTTAACAAGAAGACTTGTCAATTGTATAGCAACATGGGGCTTGTCGCGGCCAGTCAGGGAGCACGGATAGGCTGCCTGATTAATTGGCTGTCTCAAACGGGTGGATGTGTCCCCTGGCAATTAGCAGGTAGGCTGGATAAACTCCAGGAGAACAGTGTCCTGTGAAAAGTATTTTTTAAAAGAAACCCCCCCCCCCCGAAAAATAAAAATAAAGCATGAGGATCCGAACCCTCTGAAAACAGCCTCAGTTTTAACTTTTGTAGTTCTGGCCTCAATCATTGCAGCAAATTTGTGTCTGTACAAAACTTACTCGGAGAGTCTGAGCCAATCTGCACATTAAGAAAAAGCATATGGTACTGCCCTCTTGGGAGTGTACCACTTTTGAATGCTGATGGGGGGAGCTCACATTTAAACGCTGCCCCACTTAAAGAAAACCTTCCTGGTACAATGGGGGGTGGGACGCGGGTGGCGCTGTGGGTTAAACCACAGAGCCTAGGGCTTGCCGATCAGAAGGTTGGTGGTTCGAATCTCCGTGACGGGGTGAGCTCCCGTTGCTCGGTCCCTGCTCCTGCCAACCTAGCAGTTCGAAAGCACGTCAAAGTGCAAGTAGATAAATAGGTACCACTCCGGCAGGAAGGTAAATGGCATTTCCATGCGCTGCTCTGGTTCGCCAGAAGCAGCTTAGTCATGCTGGCCACATGACCCGGAAGCTGTACGCCGGCTCCCTCGGCCAATAAAGCGAGATGAGCGCTGCAACCCCAGAGTCGTCCACGACTGGACCTAATGGTCAGGGGTCCCTTTACCTTACAGTGGGGGGTGGGGAGTTCAGTCTGGCAGAGAGAAAACTAGACTCCAGCCCTTTTGCCCAATGAAGGAACAGGGTGTAGTCAAAGGAAGGATTTGTTCAATTATACAATGCACCACATTTGTTTTTCAAAATGCTACAGTCCCAAGAAGACTGCACCACATCCCCCCTACTCCGAATATGTAGGTCTGCTTTGAGATGCACTCCCTGAGCTTATCATGTTTCCACATGCCCAGGGGCTGTGGACATGCATTTTCAAGAGTTCTGAAACACCGCTGAATTCCTTGTCTGGGCAAATGGCCTTGGCTAAGGTAGCAAACCTGTGATTGTTTAAACAAATCCTTACTAGGTGTTATAGAGCATCACCAGTCCAAAGCGCATGCCATGAAACTCTTGCCGGTGTAGAAATAGTGCAACTGCAATCAGTTTGCCATTCTCACGGGAACTGATAATAAATAGTTCAGTGGTAGAGTATCTGCTTTTCCCAGTTCCATTCCCTGACATCTCCAGGAAGGGCTGAACTAGACCACTGTCTTAAGACCCTGGAGAATCACCAAAAGTCATTGTAAACAGTATTGAACCACATGGATTAATCTTGTGTGTAAAGCATCTTCTGGCAAAAAAAATAAAAAAATTGGGCACATGAGCAGTTAATTCCATCCCTACTGCAAAGCACACCTGGACTTCAAAACAGATGATTGGATGCTTTTGTGTGCCCACCTTGCCCTTTTGGCAGGAAGCAAAGAATGAAAGAATATTAGCAGTTTTCAATACGCAAGACAATAACCCTTAATCACCTTGCCATGGTGTGGGTTTGGGTTTTTGAATTTTGCGAACAGTACGGCACTTCTTCTTTTTTTAGATATTAAAAAACCCCACACCACCCCCAGTTATTACTTTCTGTTTGAAATGGTATTTTGATTCTTACAAAATAGGCATTCCAAAATAACCTGCTGTCTTGAAGGAGGGGTGGAGAAATCACAAATGCCCCAGTGACATAATACCTTTATTAGTCACAGTTTCCTGAGCAAGCTTTGGAGTTCTCCAGAAGACTTCCTCAGGCAAAATTTGAACAAAGCAAAAGAGTTTAAGAGTGTAAGTGTGTGTGTGTGTGTGAGAGAGAGAGAGAGAGAGAGAGAGAGAGCGCTCATGCTAGAGGAAAGGGAATGGTGTTTGCAATTCTTGAGGTAGAGTGTAGGAGGAGTCCTACAGACACTGAATTAAATTAGGTCGCTTCTAGATCCGGAGATGGCGGGGGAATTGGATTCAGTTCACAGTTAAAGGCAAATCTACCTGAATCACACTTTCGGAACAACATGTGAACAGCAAAACAGCCATATTTCAAAATGCCAATTTCCCCGAATTTTGCAATGCAGTTCTCTAGCTGAGTCATGTATACAAAAATGCATATACCAGGGTAAAGTGTGCATTTAAAAAATATGTATATTAATGAAAACAACATGCCAAGATGCATTATATTAGGGAACATTGCTCTGCAAAAATGTGTATAAGCAAAATTGCATAAAAACGAGGCACTAAAAAGCTGGTGAATGTTTAAGTAGGGATGCCGTACATCTGGAATTTCTCGGACATAGCCGGGATTCATCCGCCAAAAACAGCATCTGGGCAGAATTTTCGAAAAGCAGCCAAAATGTCCGGGAAAATACGGGTGTATGGCAACCCATGTCAAAAGTGTAGTTCGGATTCTCTTGTGCCTGGATTTTCATTTTATGAAATATGGCAACCCTATGTGTAAGTGGACTTTTAAATAATAATAAAAATTGCAAGCTGATGTAGAAATGTGAGTTTAAGATTGGGGGGAAATGAGAAACAGAGAGAAATCGAAATTGACTTATTTGCCCATTCCTAGCTGTATGTGACAGCGGCTACTGTAGGGTGTATTTGTGTCCCATTTTGCAGAGGACCATCCTCTATTTGCAGTCATCCTCACTTTGAAAGGCTGATCTGGGTGGAACTTAAAGGTGACTGGGGAGGAGTCAATGTTAATGGTCCCCCGTGACTTGGATGCGAGACTCATATCCACCAGGAGTCAAGTGTTCAGTATTTTATGAAACTCCCTTCCAGTTAAGGATAGACAAGCTCCCTGCCTGTTGAACTTCCACCACCTACTAAAGACTTATTTTTTCTAATTCCAGCAGGGTTCTCAATTAAATTTTACTTGTATAGTTATAACTCATTTTTAATTTAATTGCACTGAGTCTCCTGCACACTTCTGAGGCCGCATTCAAACAGCACTTCATTCCATTTCCACCATGTTTCCCGAACTGTTAATTTCCACATTATATTTGAGCTTTCACTGGATGTAAAAAGCCACTTCCGGAAGTATAGTGGAATATAGAGCCCAAAGTTAGCACTCGTTTCCATATACTCTGCAAATTGATTTTTTTTCCCCGGGAAGCCAATGACACAGAAATGATTGCTAAACTTGCTCTATAGAAGAGGCTTTTTACATCATGTGGAAGCTCAAATACAACGAGTTAGGAAAAAGTCATAAAAACAGAATAATACGGCCATGTGAATGCAGCATTAGAGACTGATTACAACCAAGTGGTCTACAAATTCTCAAAATAAATGAATGAAACCATACTTTCCTGCTGGATCTTGTATTTTGTTCAGGTCAAGGAGGAGAGAGCAAGCCTTCGGGCATCCAGGATGCAGCTTTGAAAACGTGTTAGTCAGGAGCCCCTGGATTCCAGCAAGGCATTACCACCAGGGCTTCTGCCTGTGAAGAAAGACAAGCCAAGGGCCCAGAGCAACTTCTTCAATTGCAGGAAGCTGATTGTGTGAGATACACCACCCTCCTCCGATCTGGATCATTTCAGTTGGTTCTTGTTTGGAGCTAGAGGAGCCAGCAGTGAAGCTGTTCAAGAGAGATGTGGAGAGCCCCCAAGGGAATACTTTTGAAAAGAACTGGGGAAATAGTTTCCCCGGCCACCAGACTAAGCCTCTTTTTTTCTTCTTTTTTTTGGGACATATCTATGAATAGAGACTGTCACAAAATCGGGCAGATCCACACGTTGCATTTAAAGCAGATTCAACACACTCTTAAAGCACATGACACCCCCCCCCCGAATCCTAGGAGCTGTTGTTTGTTCAGGGTGCTGAGAATTGTAGCTCTGTGAGGGCTAAACTGCAGTTCCTCTGATTCTTTGAGGGCAGTAATGTGCTTTAAAAGTGTGCTGAATCTGCTTTAAATGCATAGTGTGGAAGTCCACCAGTGAATTTAGGGAGATAATTTCCAGCGTCCTCATGGAACTACACATCCAAGCATTGGGAATATAGGGAGCTGTCTTATAGCAAGTCAGACTATTGGTCCATCTGGCTCTGTATTGTCTACACTGGCTGGCAGCAACTCTCCAGGGTTTTGGATCATTCCCTGCCCTACTTGGAGATGCCAGGGATTGAACTGGTTCAAGAGCCTGGTACTTTTGCAGGGTAATCCTGAAAATCAGGTTATCCTGAATATATAAAATTTATGGCCTAGATATTAAAACTAGTGTTTATCTGCTTATGCAATCAAGTTGAAATTATATGTTCTTTTATGTGTAATTTTTTTTAAAAAAAATGTTATTTTAAAGGCACTAGTTCACCAAAAAATGCCTTCAGAGCAGTGTATAAAACATAAATGAGATATAATCTCCATATGCCAGCCTGAGGCCCTCTAGATGTTTTGAGCTACAACTCCCATGTGCTGGCTAGGGCTGATGAGAGCTGTAGTCCAAAACATATGGAGGGCACTAGGTTGGAAAAGCCTGCAGTATAGAAATAAAAATGTGGCAGAGGGAAGGGAACCCAGAACATCTATCTATCCAAGGCAGAACCTCTATCTATTCAAGAACAACAGCAATAAATTTTTCAGGGAAGTATACTGAATATTCACATATATATTCAGCTTCAGTCTTTGAAGGCAGGTCTATCAAACTGTGGGGAAAGTTTCCTTTACACTATGTCCAGGGTCACCCCCCGTCCTCACTTGTTGCCAAATGCCACTTCAAAGAAGATAATCCACAACATGATATGCAATCATTTCAAAACAAAACAAAATCTCAATCTCTCTCACACACATACACATACTTTAAAGAAACTCTTAAGACTCTCAAATTCTCTCCAAAGCCAATGACTGCAGGCATACCATACATTTAAAGTGTGTGCATGCACACAAAGCACCAAATCCTGGGAATTGCAGTTTACCACCTCACGGGGTTACATTTCCTTGCACTCATAGCAAACTACAGTTCCCAGAGTTCTTCAGCAGGGAAGACGTGCTTTAAATGAGCTTTATGCGTATGGTGTGTGTGCAGACGAAACCAGCTTTTCTCCTTAGATGATTGTGCTGGTGCTGTTCTGAAAGACCCACCCTCCTTTCCCCTGCTCCCCCCTCAAAAATACACTTTTATCTCTGAAGCCCCATGTCCCTTTTCTCCACGGACAAATTGCTGCTTGTTGCCGCTCAGATAACCAGCATCCATTCCCTGACGCCCTTCTCCTGCGAGTCGTCCAAGTCGCTGATAATTGGCATGGAAGTCGGGGCAGGCGGCGTGGCCTCTGGACTTCAGCTCCCTTGACCTCAGTCAAGTGGCTGTTATTTAGTTCAGCAGCAGCAAACCTGTTTGGAAAGCGTGGCACTACAGAAAAGCCAAGAGCGTACGAGAGAGCACTCATGGTCGTTGAGAGTTTGTCTGCTGAGTTAAGAGAGCTTTGTGGCAAGCACCACTCAGGAAAAGCCGGTTGGGTATGATGTGTATATAGCTTTAAGAGGCCCAGCAAGTGTTACTTACTTACTTATTTATTCAGGTGATTTATATCCCACTTCAAGCTTCAAATAAGTCTCTAAGCTAGGAACCGGGAACCTTCAGAAAATAAAACCCCAACCTGCCCAAGATGTTGCTGAGCTACATCTCCCATCAACCCCTCCAAATATGGCCAATTTGCCAAGGATGATGGGAGTTGTAGTTTGGCAACATCCTGGAGGGCCAAAGGTTCTCCACACCTGCACAAAGTGGTTTACAACACCCTAAACACACACACAGAGAGAGAGAGAGAGAGAGAGAGAGAGAGAGAGAGAGAGTTATAATAAAAATTCCACATTTCAGAATGGCCAGACAAACAGCAAACAAACAGCAAACAAAACGAACAGCAAACAAACAGCAAACAAACCATCTGGCCCCAGGTGCAACCACTTCCCCTAATTCCCTCTCCGCTGCCTCAAGCAATCAGCAAATGCAGCAGAAAAGAATGTTCTGGTTGACCCAGGTGAAATCACTCACCTCAAATTTCCTTTTGCTCGCAGGCTTGGACCAAGGCCTCTCCCTCTCTCTTTCGGCACAGGCCTTGGGACCGGTGGTACGGTGTCATGCCGCTCCTCGGAAGCAAGTTTCTCCTCTGGGGATTCTGTTGCGCAGTGACCTGGATCTCCTCTGACTTGCCTGAAGAGCAGAGTGCTGGGATGGACTGTGAAGCTGAATAGGTAAGCTTAACCCACCTTGCTGAAGGGACACTTGTAGGAAGGGGATAGGACTGGTTCCATATTCCCCAACATCTCACAGGTGAAAATAGGGGCACTTAAGGAGTTGTTCTAACACCCCTCTGCCCAGAGCCCATGCACACTCCAAAGTTATACAGTGGTACCTGGAACGGACGGGATCCGTTCCAGAGCTCTGGTTGGATCCCAAGGTTTCCGCAACCGGAGGGACTGCTTCTGTGCATGCGCACATGGCGAAACCCGGAAAAATACTTCTGGGTTTGCCTCGTATGTATCCCGAACAATACGTAACCGGAGGTGAACATAAGTAGAGGTACCACTGTACAGTGGTACCTCGGGTTAAGTACTTAATTTGTTCCGGTGGTCTGTTCTTAACCTGAAGCACCACTTTAGCTAATGGGGCCTTCTGCTGCCGCCATGCTGCTGGAGCACGATTTCTGTTCTCATCCTGAAGCAAAGTTCTTAACCTGAAGCACTATTTCTGGGTTAGCGGAGTCTGTAACCTGAAGCATATGTAACCTGAAGCGTATGTAACCTGAGGTACCACTGTATGTTGTTGAAGGACCTCCATTAGCTGTTGGTATTCATTTACCCTGGCTTTCACCATTACCACTCTATTTATTTATCCTTTGTGTCCACATGTTTTTATTTTAGATGAATTCCTTTCTCCTTCCCCTTTATAGGGGAAGATTTCAGACTTGCATAAGGGGAGCTCTGCTGGATTAGGCCAATGGCCCATCCACTGCAGTATCCTGTTCTCATGGTCCACCAGAAGCCTCTGAGAAGCCCTGCAAGCAGGGCACGGGTGCAGCTGCACTTTCCCTGCTTGTGATGCTCAGCAGCTGGGCATACAGAGGCATACTGCCTCTGACAGTGGAGGGAGAACGTAGCCATTGTGGCTAGTAGCCACTTTACCTCCATGCATTTGTCTAATCCCCTTCTGCAGCCATCCGAGTTGGTAGCCCTCACTGGCTCTATATGTCCTGAACCTTCCAGCAATTTGCTTCTTTGGGTGCCCCTGGGGCCTGGTATTCTGAGCAGGGAAAAGCTTATCCCTATCCACTTTCTCCACACTGTGCATAAATTTATAAGCCTCTGCTGTGTCCCATCCAGACTTGCCTTTTTTCCAAAACCAGTAAACTCCAAATGTTGTAACCTTTCCCCGTTTGGGTGTTGCTCCAGCCCCCTGTTTGTTCTCCTTGCCCTTTTCTGAACCTTTTCCAGCTGCAGTTTCTTTGCTGATGTGCCCTGAGCAGAACTGTACAGTGAGCCTGCAACTTGCACACTTTTAAATTGTGTGCATTCCGCTTTATGTGCTGGGGGAGCGGGGGATTAAAAAGGGGGCTTTAAGGGGCAGGTTTCCAGGGGGAAAGACTTTAGCAATCCCACCTGCCATACGTGATTTTGACTTTAGGCAAGATCCACGGAACATAACACCCATGTAAGTTGCAGGCACAAAATATTCTGAACAATTCTTAGCACCCTTAATAAGCTTGCAGTTCATAGGTTTCCTGGGGGAAGTTGTGTACTTTAGCTGCGCATTAGATGTACTTTAAATGTCCAGTGTAGATCCGCCCACAGTGACCAGAATTGGAATGTTCTTAGGCCCCATGTTAGACAGGTACCTGGGGTAATATTGCAGTCCTAGGAGCAGCAAAACGTGTGTTGTTTGAGGGAGGGAGAGCTTGCCTTCTCCCCAAAATTTATTTGCCTAATGCCAGACAAGACCAAGTTAGCTAAGGAACGGAGGAAAAAATATTACCAAACCGGAAACTCACAAACCAGCTTTCCTAGCCCCACATCAATTTTCCTTTCTTGCACCTCTCCCATTTATACAAGACATATTTATGTTTCGCTTTGGCTTTGGGTCTTTAGAGCGCCTGGAGTTGACCCTTGTGCTCACTGCAGACATCACTGTGTCACGCTGCCAATTAACACCGAAGGAATCCTTTTAGCACAAACAGGAGGTCACCTCTTCCCTTTTCTGGCAGCCCCTCCTGATTGACGTGTGTCTAGCAGGGCCTCCTATAACAAGTCTTCCAACCTGCCTTCCCACCAAGGCGACAGACGTTTTGACCTCCCTGATTTAAGAAAGAGATGCTGGGGGAAGCGAAAGAGTTTATAGTGGGCTTTCTCTCTTCTAACAGCTAGTTGAAGGAGATGAAGGCTGCTGGATCAGGCAGAGCTTTGCTGCTAGGCCAGGCCAAAGGCCTAGCTGGTCCAGCATCCTGCTCTCACAGTGGCCAACCAAATGACCATGGGAAACCTGCAAGCAAGACGTCGGCACTACAGCACTTTCTCCACCTGCAATTCCCAACAACTAGTATACAAAGGCATACAGTGGTACCTTGAGTTACAGATGCTTCAGGTTACAGACTCCGCTAACCCAGAAATATTACCTCGGGTTAAGAACTTTACCTCAGGATGAGAACAGAAATCATGCGGCAGCAGCAGCGGGAGGCCCCATTAGCTAAAGTGGTGCTTCTGGTTAAGAACAGTTTCAGGTTAAGAACGGACCTCCGGAACAAATTAAGTTCTTAACCCGAGGTACCACTGTACCGCCTCCCAACAGTGGAAGTGGAACGTGGCCAGAGTAGCTTGTGGCCACAGATAGCTTTATCTTCCATCATCTAAATCTTCTTTTAAAGCCATCCATGTTGTTGGCCAGCACTACATCATGTAGGAGCAAATTCTATAGTTTATGCGCTGTGTGAAGAACTTTCATTTGCCTGTCTGACATTCAGCTTCGCTGAGGGCACCGAGTTCAAGTCTTACGAGATGGGGTGGAAAAACATTTCTCTCTCTGCTTTCTCCACATCACGCATAATTTCGTACACCTCCATCACACCTCCCCCTTACTTGCCTCCCCCCCACCCAATCTAAAAAGCCCCAAATATTGTAACTTCTTTTCATAGGGGAGTTGCTCCATCCCCCCCTAACCATGACCCCACCCATACTATTGGAAGTAATCTTATGGGCTGGGACAATGCCACAGAAAAACTGGGAGGCCAGATAAGGAGTCCACCAGGGGCCCTTGACACTATATAGAAATTTCGCTATCCTTTTGGTAATGATAGAGAAGAAAACAGCGAAGCAAGTGGGTCTATTTTTGGAAGTCACTGCTTGTCTCCTTGGCGAGGTTTCTTTGTTTGGCTCGTTAATAATATCTCAAGGTTGCCTTTTTGAAACAGAAACGTTCATGAGGTATTTTGCAAAATAAAAACACAGCACAACCCCTAAATATGCTATCAGTTCAATGAAAACACTATAAAATTAGAGCTGAGGATTAGAGGCAGTGGTTTGCGTAAGGCAGTCGTCATCAACCTGGTGCCCTCCGGAAGTTTTGGACTACAGTTCCCATCAGCCCCAGACAGCACAGAGTCTGCATTAGCTTGTCCTTGGCCCATTACAACATCTGCACAATTCCCAAATAGGGAGCCAAGCCAAATGACTACAGCAGCACCAGTGGCGTTGAGGGGCCCAAGTGGTGTTGGGAAGGGCTGTCTGCACTGGAGGAGGTGGGCACTGAGGGCCATCTTCCTGGGGTCTGTCTGCATTGTCTAGGATGTTGGGCAAGGGTCTTTTCCAGCACTACCTGAAGCTGTTGAAGGTCGAACCTTGGCCTTACTGCCTACAAAGCGTGTGCTATATCCCTGAGCAGTGTCTGTTCACAAAGCTAGGTTGTGGGGACAGTCTGTTTGGTGATGAAATGCAGCACTTTGTACATGCTCAGGGAGCAGCCTTCTGCGTTACCCAAATAATAATTCTGTACTAAAGGGGTGTGTTTTAATTAGGATGGCTGGCGCTATCCGTGCGAGCGATAGGCCTTTTTGTTTTTGCATTCCCGCAACTCACCTGAATTTTCATCCACTTCTGAGACATGGGCTGAAAGCCTTGCAGGGACTGTGTAAAGGGGGGAGGGACGCAAAATTCACTGCCGCATGCTGTTCATTTCTACAGAGGCACTTTCTCGCAAGCTAGTGTGTACCTAAGTGGTGACTCATAACGACAAAGTTGGAAGAAATGTGGATTTCAGTGGGAAGAGCATCTCTGGTAAGCTGCCATTGAAGCATGCAGAGCCTGTGCCCACTTGGCGGGGGTCACTGTATCCCAAGCCGTTGCTTTGTTTTGAAGATCCGGAGAGCTGGACTCTCTCTCCCTTCCTCCCAGCAACACGCATGACAAATTGCAAGTCTCCTTTGCGCAGAGGAGAAAAGCTCTTTCCGACTGATTCACCTCTCCCGCTGTGCAGAGTCCAAGGCAAAGGATTCTGTTGGTTTTATTAAAAATGGCGGGGGAGGAAGAGTCAATTTGGCATCTGGGAGCTGTGCTATCAAACCTTGTGCTGAGCTTGTTAAGCATGGGGGAGAGAGAGAAGACGGAGAAGGGATAGGAGAGCCATATTTTCAAATAACTGAAGGGCTGCCACATGGAAGATGGAGCAAGCTTGTTTTCTGCTCCTCCAGAGGGTAGGACCCAAGCCAAGGAATTCATATTGCAAGGAAGGAGATTCTGAATAAACATAAGGAAGAACTTTTCGACGGGAGGAACCGTTTGACAGTGGAACAGAATATCTTGGAATGTGGTGGACTCTCCTCCATTGGAGGTTTTTAAACAGCATTGGATGGCTGTCAGGGATTCTTTAGCCGTAATTCCTGCATCAGACAGTGTCTACTAGATGCCCCTTGGGGTCCCTTCCAACTATACAATTCTATGCTCTTGGGGCCCCAGTCCAGATATCCTTTATGTTATGCCTTCATGATGATTTGTGCTGATGGTGGTATTGGGTTGGTTGTACAGAACCCCCTCTTTCAAAGCTTTTTGCACCTGCAAAAGGTTTGGGGTGGGCGTACTTCTTCATTTCCAGTCTGATGAAATCTTGTAACTGATTACGCCACAAATGTTCTGGTGGTGATTGTCTCATTTTTGCTGCGCTATAGGCAATCACTTAAAATGCCTATTTCACAGGTGGGAAGACTGAGGTCAAGAGATAAACAAACAGCAGACGCTAATTTATTTTACTTGCCATTGTTATACCTTTGGGAGTAGGAAACTCTCAACATTCTGTTGCAAATCACCTACCACGGACCTACCAGGAATTTAAGCGGGAGGTGTTTGGAAGAATACTGGGTGACTGGATCCTTTCATCTCAAGGGCTCAGGGGAGTCTTTTGCATAGTACCCAGCCTGCTGCAGTGAAACTGCTGGGATGATTTAAGTGCCGTTGCTTTTATTGGCCAGTTTACAATTTGATAAATTCCTGGATCATCGGCAGAGCTGGGGGAGCCGGTAGTTTAGTTTTCTTGGCAGGGTTCTGCCTCCCATGTGTTTTGGTTCGCACCTATGCAAGATTTACCATTATTTCTCTCTAAATCTTAGCATGTTTGCTGGAGGAGCCAGTGTGTCATAAAGGTGTCTGCTAAACAGATGTTAGGTTCTCTGGAACTGCTAGGGAAGCCGTCTTTTATCCCGAGAAAATAGCTGAGATAAACAGGACTATCTGTAGGCAGCTTCAGCAAGTGCAGAAGTGGAGTCTAGGGTTGGAAGGCACAACCCCCCACTTCCCCACCACCACCCCAAACAACTGGCCGATCAAATATTGTAAATGAACCACAGTGTGGTGCAGCAGTTGGAGTGTTTGACTAGGACCTGGGAGACGGGGGTTCAAATCCCACCCTCGACAATGAAGCTTCCCAGGTGACTTTGGGTAGGTCGCTATCTCTTACACCAGTGATGGCTAAACTTGGACCTCCAGCTGTTTTGGGACTACAACTCCTGTCATCCCTAGCTAACAGGACCAGTGGTCAGGGATGATGGGAATTGTAGTCCCAAAACAGCTGGAGGGCTGAGTTTGGCCATCACTGTCTTACACTAACCTCACAGGCTTGTTGAAATGATAGAATTGGGGGGATACAATTTGGACGCTAAAGAGCAGCCCCCCCCCCAGGGGTAGCAAAGGAACAAAAGGAAATGTGGACAAACCCATAGTATTTGTATCCCATATTAACCAAGTAAACCCATTGAAATTCATGGCTGTTGGTGCCACTGGGTCTTCTCTGAGTAGAACTCATTGGGCCACAACCAACAATACTTGAACCATGTGAATATGTAAGATACTTACCGTGTTGGAAGCACAGAGGCTGCATTACAGCATATTTAGGTGCCTCTGTTAAACATTTATGAAATTCCTTTCTTGCAGAGAATTTAGCCTCCAAACATAAATGTGATCATCATCAGCACAGTGGCAGTGACTTCTGGGGAGGTGGGCAGCGGTGGGCAGAGTTCAGTGCTTTCAATCCTTTGTCCTGCGGCAACCCATCTACCGTCTACCCCATAGCACTGTGCTGAGGACATTGTAAATCTTTCCTGACCCCAAATAATGTCTCCTGATCTTTCACCTTCAGTAGATTAAAAATAGCCCGAGAGTGACAGCTTTGGGTAATTTTATTTTATTTTTTAATCCATCAAATATTGCAGATAATCAACCATACAGGGAAGGTGTGTGGAGGGGGGAAGAGGAAAAGAGAGGAGAGGAGGGAAATGAAAAGGGAGGAAAGCATACAAGAGAAAGACCCAAAATTGAATGGTGTTTTGATGCTAATTTAGCTTTTCCCTGGAGTGTGCCCACTTTCTTGGGGAGAACATAAGAAAAGCCTTGCTCCATCAGGTCGAGGCAGGATCTGAGTGCAATGGCAATTCTCCCCAATTGTGACACCTAGCAGAAGCAGTTTTAGGGGAGCATGGCCCGTTTGGTCGTCCTGGGCGCAGAGCCTTGGAGGCTCCGCAAGGGGATGCCACAACTAATTGTCAGGGGACTGACATCGGAGCTAGAGGTGGAGGGAAGGCTCTCCAATGATGCTGGAGAAGGGCCCAGCAGGGAGAGAGGCAGCTCAGCAGATGGGGAAGCAATTCAGTGCAACACCAGGAATAAGGAGGGGCAGATGGGGGAATCGGTGAGAGGGCTCCCAGACTCTTCACCGGACACCAGCGGGGAGAGCACTGGTCCTCCGCTACCCACGCCCTCCCTGCGCAGAAGACTTCCGCGCAGAGAAAGTAGGAGGAGACTGGGTGTCAAACAACTTTTATGTTGGAAAAGGTTTAAGAAACGCCGACTGACGGATTCTGCTAGCGACTGAGGCAGCCACGAATTGAAGGGCTGTCCAGACAGAAAGGTTTAACAAGGCAACATAGCCAGGAGAGGCGGCAACTTACGCACGAGCAATCCCATATCATTATACTAATATTTAGAATGGGGTGCGAGAGGTGGGGGCGCCAAATTTTGGCATCGCTACAGTTCAAGACCCCAAGGTCCACCACTGTTCCCAGCAACTGATGTTGAGAGGCATACATATGGTGGAGGTAGAATGAAGGCATCATGGCTAGAAGCCATTAACAGCTTTATCCTCCATTAATTTTGTCTAATCTCATTTTTAAAGCCATAGAAGTTGGTGGCTGCCATGACCTCTTCTGGGAGGCTAATTTCATACTGTTGACAATGCACTATGTTGAAGAAAAGAGATTTTGACTAAACTTCAGGAAGAACTTTCTGACGGTGAGAGCTGTTTGACAGTAGAACGGAACTCCCTCGGGAGATGGCCTGCTCTCCATCACTGGAGGTTTTTAAAGCAGAAGCCGGCTGACCGTCTGTCATATAGGATCTAGTTGAGATTCTTGCTTTGCAGGGGGTTGGTCTAGATGGCCCTTAGGGTCCCCCCAGCTCTACAGTTCTGCGAATCTGTCCAACATTCAGCTTCATCCAATGTCCATGGGTTCTAATATTATGAGAGAGGGGCAAAAACTTCCACTTCTCCCACACCAGGCACCTTCTGAAACCCACCACTCAGCCATGAAGCTCACTGGTTGACCTTGTGCCAGTCACTGTCCTTCAGCCTAACCTACCTCACAGGGTTGTGGTGGTGGTGGTGGGGAGAGCAGTGTTTGTCTCCTCCTACGTAAAGGTAAGAGGACCCCTGACCATTAGGTCCAGTCATGGCCGACTCTGGGGTTGCAGCGCTCATCTCGCTTTATTGGCTGAGGGAGCCGGCGTACAGCTTCCAAGTCATGTGGCCAGCATAACTAAGCCACTTCTGGCGAACCAGAGCAGCGCACGGAAATGCCGTTTACCTTCCCGCCGGAGCAGTACCTATTTATCTATTTGCACTTCGACGTGCTTCTGAACTGCTGGGTTGGCAGGAGCAGAGACTGAGCAAACGGGACTCACCCCGTCGCAGGAATTCGAACCGCCAACCTTCTGACTGGCAAGTCCTAGACTCTGTGGTTTAACCCACAGCGCCACCCGTGTCCCTTTCCTCCTACTTAAAGGTAAAGGGACCCCTGACTATTAGGTCCAGTCGTGGCCGACTCTGGGGTTGCGGCGCTCATCTCGCTCTATAGGCCAAGGGAGTCGGCGTACAACTTCTGGGTCATGTGGCCAGCATGACTAAGCCGCTTCTGGCGAACCAGAGCAGCGCATGGAAACACCGTTTACCTTCCCGCCGGAGTGGTACCTATTTATCTACTTGCACTTTAACGTGCTTTCGAACTGCTAGGTAGCTCATGCTGCAACCGTAGGAGAATTGCTCCATCCCTTTCATCGTATTGGTTTCCCTTCTCTGAACCTTTTTCCAGGTCTATAATATCTTTTTTTGAGATGAGAATGAAAGCAGCGTCCCACAAAATTTACTAGCCTGCCCCCCCCCAAGGTGACTAGCCTGCCAAGAGGCACATTGCCATGCTGACCTCAGAGGAAGTGCCAAACACTTGGATGGGGAATCCTCAGGTCCCCTTCCCAGGCCACACTCAACACTGGCCCTACTTCACATCCTGAGTCTTTTTGTCTGGCTAGAGCAATCCTTGAACTCTGACCATGCTTCTTTCTTTGCCCTGGATGGACAAGGTAGAGCCTCAATGGAGCATAAAGAGCTGTGCGTGAAACTAGGAGGTTGCTCAGAAGGGAATTCAGCCCTCAGGATTAAAAAATGTTCCCCACCCTGTCCCTACCATTCTGCTCTGACTGTTATCACATCATTATCACATTATCATTATCGTATTCTTTTTATTTTGAGCCAGCCTCAATGCTGTGAATCAGTTGATTGGGCTGCCGAGGGGGAGTGTGTTAAACAAACCAAGGCTGAGGTGGCGAAATCCAGCTGATAGGTCTTGGTGACTACGTGTATTTATGGCCCACTTAGGGGAATTGCTGTCTATAAAACAGGACGCTCCCTGGCTTGATCCCGGTGTCAACAGTACTAAAGGCCACAATCTTGTGTGCCAGTCACCTCCTTCCGGTAGTCGGGAACACCTCGGGAGAGAGAGGCGCACAGAGCACAGCCAGTCTCTGTAAACGGCAGGCAACTGGGCTGTAATTCAAGGAGCCGGCAAACAGGGAGGTGTCAGATGGTTTAAGGCACTGGCTTAATGGTGCCGTTTGTGCCCCACCTTGTCAACATAACCTCTTAACAGGTGTGGGGCAAAATTCCCAGCTCCTGAAAGACACCCTACAGGGCTTATCTAGCTAATGGAGGAACTCTGCAGCAACGTCCGATTAAAATCTACCTTTTTTTTTTTTTTGCTCATATGAAATCTCCTGAAAAGCCTGCCTCTTCCCAAGTGCAAGTCATTGAGAATTAGCATGACAGTCAGGTAATCTTATAGTATGCCTAAGCCAATCCCATAAAGATTCCACCGGGGTGTACGTCATCCAGATGGGCTTTATTATATCTGTCCTCCCCACCCCTTCACATTGACAGTGCCTTTAGAACTAGATTATTCACATTAACTATGACAGCCCTTGATTTTTATTTTATTTTTACTGGGGTGGGTGGGGGGTGTTGGTACGCCTTCCTATCACCTTCAGCAAGTTTTATCTCTTTGCTGCAGATGTTCTCAGATGAATTTTGCTTAATATTCGGGGAAGTGGGGGTGGGGAGCAGATGGTTCGCTGGAGTTAGAATGAAGCATATGTACCACTGAGGTGGTGGTATCTGGGTTTAAGTAAAAAATAAATAAATAAAAATTAAAGAGTGGTGGTGGTGGTGGGATTTAAATGAACAAGTGCATTCGAAACAAAGAGGGAAATCATCAAGCACAAATTGTTTGTAGAATCATAGAACTGCAGAGTTGGAAGGGGCCACAAGGGTCTTCTAGTCCAACCCCTTGCAATGCAGGAATCTTTTGCCCAACGTGGGACTCAAACCCACAACCTTGAGATTAAGGTGTGTGTGTGTGTGTGTGTGTGTGTGTGTGTGTTCGATTGAATCCAACCAAGGCCTACTCACAGCAGACCCACTGAAATTAATGGACCTCATTTTGATTTGTCTATTCACTTCAGTAGGTTTACTCTGAGTAGACCTACGCTGGACACAATCCTTTGATTTTTTTTTCTGAGCTTTGGCTGCGGCAGAGTCATGAACCAATTTGTTTCTCCAAGGGACTTACATTGCAAGTGTGGGTTTCCCTTCCATCTGTCTTCACAAGAACAACCATGGACCAAGCTCATCCAATGAGCTGGGAAACAGAGCACCTAAAAAGTATGAGAGCCTAAGGATAATGGCCTAATGGTTAATCCGGCCCTGTTTTTCTGCTCAGGTTGTACACTGATTTCCCAGTTACTTCTGTAAATATTTCCAACAAATTGGGGACGGTTGCCCACATAATCAGGTGACGTTTTCAAAAAATGGTGGAGTCACACTATGTAACATCCTAACTCAGCACTGCACTGCTCCGTGTTTAAAGACTCAAATAATTTAGGGGCGAAAGGGGTCTCTGGGACATCTAGTCCAATCTCTTGCTCAATGCAGACCTGGCTCAACTGTGTACAGTGGTACCTCGGGTTACATACGCTTCAGGTTACACGCTCCACTAACCCAGAAATGGTGCTTCAGGTTAAGAACTTTGCTTCAAGATAAAAACAGAAATCGTGCGGCGGTGGCACAGCGGCAGCAGGAGGCCCCATTAGCTAAAGTGGTGCTTCAGGTTAAGAACAGTTTCAGGTTAAGAACGGACCTGCGGACCGAATTAAGTACTTAACCCGAGGTACCACTGTATTGGAAAAAAATATCAGTCTTTATTGTGCATTGTTTCTTACTCAAAAGTGCAGACTTCTCTACTACAGTCTTCTATTCAGAAACTATCCAATATTAGTCCTACTCAAGGAATGCCCATTGAAATGAATGGGCACGACCAACTTGGGTCCACTAATTTGAATGGATCTACTTTGCATATAGAGGGACGCGTGTGGCGACGGGGTGAGCTCCCGTTGCTCGGTCTCTGCTCCTGCCAACCTAGCAGTTTGAAAGCACATCAAAGTGCAAGTAGATAAATAGGTACCGCTCTGGCGGGAAGGTAAACAGCGTTTCTGTGCGCTGCTCTGGTTCGCCAGAAGCAGCTTAGTTATGCTGGCCACATGACCCAGAAGTTGTATGCCGGCTCCCTTGGCCAATAAAGCGAGATGAGCACTGCAACCTCAGAGTCAGTAACGACTGGACCTGATGGTAAGGGGTCCCTTTACCCTTTACCTTTACTTTGCATATAACTTAGCTAGCTATAACTCCTTATGCTCTATGCAGGACAACTGGGGAATGTGTAATTTGCCCATTGGGAACTGAAAACTGTGCATACCCACAGCTGGGTTAATTTTTGCAAGTCATATGCCGCACATCTGTGCCCCTTTAATATCCTGCCCCTGAGTCAAATCCAAAAGAGAGCAGTCTCTTACATTTCCAAAAGGGTGCTGAGCCACTCAGCTGCAAACATGATGAGCACCCAAGTTATTTGTACATGTATTTCAAATATTTCCACATGGCCTTTTCACTAGAACATTGTCAGAGCTACTTGTGACCAAATTTTAGACCTAGGTTTAAAATATCAGATTAAGACGAAACCAACTAAGAATGTGCAGGGAAAAGAGGTGAGAACATAAGACTAGCCAAAGGCCCATCTAGTCCAGCATCCCTTTCTCACTGGGGCCAGCCATGGAAAGCTCTCCAGCATCACCTGAGTGCAACGTCAGTCTGCCCACCTGTGATTCCTAGCAACTGGCTTTTAGAGGCTTCCTTCCTCTAGCAATGGAGGGCAAACGCAGCTATCATGGTTAGTAAGCAATGATAATAGCTTTATCCTCCATGAATTTGTGCTATGCTTTTTTAAAGACATCCAAGTTGGTGGCCATGTACTACAAACCTGTTTATACTCGCGAGTCTTTTTTTGGCTTGGGCATTGCTACTGAAAAGGGAAATGTTCCATATTCACAGATTTGACAAAAGCAGCAGCCTTTCCTTCCAGCAATTCATGGTAGCTTGAAATGTAATAAACAAAAGCTGTCTTGTGCTCAGGAGAAACCAGCAACTTTCCTTCAAGAATCTGGGGGGTGGGGTGGCGCAGAAAAATGCACTGAAATTGACATGCAATCCTTAACGTATGAGTGAATAATTGACAGGAAGTCAGGCAGTTGTTAACCAATTAAAGAATCTTAATTGATTGACAGGCCTAATATTTTCCCTTGTCGATGATGCAGAAGAGTGGAGCCTTTTCTGCTTTTTCACAACCACTGCTTTCATGAGTTAGGGTGTGAGAGTGGAGAGACGACATTTATCCTCTTTGGAGCCCTAGAACCAGGCATGCAGTGGGGGAAACCTGTCCCCTTTCAAAATACAAAGACGAACACAAACTCCCTTCACCCCCAGTCAGCATGGCCAATAGCAACGATGGGTGTTGTAGTCCAACATCTGGAGGCCCACAGACTCCTACCTCTGCCCTGGAGGGTGTGATGTATCTGGTGGACATAGGAACCCATTGAAAAACCTTTTGGAGCCTCAATCCTGGGCTGGAACATTTTGTGCCAGTAGTGGAAGGCTGGTTTTGCCTTCATTGCCCAAACTGAAGATGTGCTGGCTTGGACGGATGGAGGTTGTGATTCAGGGTGTCAGTAGAGGGTGCCAGTTTTGGGGATGCTGACCTTTTTTGGTCCACTGAAAACACTGGGGATTTCGAGGGATGCATGGGCACCCATCGCAAAATGGCGAATGCTGTGGGTTGTGCACCATGCCACAGAATGGCTGTCACGTATCAAGGAACTTAAAAAGAGAAGGGGGTGCAAAATGGCACAAGCATGCCCCCCTGGCGCCCCACAATCAATAGAAATGCTTGATCATCTGACTGCTACCATGCTCACCCATAGAGAGAAAAGTTTTGGACCCCTCTTCTGTTCAGAATGGAACGGAGTTGGGTGTCCATTTCTGGTATCTAATGAAATGCATGTCTATTTAAGGGGTAGGAGAGGCCAAGCCAGTGCAAACAGCAACTGAGCAGGAAGAGCAAACAGTTACCTTGTGAACTGGGGTGGGTTGGGGTTTGATGGGATATTTACAAACTCCCTTAGTGGGCATCATAGGAGGTAATGGTAGGTGCACTGGCAGCTTTGGGTGCTGGGTTTGCAACCCTCTGGCGTACAGTGGTACCTCTGGTTAAAAACTTAATTCGTTCCAGAGGTCCGTTCTTAACCTGAGGTACCACTTTAGCTAATGGGGCCTCCCGCTGCCACCGCGTGATTTCTGTTCTCATCCTGGGGCAAAGTTCTTAATCCGAGCTACTATTTCTGGGTTAGCGGAGTGTGTAACCTGAAGTGTCTGTAACCCGAGATGTTTATAACCCAAGGTACCACTGTATATAGAATTAATGTGGATATAGCATTCCCAGCATCTTAAACAGGCTTACAATATTTTGAGGTGGCAATTGTATTGTGCACACTGTCTCCCTGTCTCTTTTCCTCTTTCACAAGAATCGCTTTTACGCTTCACCACTATTCATGGTAGCCACAGTCACTGCTAAAGAAGTTGCATTTTAACTACGGAAGCAGGATCACATTTTTAACTTACATTTTGTCCTGGGATGTTTTTTCTTTCTTTTAGGTTGCACTTTTAATCTTATTTTTAGTGACCATTTTGTCACCTTGTGGACTTTTGTGGACAGGTGGGATATAATCATGATTATAGTCCTTTATTTCCTCCATAAGAATAAATGAAACCTATTCATTTTTGTGGGCGATGGTGAACCCAACATAACAAATTTTCAGGGGTGTCCTGGATTGCACCCCTGGATTTGCTGTGTTGGCCACATCACTTTGCCCCTGGTTTTGTTATAAGGAGCATATTCCGAGCTGCCTTATACCAGATCGGATAACTGGTCTCCATGACGCAATTCTGTCCAAATCTGCTCAGAAGTTAGTCCCATAAAGTTCAGTAGGGCTTACTCCCAGATCCACGTATGTACTAGAGGTTTGCTTACCTCATTCGGGACTTTACTAGCTGGCCTGGCAGCACCTTCAGAGTTTTAGGCAGGTCTGCTTTCGAGCCCTGCTGAGTTCTTTTACCTGGGGATGCCAAGTACTGAACTTCAGGCAAAACCTGGGCTCTATGGTCCCCCCCTGTTGGATTTCATAGATCTATAGTTCTATCTACAAGAAAGATCTAGACAGGTGCTAAAAATCCATTTCACAGATCTGTGGGTCAAGGCATTGCATCTTGGCTAACTTAAAATGGTGAGAGCTAAGCTTGGCTTCCACTTGGCTTCCACTTGGGTACCACTTCTTGCTCCTGAAAAGTATCTGGGGGTCCTGTGGGGAGGACAGTGAAAGGTGGTGTAACTGGATTGGCCTGGTAAAGCCCCTCAAGACCCTCAGCTTGTGCCTGACTTTGCCAGCTGCTGGTGCTGAGCCTGTTCACTGTACAGCACGAGACTGTGGTGGAATCTTTGACTTTTAAGATCCTGACAGGGAGACTGATGGGTATGTTTAGACAGTATAATCAGAAGCCCATCACTGGGCTAAAAGCAGCCAGGGTTTGTTGAGAGAGGCAGCAGCTGAGGTTGGGGACTTCCAGTGTGGCCCTTCAGCTTTGTTTCTGCCCAATTAATAAGGGAGATACTACTGTATGCTCTTGTTCATTGATTTTTATTCTTATTTAATGATGATTGTGCTGCGTTTTTGTCCGCTAACTGCTAGTAACAATGTGATTGGTGGGACCACTTTTGAATGGAGGCTAAGCTCAGCTCCCACCCATGAAGACTTCCAACTATTTTAAGCCAACCAAAACGTACTGCTCCAGCCCATAGATCTATGAAATTTGTTGCTTTCATAGATCTATATTCTAGGCATGACTCTAGATCCAGGTGGTAGGACATTGTTCAGGAGTCTTTGGTGAAGAAATTAGGTGTGCTATAGTAGCATTTTGGACTGATGCTACAGAGCCCAGAAAGAGATATGGAAGAGAACTAGAGAGAAATGGCTCTACCCAGGAAGATCAGGAATAGTCCAGCATGAATATTGTCATACTGTACACCAGGGATGGGGAAGCTGTGGCCCTCCAGATGTTGTGGGACTCCAGCTCCCATCATCCCCAGCAAGCATGGCAGCAGCTTCCTCAGCCATGTTTTGCTCTTTGGAAAGGGTGGCAGGCTGCAAACAGCGGCTTCATGAGTTTGCTGTGAATGTTTACTTAGAAGTATGTCCCATTGGAGCTGCAGGCGGGTACTTGCGGCCAAGTAAGCATGCATTGGAGCACAGCATGGGTTACTGCTTTTACTCCCTTAAATAAAAGCAGGCACCTTCATGGAAGGATCATTCTGGTGCTAAGGATGAGAAACCTTTCTTCACCACTGGTAAGGGCCATGGCTTGGTGGTAGAGCATCTGCTTTGCATACAGAAGATCCCAGGCAGATATGGAAAAGACTCCCTGCCTGAAACCCTGGTGAGCTGCTTCCAATCAGTGTGGACAATACTGAGCTTAGATGGACCTATGTAGATGAACTCAGTAAACGGCAGCTTCGTATGTTCTTCCTGTCTTGCAAGCAAGAAATTTAGATCTTGATGGCAGCTGGGTTGCTTCCAAGTTTCTAATTTCACCTTCATCTCAGCATAGAAAAGAAGGGGGGAGAGTAAGAAAAGAAACAGGCTGAACTCAGTAAGCATCTGCCATTTAACATCAAGTTTCCACTTTGCTTTCGAAAGATATAACTTGATGGGTAGGGGGAAGCAAAAGAGAGACAGCATTCGTGGCATTGTACATGAGCGTGATTGTCAGCTGAATAAAAACTCCAAAGTAGTAAACAATTGCTGGATAGACTTGCCAGAGGAAGGGTTTGGTCCTTGGTCATGAAAGTTGAAGCATGCACTAATGTGGTTGTGTTGAGCAAGGTGCTGGAATCTGGGAGGGTAAGAATCAGTTCCAGTGAAAGGCTGGTTTCCCTTTCTGCAGGATACACTCCATGCAAAATGCAGCAGGCCATCCAGGCAGACCACATCTGTTTTTTAAAATGTGTAAGCTACTGTGTATTGTGCAAAGTGGCTTCACTTGCATGGCTTGCTTAAATTATTTTATCGTAGTTGTTAAGGTTGGGCTCTACAGTGGAGGAGAAGAGAGATTTTCATCTGTTGCTGTCCTACAATGTATAAAAGCAGCTGATGGCTAGTTTAGGTCCAGCCTGCCCCAGCCCCCCTGTAATATTTATAGAAGAGTGGTAGATCACACACTTTGTATGCAGAAGGTTTTGGGGTTAATCCCCAGCACCTCTAGGTTGGGCTGAGAATGACCCCATCTATCATAGGAGTGTACAGGTGGAGGGGACCATGAGGATAATGTAGTCCAACTCCCTGCAATGCAGGAAATTTTGCCCATCATGGGGGTTGAACCCACGACCCTCATGGTCTACCAATAGCTATCAAAACCTGAAAGAACCATTACCAGTTAATCAGTGTAGACAGTCCTGAGCTAGATGGACTCAAGGGTCTGACTCTGTATAAGCAGCTTTTTGAGAGGTCTGTAACTCAAGGCAGAGCATGCGCTAAGAGATATTGGGACTGAAGTGACAGAGAACCCGAGGCAAAGAAAGTTGACTAATGTTCAGCTGCAGCCTTAATGGTTTAATTTTTTTTCTATAGAAAAACCTGTATTTTCCATGGTACTGATGGGTCATTAATTTTTTAATCTTCTGAGATATATTTGGCTCAGTCACTGTTACTGAAATGGGAACCATTCCATATTCCCAGTCTCAGTGGCACTCACAGCCTTTCCTTGCAACAGCTCATGGCAACTTAGAACGTAATAAACAAAAGCTGTCTCCTGCTTAGGAGAAACTGTCAGCTTTCCTTCAAAGATCCTTAAAAAAAACAAAAAGCCCTTGACACCATGCAAATCCATACTTGTGACTGAATATTTTACAAAGTCAGGTAGCTATCTTGGAGAATGTCTGCTAGTCAAATACTGGACTAGATGGGTAAATAGTCTGACTCTGTAATAGAGACACTCCTATGTACTTACTTACATTAGAGTTGATGCCCTTAAAAGAGGAATAATTCATGGAGGATAAGTCAGTCAATAGGGACGCGGGTGGCGCTGTGGGTTAAACCACAGAGCCTAGGGCTTGCCGATTAGAAGGTTGGTGGTTCGAATCCCCGTGACGGGGTGAGCTCCCGTTGCTCAATCCCTGCTCCTGCCAACCTAGCAGTTTGAAAGCATGTCAAAGTGCAAGTAGCTAAATAGGTACCACTCTGGCAGGAAGGTAAACGACATTTCCGTGCGCTGCTCTGGTTCGCCAGAAGCGGCTTAGTCATGCTGGCCACATGACCCGGAAGCTGTACGCCGGCTCCCTCGACCAATAAAGCGAGATGAGCGCCGCAACCCCAGAGTCGTCCGCAACTAGACGTAATGGTCAGGGGTCCCTTTACCTTTAAGACAGTCAATGGCTACAATGGCTCTGTTCTGCCTCCACAATCAGAGGCAGTGCTACCAGTTGCTTGGAACCACAAGTGAGGAGAGAGGCTGTTGCATTTGGGTCCTGCTTTTGGGGCTTCCCAAGGCATCTGACTGGCCACTCTTGAGAACAGGGTGCTGGACTAGTTGGGCTTTTGGCATTACTCAGCAGACTCTTACGTTCTTCTGAGTGTTGTGGTAGCATGCTGGGGGACAAACCTGGGGGGACTGATCAAACCCATTGGTGGGCTACCAGAGATGGTGGTGGTTTTTGTCGCTGGGCATAGGTTTCACAGGTCTGTTAGCGGACTCCCCCCACGGTTCCTCAGCAACCCGTAGTTTGTCGCACCACCAAATGGCTGAAACATATGTTTCTATGCTCTTCCTTTCTAGCTGCAATTCCCTTTTTAATCTCTCAAATATTAGGAAAGGTGTGGGGTTGTTTTTAGCAGTAGCTATTTCTGGCAAACGGTACAGATTTTTCCCCCAAGCATTTAATAACATAATCGGCCCACCTTCTTTAAAACTGTAAATTGGCATACAGTTGCTTCCAACATTCGGTTACTTAAAAGGATGAAAGGATATGTCCCGCTGGAGGAGACGAGTGCTAAGCACCATCTTCCATAGCAGCCCAGGGCACCAGAGGAGCCCAGGTCCCAGGAAGGCATGTCCATGGTTAGAGGATAGGGCTAGAATGTAAATTAGGAGATAAGACCATATCAGGGCTGGTAACATTAGTGTGCACCACTGTTAATTCCTCGAATCTCTTGGCCCAACTCCTTATTACTGTCTTTTCACCTGCCCGAGTGAGCCAGCGGTGAAAGAAGCAAGGAATGGTGATAACAGCTGCTTAGGAATGCTAATGATTAATTGGTATATAAATACCTTAAGCAAGTAACTTCCATCCCTTGACTTTTTTTCTGGGAGGTGTGTACTGTGCTCAAAGAGAGAAGCAAGTGAATCGGCACAAGGAAGAGTGTAAGGAGAGGTCATGCCCCAGTGCTGGTGCCCACTGGGAAGGGGGGTAGAGAAGGAGAGATAAAACAGTAGGTGGAGACAGAGCCAGCTAACTCTAGTTTTGTCCCCAATCTTTTTCCCTGCTGAGCTCTGCAAGGGGTACACTTGACACTAAGGAGAAGGGTTGATATGCTGTGCTGCCCCCTAGAAAGCAGGCAAGCTGCCCCCTAGAAAGCAGGCAAGCAGAGGGGACTGGTTGAGGTTGGTGGGTCAGTGCTCAAGGTGCCAAAGACCTGGAACCAGCAGAGGAACCAACTCAATGGCAGAGCACATTCTGTGTGTGCAGAACACCCCATTTGTTACTTAAGCTCATGTGATTTTAGAGCTGTTGCTTTGAACCATAGTTTCAGAAGCAACAGTTCTTCATTGGTTCTTCTTCTTGTCCTCTTCGAGTATTGTGTCCAGTTCTGGGATCTGCACTTTAAAGGACATGCACAGACTGAAAAAGGGGTTTGGTTGAGCATGAGAAACGTCTTGACTGCAATTGCTGTTTGATCATGGAAGGTTTTTTTTTTAGGGTTTTTTTTTTTGCACATTTCCAGAAAAATGTGTATTTAAAAATGGCACCATGTTTAATCCCTGGCCTTTTTAGTTGAGTCTCAGGTAACAGGGCCAAGAAGTAAGCACAAGTGTATACCCTGGAGGAAACAGTTTCTCGAGGGATACTCTTCCACTCATGAAGAATGCTTAGGACTTTAGGACTGGGGCTGGTTGGATTATCTCTTAGTGCAAGGCAACCTTTGGTCAACCTGGTAACCCCCCTCCCCAATGTTTTGAACTACAACTCCCCCCAGCCTCATCCAGCCCAGGGAAGTGGGCGAAAATATCTGAAAGGTGCTAGGATGGGGAAGGCTGGAACACAGCCACCTCTGCAGTGTCAACTGCTCTTTGGTGGAAATATGTTGCATTCTGGGCCTTTTGCTATTAAAGATGCCTTCCGTGGACAACACTTGCATTCCCTGTCAACTTACCCTCCCCACCCAAAGCCATGATGATGGGTGGGAGTGGATGCCCAACATCTGGACGGCAGCCTGTTGAACCACCCTGCTTTACTTTACCAGAAAAATCACATGATGAATCCCATCTCCTGGAGGGTACCACTTAAGAAGGCACACACATCTGTATACAGGGGTGAGTGGAAGGTGTGGGGACTCTTTTTAAACAAGGAGGTGTGGGTGTGGGCCTGCAATACCCAGTCCAATTGGAGCAGTTGAGGTCAGGGGTGCTTATCTCATGAAGAGCTATTCAAAGTCTCATAAAACAATTTTATAAAACAGTTTTAATTTTTTTCTGCAGTATTGCACCAATTAATTGGGGCATGTTTGTTCATGCTACTCAAGAGTAGTAAAAGAACATATCTTTAGTGTGTGTGGACTTATTTTTTTCTGCACAAACAATTTTATTTTTGATAATGCGCCTATACACTGTACATTCAGTCACTGTGGTATATATAAGCATAGCTATTTTCATACATAATCTGATAAAGTCCTTTATTTTACAATATTATCTGTTTCCAGGTTGGAAAAGGGTTGGAGGGGGAGGGGGGATTTGAAAAGGACTATCAAGTTACACAGAGAAATAGATAAATACCCCACGCTTTTTTTTTCCTTTTTGTAAATCAGGCATTTATAAACAAGAAAGCATATTTAATTACATAAAATAGTTCTAGAATAGGAGAGTAAGTCATAAAATAGTTAGCAGCAGCAGCTGGGGGACAGGGAAGTAACAAAAAAATGCTGTAAAGATTTCGTCTATTAATAAACTTGCGCCATTATCCCCTCAATTAAAAACTTGCTCCTTAGTACTCTTCCTTGCTTTAAAAGACCTCTCTATAACACAGAGACTGCTTGGGGATGTAAGGGGAAGAAATGTCAATTTTCTTTGCTTTTACTAATAAAACAGTTCACAATGAATGACAAAAATATGCAAATAATGGGAAGGAAGTTGAACTGACACTGATTTTTTTTTTATAAGAAAAAAAAGTTTCTTTCTTTATGGTTGTTTTTTCCCCTAACAAATTTCCTTGGTTTTAAAAACACAATTCTTAAAACAAGACAACTAAGTAAGAAAAAGGTTTTGAAAAAGTAAACACCACCATATACACGTATTATACAACTGCAAAATGAAAAAAAAGTATTTACAAATTAAATTTTTTTTTACATTGGCTAGTTCTGTTGGAAAAAAGCAAGATTATTATTCTGTTAGCCTGTTTCATAGATATAAATGTCTTATTGCTGTTGGTATTCTTCACCTGCCCTCCCCCCTCGTTAAAGTCTTATTTGAATATCTTTTATAAAAAAGTGAATTAAACTGAATATACAATTACCTAGATTATATATATCTATATATCTATATATATTTGATGTATTTGGAGAACTGACAGCCGATGTAATAAAACACTTCTTCTCCCCTTTTTGGAGAAAACATCTTAAAGGAAACGGAATTACAATTTGCGAATTCTGTTCCAGTAAAAGGATCATAGCTATAACTAGCTTAAATTAGCAAAACAAGAGCTTTATATTCTACAGAATTGATAATGCAGTTTCTCTTTCCTGACCAGCCCCTCTGCACACTTTGGAGTAGGGGGTCTGCTGTGAACAAAAAAATGTTGCATAGGCAGCTGTTTCCCCATTCACTTCAATGGGTTGTGCCCAACTTTCCATTTGGAAGAACCCATTAAAATTGATGGACCTCTGTTCTGATGTAACACTGGATATAAACCAATGTCAGAGACATGCATGTTCCATGCATACATTGGCTATCATGGGTCCGGGGTAGGGGGGAGCCCAGAACTCTCATGCGTTGATTGGGAGCCTCTAGTTTGGATTGCTTTTTGTTTTAATTACCTTAACTTTGTGTTTTCTACATCTAGCTCTCCTCAAACCTTGGCTACTGATCTGGAATACTAGTGACCATGCTGCAGTGTTCAGAATATATATTTATACACAGTGGGCTAGGAACTTCTCCAAGGTAAGCCCCATTTGTTGCAATGAAGCTTGAGCAGAAATTTTTCTTGGTAGGTTGTATTTGTTAACTGATGGCAAGAGCTTGAGGTGGGAAATGTCCCAAACAGTTGTGAAATGGCTGAATTTTCTGTTACCCTTTTATTGTCTGACTTGGAAATCCCTTAAACAGGACTTTAGACACATGGCTGAAAAGATTAAGAGCAAAGATGCTATCAAATCCACATGGATGCACATGCTTCCTTCAGATGTTGGATACAGACTTGAGCTATAATCCAACTAACCTAGGGTTAAGTCCTACTGAACTTAATAGGACTTACTTCTGAGTAGACATGCACAGGATTGCACCATATTTAGTGAACTAAGTCCCAATTGAAATCCAAATGACATGTGTCATGGCTTAAATCTGGATCTGACAAAGGTGTCTTTAAAAAATGATTCTTCACTCACCTAATGAGATTTTGTTGTTTTGCCTCTATCCGCCTTATGTCACAAAGATTCTCCCCCCCCCCCCCGTTTCAACACTTACTAGACAGTCTAATCTTAAAACACTAGCAGATAGATCTTTCAAGACTGATCGGTATGTGGGCACAGCTGTACAAATTGCAATTATTTCATCAAGGGTTTCAGGAAAAATCAAACCAGGATCAAGGTGTTAGAAACACAGCATTTGTTGGTATTAATACTTGACACCTTTATACTAAAACAGGCATACACTTAAGTAGTTTTATGTGCATACCTACATAAGATAAAGTATGAATGCAAGAAATACAATTTTAAAGCTGCTTATAGTGTTATAAGCATACATTTCACAGGGAGTTATGGATGGTTGCAGCTTCTTGTGGAGTATATAATTCGGCAGCAAAGTTGAGCTTCCCTTTGCATAGTATGTGGAACGTCCCTTAAATCAGCAGGATTGCAGGCCCCATGCCCTGTTACAGAGAAGGATGCAAGAGTGAAATTCTGGTGGACAGATGCAGTTTAAATCACGGGACCTTTCCTTCCTTCTGTTTTAAGCTATTGCAGAAGACTACACATAGTTCCGTGTGGTTGGTGCTGATTATCTTTTTCCTCTTTGATAAATTCAGCTCCTTTTCTCTTGGTGGGCTGGGAGTAAAAAGACAAGCTTGCACTGAAGTTGTATGCCCATATAAAAAAGATGAGACATGATGCAAACTTCAACATTTTGCATTTGGTTTAGTACTACGATTGGAAGTGGTAGCACAGACTTCCGAAGAATGAGCACGTGCCCAGGCTGTGGGTTCCCAATGCCTTTCCTGTTTGTTTTGACAGGGATAGCTGCTGTAGCCTAGACTCAAGGTTTGGAACATTTACACTCATGAAGAGGGAAGGGGGGCAATGGCTGTGCTGTGGCGCAGTGGGCTTCTCTGAATCTGTGCAAATGTTTCAATGAATCTGGCAATGGTTTTTAGGGTTTGTACCTTTCACGCTGACCTGCTGGTCAACGCACCAATTTCACTTCCTAGAGGATTATAGGGAATGTCCTAGAATGTGCCCCTAAGTTTGCTAGCAAGACCAGCTGCGCCTCTGTCAGTAAGTGTGTGTCATAAAACATGGGTTGTGGCTGTCGTGGTTTAAGGCCCCTCTGTTTGTCCTTGGGACTACAGCTCCCATCATCCCTGGCCATAGGCCATGCAGGCTGGAGTCAATGGCAGCTGAAGTACAACAGCTGGAGGGCCTCATGTTCCCCATCCCTGGCATAGAAGAAGATCAGTATTGGAAGGCAAGCTGCTTTCACAGAAACTGGTTTGTCATTATCATCTTGTAGAATGACCCCTGTATTCCCAGAATTAGGGTTTGTAACACCTCTCCCTGCTGAAAGGAGGGGTGGCTGGCCAGGTGGGGAGAGGGACAAGCAGTGAGCAGCAGCTTGTCCCAAGAGTGAAGCTGAATCGCCAAGTGTAGGTTTGAGCCACTGAAGACAGCTGTGCATCAAAACTACGCAATTTTGTTGCCTCTTGAAGGAAATAACTGCAAACTTAACAAAAAAGCATTATAGATCTTGGAAATTTATACGACTGAGAACAAAACGAAACAAAAAAAAAAGTTATGCACCTTTACGTTAAGACAGTGATAATGCCCGTTAATTAATATATATGTATGGCAAAGATTTTAATTCCATGCATATGGTTTTTTTTAATAACTGCAGAAAAAACATACAAAGCAAAAAAATTATTTTTAAATCCCCATATTAAAAAAATAACTGCATAAACACAATCAATATTCCGTTTGCATTGCACTTTAAAATGGGAGAGCAGATTCCACTCATTGGATACGAGCATGGGCAAGACCTCAAACGCAGACAACTTCTTATCATGCAAATTAGTCCGTATATATCTGTTGCTTTCTTGCTCCCCATATTTCAATTCTAAGTCACCTGATTTTTCTAATATAGCTTCCTTTTAAATTTTTTTCCTGTAGCAACCCCTACCCCCACCCCCACTAAAATGTACTTTACTTCCTCCTTTTTCAATGTTCATGCTTACAATGGCTATTAGAATGGATAATAACAGCTTTATTTTTAATACAACTTTTATTCCCCCCCTAGTGTACTGTAAAGTCAATACTTTAATTTTAGGACAGACAGCCGCATTTTGGTTACAGGAAAAGGATTGAATTGCAGAGTTCCCTTCAGTATTTCAGAACGCAAATTGGAGGAGAGAGAATCTGTGAATTTAGGATGGCTTTTCCCCCCAGTTAAGGATTTTAGTAAACTGTCGCCCTTAGTAAACGGTTTGCTCACCATTCCTGTGAAATGATTGTAAAAATAAAATAAAACGAATACGAAAGACTTTGAATCAATACCTCTGTATTGGCAGGGAAGAACGAATCAAAATATTGCTCACTCCTGCACTGGGGCGGTTTAGCCACGACCAGCCGCCATAGCCCTGTCGCTGATAGGATGGCATCCCTGAAGTCCATGTTGGACTGCTTGTGTGACACGGATCTCAAGCAACCATGAATCAAGAAACACATGACCTGCTTGATTGCCAGAGAGCAAAGGTAGGGAATCTGAGCCTATGCTGCTTATATTGACCCTGAGCTCTAACAATTGTAGTTCCGTAACATTTCCTACCCGCCTTATTCTCAAAAGAGAGGGGGTAGGTCCTGGAGAAGTGTAGAGTTATAAACTGTTCCTTGCAGATTTGATTGCTAACACAGTGGACAGTTGGTTAAATCATAAGGGGAGCAATAAAGGTGGAGGAAATAATAACGAAAACTGTAGTTCTTAAAAAAATAATGCCTTTCAAGAGGAAAACAAAATCTAGTGGGTACTAAGTGTTGGCCCCAAATCAGGTAGAAGAAGCAAAACTCCCACTGGGGATAGGATTTTTGCCCTGAGTGTGTTTACTTGCTGCATATTTCAATATTCAGTGGGAAGGGAAGGAATTGCGGCACAGATCCCAATATTAAAGTATTTGTCACATTAAAAACAAAAGACCAAAAAACCCCTAAAGAATAAGAAATGTAGGCTTATTCACAGCAGCAAAAGTCCTCTTTTTTGTCTCTTTAATACAATGTTGAGCACTCTCTGTGGGCCACACTGAAATCCTTACACGTGATCCTGGGCAAGTCAATAAAATACTGAAATTTCTGAGGTGATGATAACATGGGGACGAGTTCTCTGGGAAAACGGAAGGGTTTCCAAGCAGACATGCCACTCTCTGTTTTTTCCCACTTATCTTTCACAAGCAACTTCATGTTTCAGCCGACTTTTGTCTTGTGTTTTCTCTGTGTTTCTTGCTCTCTTTATATATTCTTCTATCCGTTTCTCATAATTGAAGTGCTCTGGCGTTGAAGTGAGTCTTTAAAACACATCAGTTAATAACAGACATATATTTATATATAAAAAAAGTTATGGCGTGATTTACAAACACTGAATTTTAATAAGGCTGGGTTCATTTAGGATATAGTTCCACTCCTACACCCCACTGAAACATACAAACTACCCCCCTTCCCCTCCACTGACTTTCCTCTTCTTGGTTCAAGCATGGGGAAAACAAAGATTTTAAACTAGGAAAAAAACCTAAATTTGAAATTCACATAGAAATCCCCTGGATTGAAACGGTCATGGCTTATTATTGGGCTTTTTCTGACAAGCTTCTCTAAGGAAGAACCCAACATATGTAACAATTTGTCATTACAAATCAGGCATTGAAAGTATTTTCTCCCCCTCCCTGTTTATATATATATATATTTTTAAAAAATCTTGTTAATGGTTATAATACCATGTCTTCATGACTCAATTGTTTTGTGTTCTTAAATAGCTTATAACAAAAGGGTTTTGTTTTTTTCTTGATTCCAAAGTGTTCCCAGAAAGCAGCCCTCGTTGCTTGTCTTTGATTTCACATGGATGCTGCTCGCCAGACGGTATAATTTTTTTAATAATTTTTTTTTTGCTGCGGACTCAAAAAGTAGTTTAGGTTATAAACACTCTTCATGTTCTAGGCACAGGAAGATGTTGTGCTATATGGATTGAAAAAAGAGGTGGAATTCAGTGCTTCTGTTATAAAGAGTAACATTTGCCCTCCAATGAATAACAAAGTCCATGTTTACCAGCACACGCCAGGGCGCGGACCCTTGCCCCAGCGCCTCTCCCACACACTCTCTCCCTCACTGTGCATATTATTTTATTTTATTGTCAGTATGGCCTACAAATTAGACCCCATGTCATTACGTTCTTCAGCGCTGGCCTAGTTGTCCATATCTTTCATTGTGTGTTCACTGCCGGGCAGATCACTCTGTTTAGGCCACAGTTGCTCCTGAAGTTCCTTGACAACCTTTTCCAAGTGTTCCCGTGCTTCCCTCTCACGCAACAGATCAGCACGCAGCTGTTCTCTGTCCGCCTCTGCATGCTGGAGCTTCACCTGCAGGTCTTCAATCTAGAATGAATGAATGGATAGTAAACTAGAGATACCTGGCTCAGTTCAAGGCATTAGAACTGACATATGCAGTGGTACCTCGGGTTAAGAACTTAATTCGTTCTGGAGGTCTGTTCTTAACCTGAAGAGGTACCACTTTAGCTAATGGGGCCTCCCGCTGCCACCGTGCGATTTCTGTTCTCATCCTGAAACAAGTTCTTAACCCGAAGTACTATTTCTGGGTTAGCGGAGTCTTTTAACCTGAAGCGCCTGTAACCCGAGGTACCACTGTAGAACCTTTGGTGGCTCGGGACCAAAGTCCCTAAAACCAACTATCTTGGACCCTAAAAGCCAGTAGGTATGCGGGGTCAGCGGCAAGAATGGTGTAAAAGTAGGGCTGCTGAAGGAAACTGGGTTCCAAGAGACCAGATTGGGAGGTCTGGGAGGTCTGCAATCAGTCCAAACCTGGAGATCCCCACTCTTGAGTTACAGATAATACAGCAACACAGTCCAAGAGCTGCAACCTATCCATTTTTAGATCAAATGCTAAACTATGTACATAATCTATACAGGAAGGAAAAGGAGGTCACTGAATGCTTGTCCCACCATGTTTCCAGGATAGCCAACAGTGCCCTCCAGATGCTGCTAAGCCAGCTGCACTGTGGCAAGAGACCTGAACCTTTCTCTCTGCTTACCATTTCTGCATCTTCCCCCACCACTCAAAACAACACTTCTGCAGTCTTGGGCCTCTTCCAAGTCATTCAGCTCTGGCCACCTCCCCTCTAATACTTCAAAGGATGAGCAAAAACGTGGCAACGTGATTACTTCAGAAATGAATATGCCAGACCTAAATCCTGACAAATGAAGGGGGGGGGGGGAGTTGCAGGGAAATGGCAAGGATGTAGCTGTGCACTAATTCCTTTTGACTGCTTTGAAAAATCACAGGTCTTCATTCCTTCCTTCCTCCCACCTACCTCCAACCTAATCTAGACTTGAACATCCCTGATACTATTTCTTAAGACTGAGACGATGAGCAGAATTAGAAGCCGGGGAGACAGAAGGCAAGAACGTCTAACACAGACGTCCCACGTCAACATGGTGAATAGGAGGTAAGACAGAAAAGGCTTCTGGCAAGATTATTAACAGAAAAAACCCAAAAATTCACCCACACAAACTTCAATCCTTTCCTCCCTTGAGAGAGAAAAAAAATCCAGATGTCAGAAGCAAAAGCAACCCTCTGGAGCAGAGCAAGTTGGAACAAACGGGTGAACCTTCAAAGCCTAATTAGATGAATGTGGTTTTTTTTAATAAAAAAAAGGCTTCAAACTTTGTGGAGCCCCACCCGCCCCCACAACACTTCAGCTAAAGTGGAAGTTGACACCCAGCACATGAAGCTCTGAATCAGATTATGTTTAGTCTGGGCATCGCTTATCAGCGAGACGTCCCGTGATGCGAGGAGAAGGAAATTTGCATCATTTCCTGCTTCTCTGCCCTTGTAAATTTGGCAAGCCTCACAAAAGGGACTGTGGGACCGCTCCCCTTCCTGTTAATGAGAGGAGGAGGAAAAGTAACATTTAACAGGGCTTTTGTTCAGAAGTTGGCTTCTTTTTTTCTTTAAAGGAGTTCTTTAACAATTTTTTGGGTGTACAGAATGACAACACTTTAAACTCTCTTCACAGAAAAGCCCACATGTTGCTATTACATATGAATTGATTTTGTAAAGCATGTTCTGGTATTTGTACTTCCCAACCTTACCTGGAGATGCCAGGAATTGAGCCTGGGACCTTCTGCACACAAAACAGGTGATCCCCACTAAGCCTGGGCAATGTATCAATACATTGCCCAGGACCGGTATGAGAGCTAGAGTGCGATGGCTGCTTCACCCAGTGGTATATTGCGAGTCAAACCACTGTCACTCCTGAGTCACTCTGCTACCAGTGCCCAGTGTGAGAAGCAAGCTGCAGCCGGGTGCTGGAGGCAGAGGGACTCAGGAGCAGCAGTTTCACTTGCAATATACTGCTGGGTGAAACCACCATTGCATTATGGTCCTCATCCTGCTAAGGGAGGAACAGCTGATGTAGTTTGTCCCGTGGCTGCCTGCACTTCATTTAAATTTCTCCGCTGATAGGTGCACAGTGGCCTGCCCCTCAGCAGAGAAATCTAATGGACTCCCCAGCTCGCCTGCTGCAGGGCGCAAGCCAAAGACAGGGTGGGGGCTCTGTTAGGCTTATCCGTTGAGGAGCAGGCAGCCTGGCAGCCCCTCCTCCCACACACATGCAAAGGGACAGGCTTCTCAGCTGATCAAGCTCCCGACCCCTTTGGCTTGTACATGGCAGGTGGGTTATCTCCCAGAAGGAAGTGCTGAGGTTGCTTGATGCTGCCACCAGGCCCAATGCTCAGCAAGGCACGGATGGGGTGGCTTGCACTCTGCACCTTTCAGAGCGATGCCAAGGTTGCAGAGGAAGTCCCTCCACTCCTGGCATTGGGTGGCAGCAGCAAGCAGCCCTGGCTCAGACAGGTTTAAACATTTTGCGATGTTTGCCTCCATCTCAGTGTTGAAAAGCCGACATTGCCCAGCCCTATTACCTATAGCAGAGCTTTCCACACTGTGTGTCACGTGAATGCTCCCCAAGCTCCTCCAGGGGCTAGTTTAACCTCTGGTTTGCTAGTAAAACTGAAGTGCTATGTTGTGAAATGATGCATGTCTAAAAAGTGTCACCAACATGAAAAGTTTGGAAAGCTCTGCCCTATGGTGAGAAACCAAAGACTGCTTTGAGGCCAAAATGGCATCCTTTAAAGTATCTTTCAAAGCCTTTCTGAATATTTAGCCACAAGAAAAGCTCTTGCAAAGTTTTGGCCAAGAGCCTAGAGCTCTGTGAGGAGACTCTCAAAGGACCTGTCCTCACCTGGGCGGAGTATTTGGCTCTCAGCCTGCCTGCTTCACACCCCTTGTCGCACACCCGGACTTGTCTGGCTTGCTCCAGTTCCCGCTTTAGCCGTATCCGTGATTCGTTGGCCTCCTTCATTTTCTTTTCGTTCTCAGCTCGGAGGCGCTCGATCTCCTTCCTTAAGTTGCGCTTGGCTTCTGTTGCCTCTCTTAGCTTTTCCTTCTTCGCCACACGTAGGAACTCAAGCTCCTGGAAAAAGATGGAGGCATGGGTTACTTGATAAACACAGCCTTAAAAGTGGTTAGAGGTGGCATGGGGAGTAAGAAATATATAACTGGGCAAGAGCTTTAACATTTCAGAGGTGGTTGGAGGGCAAGTTAGAAAGGAAGATTGGACTTTAAGCATGGTGTGCCTGCTATTGGCAAGAACCACATAGATGTGTTCACCAGTTCCTAGCTAATGGAAAATGAAGATATCTTATTCAGTAGCATGGAATGCCATAAGTGTTTATATGCAGTAAGGAAGAACGAATACATCACAGAATTCTGGAAGAATCTCGACTCTTTTCAGACAGTTCTAGAACATATTACAGGCAAGCACTTATGGACATTCTGATGTTAAGATTTGAGTTAGGTTGTCAGTATTGGATCTGTATATGATTTGTATATTTCCTTTTTTGTTTGTTAAGCTAATGGTCTTGTCTATTGATTATTTTAAGTGCTGAGCCTCCAATGGGAGGGATGTTGTGTCCAGGTTGGTGGGGGGAGACATTTCTCTACAACAGGGCTTCTTGAACTATCTGATGTGACGGACTGGCAATTATTTTTTTCTCCAGGGTGCCAAGGACCGGTACCATATCTGAAGCGTCCCACCCAACCTGGGCTGTGGTGGAATCACCATGAATCAGCAGCTAATGGCTCACAGACCAGCACTGGTCCATGGAACACCACTTTGAGTAGCATTGCTCAACAAGACCTTGCCATTGAGACAGAAGAAGAACCCTGCTGCACCAGGCCAAAGGCCCATCTAGTCCAGAATCCTTTTACTCACAGTGGCCAAACCAGAAGCGGTTCCTAAGCACAACAGCATTCTCCCCTCCTGCAGAACCCAGCAAATGGTATTCAGAGGGAGAACAGAGCCAGTGGAAAAACAGAGGTCAGAGTTAGGTGATTAGTCCAAATGGAGACATTTTGCATATTTATGTGGTCCAGCATCAGATATTTTAGGCACATGGATAACCAGGTGCTTGGGGTCCTCTCAACTTCTTTATGGTTTATGCATTACACATTTATTTTAAAGTTTTCTCTCTTTTATTGGGAGAGCGGAGGGGACAGCTTCCATTCATTCTTTGCTTATATTATGACTGATTAGTGTTAACAGGGAGACCAGTGTTGCATATCTCTTCCCCTCCCCTCCCCTCTCCTTCCTATTTCCAGATGCAGTCCTTCCTTTGTTAAGTAACATACTGCATCGGGGTCATGGGAAATCTCTCTCGTCTGACAACCTTATTTCCTAAGCCAGAACTTGTTATCCTAGCCTGTGCTGTTTCCCAGCCATTCTGCATGAAAAGCCTTTGCCCTCTCCACAACAGAATTAATGGCATTTGGGGACAAATACTAGGCTCTTAAGTTCACCGTACTCTTCTGCTCAGTTTAGGCACTGTTAAAAGTTTTGCTTGGCTAAGCAGCTGCCACCTGCTCTGCATTCTCTGACTGCTCTCAAGAAACAGGCTCAAGGTCCTTCAGAGAGAACCAGAAAGCCCAGGAGCAGGAGCAGACTACCACCCCACGGATTCTCCTTTACACCATGAATGGGTCCCATGAAACATAAGGCCCCAGAGCACAATCTAGGTTTTCTGTGGCTCTGTTCAGCTGTAATATTAAGCCATAAACCACACATGTGGAACCTCAAACTTTGCATGCACTTGCAAGCTGTCTGGGTGTTTCTAGTTTGCTGTTCTTTTTTTAAAAAAATAAACCAACCCGTTCTTGCTTCAGAAGTATTGTTTTTACTTGTTTGGAAATGTATTTTTAACTGCAACTTAACCATGATGGCTATGTTCTACCTCCACTGCTAGGAATCACAGGTGAGGAGAGGAGTGCTGTTATGTTCAGGTCCTGCCTTTGGGCTTCCTGTAATAGGTGTGAGAACAGAGAGCTGGATCAGATGGGACGACCTTAAATCCATCAGGGCTGCTCTTACATACTTACTTTCAGAACCAGAAGGATGTTTCAGATAGGGAGAGAGGGTTGTATCCACTGTTAGTCATATCCAGAACATATCACTTGAAATTAATGTGCATGACTAATTTGAATGAGGCCACATCCACACTATATTTTAAAAGCACTATTACATATGTCACTTTATCAGTCATTGCTTTAAGCATCATGAGAACAACAGTTTGTTAGGTGTGCTAAGAGTTGGTAGGAGACCCCTCCTCCCCTCACAGAGCTCAACATCTCAAAGGGGTTTGACAAATCAATCCCTCTTCCCACGGAACTCTAATAATTGTAGCTCTGTGAGGGGAGTAGGGTGTCTCATAACAACCCACACCCTCTTAATAGACTACAGTTCCCAGCATCCTTTGGGGGGAAGCCATGACTTAGTACTTGCCTGTGTAGTGGGGATGGAGGTGGGTGGGGGTGCAAGCCACTCATTTTGCCTTATGATGCTTCCATATGGCCTTACCTGGTGTAGGCTGCGTTTGGCCTGCAAGGCAGCATTCAGTTTTTCTTCCTGCTTCACTCTCATCTTTACAACTTCGTGGAGGAATTTCTCTTTGGCTTCTTTCGTGTCCAGGCCACTGTCCAGGGCCTGCCTGAGGTGCTCCAGCTCAGCCTCCAAACCGCTGGTGCCACTCTGGGGCTCGGCGTGACTGGCGACTTCAAAGACGTTGCTAGTAGTGGGCGGGGCTTGCATGCTGGGCGAGCTCATGTCCTTGGCTGAGCTCGAAGAAGCGAAGGATGGGGAGGAGAGTGAGGACAGAGAGGAGGTGACTGGGGAGGAGAAAAGAAACACAAAGGCGGCAGTCCCCCCGCCGTCAAAAAGAACATTAGAAAGCTAAAAATCACCTGTGTGCTTGCAGAAAGGACATACATAGAACCCAATATACATTGTACCCAATCAGACCATTGGTCTATCTAGTAAGGTAATAGCTACACTGACTGGCAATGGCTACCCAGGGTTTAAGTCAGGGGTCTCTAACCACTGAGCTGCTTTCCTTTTCTTAAAGCAAAACGGGGACAAGATAAACTTAGAATCATAAAATCATAGAATTGGAACGTACCCCATATGGGTCATCTAGTATAACCCCCAACCATGCAGGAATCGCATCGGTTCCCCATCCTTCCATCCCTCCCCATGGCAATGTTCCCAAGGAAAACAACCAGGGAAGAATTAGAAGAAAATAAGAAATGAAGTAGCATGGGGTAACTCACACTTACATTCTTCTCGAGTCTCTACTTCGATTTCTGCTTCAGACTCCTTTTCTTCTTCTGCAGCAGGGACAGCGGCAGGAGCGGTGGCGACAGCAGCGGTTGGCGTAGGTTCGGGAATGGTTGGGTTTTCGGTGACATGTTTCCTTTTCCTTGGTTGGGAGGGGCTGTTCAACGGCTCACTGCTCCGAGTTGCTGCTGGGGCACATGGGGGGTTGCTTACGATCTTTGGCTGAGGCGGGGGTGGTGCAAGGGCCACATTGGGGGCCACGGCATTCTCAAAACTTTTGTATGAACACAAACTGCAGGGGGGTTGTAGAGGGGTTGGAAGGGAGAAAAAGAAGTAACACCTTCAGTGATGGAACACACACTACTACATTTGCAGGCTCAGGAGACATCTGCATGCATGGGTTTTTATACAACTCATCATCAACGCAGTGAACCAGGTACAGCAGGGACAGGAAAAATGCAGTTCTTTAGATGTTTGGGGGCTACAACTCCCATCAGCCTCACCCAGCACAGCCATGGGCCAGGGATGGTGGGAACTGAAGTACAGCAGCATCTGGAGGGCCACAGGTTGCCTATCACTGGTTTGTGCCATTAATATCCCATACCTTTAACACAATCATATTCTAGGAGGCTAGCAGAAAGAAATAATGTTGTGTCCAACTAGGTCCTGCTCAGAATACACCCACTGAAATTAATTGTTCCACGTTAGTCATGACCATTAACTTCAGACAGTCTACTCTGAGTAGGACTAATGCTAGATACAACTCATAGTTGCAATATGTAAACATTTACCGGGGCAAATCAGCAGCCTTTTCTGTGCTACAAAATGCAAATTAACAAGGGGCCTGAACCAGCGTATGATATAAATTGCTTGTGAGCAAATGACGCTGATCCTATGAATGTTTACTCTGGCATTCAGTCCTACTTTCTTCAGCAGGATAGATAGATAGATAGATAGATAAGATATAGATATATATAAAATTTAACTGTTTTCATAAATATAAGATACACATTAAAAGTACCAATAAACATCAGTTGCTAAAGAACAAGTTAGCCTTAAAAAATTCTAAATAAAATATTCAGTTTTAAAAATACACATCAAACTTACATATTAGGGTAGACTTGCTTGAACAAAAATATTTTAGCAAGTGCCAAAAAACTATACAGGGAAGGTGCCTGCCCAATATCAATGGGTAGGGAGCCGCAAATTGCCGCCATATCACCAAATCAATTACTTGGGTTGTATCCCATGCTACTCCTACTCTCGAGTAAACCCGCTGAAGTTAATGGACAGGACTAACTTGGGTCCATTAATTTCAAAGGGTGTAGAGTCTTGAGTAGAACATAGGTAGACACAACCGCTTACAAATGTGGAATGGACATTACGTGTCACTTGTAAAAGGAAGCTCCGCAATGAGATTACAGCCTTAACTGGCTTAAGATGAGCTGGGACTCAGGTTATTGTGCCACTCTTTCTGCTTCCTCACCTGTCTCTGATCAAAGCAGGGATGTGGTTTGGGAGGTCTTTTTCGTTTGCTGAAACAGCGGGGGACCAGGGCCGGAAGGCAGAGAGGCGCTGTCGTGGATGCATGCAACCAATACTCTGCTGGAGCCAAAAAGGAAACAAAAAGGAAACAGTGAGATACACACAATTACATGTTTGTGAGCTGTAAATCTGGTATAAGCTGCTGGGGAGGGGGGGCGCAGAGGCTTGAAGATCCATAGGGAATAGGAGGCATTATAAGTCCATGTGAAAAAGAAAAGGCCTAGCCAACAAAGTCATACACAGGGTATACCCACTGAAATTAATGTGCTTATGTTTGTTGTGTCCATTAACTTCAATGGGTCTACTCAAAGTAGGACTAGCAGTGGATGCAACTCAAGGAGTCTAGTACAGTCTTAAATTTCATTCTGTTGCTGGTTTTAATTTTCCACTCTTAAATTGCCCTTAAAACCGAAAACAATTCAAGTACAGTGGTACCTCAGGTTACAGTGCTTCAGGTTACAGACTTCGCTAACCCAGAAATAGTACCTTGGGTTAAGAACTTTGCTTCAGGATGAGAACAGAAATTGTGCAGCGGCGGCGCGGCAGGCCCCATTAGCTAAAGTGGTGCTTCAAGTTAAGAACTGTTTCATGTTAAGAACGGGCCTCCAGAATGAATTAAGTTCTTAACCCGAGGTACCACTGTATCAGTGTTTAGATGTACCAATGGTCTTACTTGACAGCTTCCTATATTCCTAGTTTATTAGATCATTCTAATTTTTTAAAATGTGATGTATGTATATATTCTGCAGCCACCTTTTTGTGGCAAAAGATTCTTACTGCAACCTTATCCTAGTTGGAAGAGAAATATCTACAAAAGTAACTCCTCTACGGTTGTTCGTTTTAAATACCAGTAGATCTAAAACAAAAATAGACGGTCCAAAAGAGAAATTGACCATGAATGAAGCAAAATAAAAAATGCAAAAGAGGAATTTGTCTTTAAACTCAATGGGTTTTACCCAACAAAGTCCTACTGCCTGAAATTAATGGTTAATCATGTCTTATTAATTTCAATAAGTCCATTCTGAGTAGGGCTAACAGGATGCAGCCCATTGTACAGGTGTTTTTCTTTGGAAACAGCACCTAATTAATGTATGGTGTCCTTGATGAAATCTTTTGGGGCCCCTTTCTCTTAACACTCGTGTTGGAACTGCTCATATGTGGTTTCTTCACCATCACCCCAAGGAGAGTAAAATAAATGAGATTTTTAAACCAAATTTCAGGACTATGGATGTAGGAAACAAAGGAAGCTGCCTTTAGTGTCTAGGCTGACTGACAGTGGCTCTTCATGGTCTCATGTGCAGAAAGGGCTTCCTAACTACCTGCTAACTTTTTCTTTTAGCTGGAGATTGAATTTGAGGCTTTCTACACACAAAATCCCCTTCATGGATCACTGCCTTGTTGTGGCAAAGGGGCTTGAATAACTCCAGGAAGCTATGAGCTATGCCGTGCAGGGCCACCCAAGACGGACAGGTCATAGCCAAAAGTTTAGACTAAATGTGATCTACCTGGAGAAGGAACTAGCAATCCACTCCAGTATTTTGCCAAGAAAACTCCATGGACATAAAAAAGGAGAAGCTTTGAATAGAAAGTGAGCGTTTCCGAGGCATGCTCTGGTTCATGGGCTCACAGAGAGTCGAACACAACTAAGATGACTAAACACAACAACACACAAAACAACACACAAAACTATGACCAGTCCCCTAAAACTCACCTTGCTGGATGAATTGGACAAGGACCGTAACCAACTAGACTGCTTCTCTTTGTCACCAATTATTGGAGACTGCAAGGAGTCATCTATTTTGGGTTTCTTGGGAGCAGGAGGATCAGATGGTACCTGAAAAGAAGAAAGAAAAGATTTACTGGCTTGAATTTGTATTCCTGTCATTTTCCATTGCATTTTTAGATATTAAACATAGTTCAAACCACCACTAGTTGAACAGGAATACACCCACATGGGGACCATTATCTGAAGAGCAAAGAAGCGTCTGTTCTAATCTATCCTACGAGCTCACAACATTATCTCACAGGATGCATTGTTACAGGTACTGTGACTAGGACCGTTCTTTCCTTGTGGACTCCAGGTCACGGGTGAACTATAGGTAGCACACAAAAATTGTACATTGCTGTGTGAGTCCATTAGAAAACACCCTAAAGGCAAGCTACAGTTATACCTATATTAGAACCAACAAAAATGTCACAGAACAACTGAGGGCATGTGTTCAAGCTCACAGAGGCGTATCTACATACATTAAACTATGGTTTAGTGTTATATAACGGAACACATACAGTCTTTCAACAGTTTTTTGTTTGTTTTTTAACCATCCTGGGTGTTTTCAACTTCTATAAATGATTCACGTCCACCCAGATTTGGGGAAACACTTTAAAATTCATTTCTAGCTATGTTTCCTGGGGAAGGGGTTCAGTACCACTGGACAGAAAATTGACTGGTTTCCCCAAAGCTCTGTGACTGACCTATGTAGTCCTCCAAACTTTAGAACTGCTTTTTAAAAAAGCTAGAGGTGAGAAACAAACTTTCTAGTATATGTTAAAAGACAAACCATTTTAAAAACATATTCTTAAAGAAACCAAGCCAATAAAATCAAAGCATTCAACACTACCTGTCTTTTCCCCACTCACCCCCAAATCAAATTTGCCCGCTACCTTGTTTTCTAATTGTATGCAGAAAGGTGAGTTTTTAAAGCTGTGGTTTTGAATTGGAAAGATTATTTTAGATGAGAACAGGGCAGACTTTGTTATTCTGTTTGCAGTGGTTGTTATGCTGATGACTTCACTGCGCCGCAGCTGCAGGCAGATTCTAGTGGCCTGTTGCCAAGATCTGCTTTGCCTTTTCCACAAGTTGCTCTGCTCGGCCTATAAATCACCCGCAAGCATAAGCAAGCCCTTTTGGCCGCCTGGAACCCTTTTCTCTCCAGGGACACCAGAAGATAAATTCCAAGGGCCCCAATGTGGCTTTGCCAAACAGATTGGTACCTACTGGTTGAACTGGGGCTCTGAAAAAAGCCAGAAAGCCAGCCAGTACAAACAAGATCACTGGGTAGGAGAGGGTGGGTTGAATGACCTCATCGTAATTGCTCTCTCCCCCTACCTTTCAAGGCAGGGAGGGAAGTGTCAATTCCATTTCAAGACCATGCAGTTTCTTCTCATGAAGGGATATGACTGAACATGGAGACAAAGAGACCTATGCTGATAATGATGAGCCACCCAGAGCCCCACAGGTGTGTGCCGGGATGCTATTCTTTTTTCTAAGTGTACTTTCCGGCTCCCAATATGAGCACACAAAGTGGTAGCCCTGTGTGCAGGGTTAACCCTAACCCTCCCCGCTACCGCCATGCCAATTGCCAAATGTGGGAGGATTTGCAAAGTCCATCCTTTTCAAAACTTTATTTCTTAAAAAAAAAAAAAAACCTGATTTATTTTTGGGCTACCTCAAGAGTGGCAAGGGAACTTTCTGAATCTGTGGATAAGTCAGCATGACTGGAGCAATAATAGTAATAATATTGGTGAAGGGGGAGAAAACTTCCTTCTACTTTTGCAGTTTCTGCCTGTGCAAGAAACAGTGACAGCATCTGAATGATATTTGGCAAGCACTGACAGATCCCAGCCCTGTCCACTGGGGCTGCAAAGTCAGGCTGGGAGGGGACCTGGAATGAGAGGCGGACACAGCAGGTGCTTCAACTCAGTACAGAGATGTGTTTCTTTCTTGCCCATTCCCCCCCCCCCAATTTTCCCCTCCACCCTCTGCTCATCTGCAGAAAGAGTATTTTGTGCAGACTCGAGACAATCAATTGGGATGGTTAGAGTGTGTGTGTGTGTGTGTGTGTGTGTGTGTGTGTGTGCTGGGGGGTGGGGGGGGCAGGAGCCCTGGCACAACAAGCTGAGCAAAGTTTTAAAAGCACGCAGCTGTAAGAAATAGCTAGTACAAAGTGAGGCAACCTAAATAGATTTGCCGAAAGGGGGATGGAGTGGGGAGAATGATAAATATATTATCTTACAAAACACAAACTCAGTTCCTTGCTTTTCCACCATCCCTCTGATCAAGGCAGAAAAAAGGGAAATAGACCTGTCTGTCAATACTATGTTATAAGAGCATCCGTCTGGGTGGAGGGGTCCCCCTCCCCCAGTTTGCAGCACTCATCTCTCATGGGAACTTAGGAAGCTGCCATTATCACATGGAGTCAAGCCATTGTTCCATCTAGCTCGCTCAACACTGTCTACTCTGATTGGTAGCAGCTCTCCAGAGCTTCAAGCAGGGGGCATTCCCAGCCTCCACCTCGAGATGCCAGAGATTGAACCTGAGACCTTCTGTGTGCAAGGCTGGTGCTCTGCTGCTAAGGTACACAGCTTTTCCTCCCAGCTTATGCCACACAGTGTTAGAAAATTACCAGGTGTCATGAGTGTTTTGCAACTGGAGAGGGTCCAATTGCAATTACATCTCTGGTTGCCAGGCTGGCGACTGACATCTCCATCTGGCTGGCCCCCCTAGCTTTCTTAAGCAGGTAAGCAGAAGAGCTTATTTACTGCATTTATATCCTACCTTTTTCTCTAAGGAGTACATGGTTCACCCCCCTCCCATCTCAGTTAATCCCTACAACAAGCCAAGGTTGCCCAGTGAGCTTCATGACTGAGTGGGGATTTGAACCTGATCTCCCAGGTTCTAGTCAGACACTCTAACCACTACACCACACTGCCTTTCCAGAGTATTTCTGCTATGGGGCAGGTATATAAATTAAGCAGGTAAATAAATATGGGGAAAGCAAAATGTCGCTTAGAGAAGGATCTGAAATATTTTCTTAAAGTCTGAATTTGTATTCTAGATTATTTGATTTGATATTTTAATGTGTTGTAAACCACATATTTGTAATGTGTTGTAAACCATATTTTTCTTTAAAATATAAAGCAATATAGAAATAAAATTAATAATAATAATAAATTCATTGTTTTTAAAAAGTGCTTAGACATTCCATTGTGGCAACTGTAACCTAGGTTTGTATTACAAAAGCCACCAACATGAGTCTAGTCTTGTGAGGCTGAAAGCTGTCCAGTAGTCACATCGACTGCATCAACAAATCTCCACTCTGACAGTTTTGGTTTGCAAAACCAAACTTTCTTGAGTGATGCATCTGCACTGCCTGCACACTCCTATGAATGGTGGTCTAGAAATACAGCATCCAAGCATACCTATTCATATCAGGATTGGGGAGTAAAGGAGAAGATTGGAAGATAATAACAGCAACTTCTGTTCAGCTTTTCTTTCATGGCTGTGGAAGAATCTGACATCAAGAGATCGCAACCTTGACCTTGGTCATCAAAATAGTTTTGACTAATGCTTTACTCACTGCATCATAATGACTAGCAAATCTGTGATGGCACAAAGCTTTTGTGGACTAGAGCCCCTTTCACCAGATGCATTTTCCTGTCAATCACATTATCAAAGCCAACGGACAAGTGCATTCTCCATATTTCCAAAGGACAATGGCAGAGTTCAGTGTTGCTGCAAAGTTGCTGCAATGAAAGCCCTTTACGGTACTTCCTAAAGCACTGCAATGACCTGGGAAGAGTTTACTGCAGGGCCAGCTACACAGTCCCATCATGTGTTAAATGTGCTTGTCTGGGAAACATGCAGCACCATATGCTCAAGGGGGTTTGTTTTGGACTTGCTTTTCAAGAATAGAAGCCCCATTTTGCCACATGCCAGACTTCTTCTGAAACCAAGAACACTATCAAAAGCAATCTGTAGAAATTGGGTGTTCAGGCAGCTCAGTGTGTGTGTGTGTGTGTGTGTGTGTGTGAGTGAGAGAGAGAGAGAGAGAGAGAGAAATCTGTGTGTGTGTGTGTGTGTGCGTGCGTGTAAAATCAACAACCCACTGAGCATGCCTAAGCCTTTGAGTGCACAGGGAAGTAGCTTTTTGGATCCCAGCCAATGCGTTTTGAGAAAGAAACAAGTTGGAAGCCAGATATTTCACCTATGATTCCAAAAGGTGCTTCTTGAAATTTTGGTCCCATCCATCTGAAGGTCATTCCCCATTAATCAGACTAATTTTGGCACTGGCCAAATAGGATCATGCTTGATGTGTCTGGCCAAATTTGCTAGCTCGGCACAGCACAACACAACACTGCAGTAGCAAAGCCGAGCGAGGTTGGTGGGAATAGATTTCTCACCCTCTGCTTCTCAGAACAGCCCCTCCTTCTTCAGGCCAAGCAATAATAATAAAAGCAGCAGGCTAAGTGATAACAGAGCTGGCATGAGCACCTGCTAGTTTCTTTTCAGATGAATGCACCAGCAAAAATTTCAGCACCCAGCAGAAGTGACTTTTCAAGCTTAAGGCGTTCGGCAGTGTTATAGCTATCTCCCGAAATTCCCAAATGCCCAAGCATCAAACTATGACACGTTCACATACCAAGAGGCTTCCATTTAACAAATCAGCCTAAACAATCTGTACAGAAATACAAATGCAGCCAAACTCTGGGTCTATTGCAAGCCAATTCTACCCCATCCCTGAACTAATTTTCACATCATCTTGTGGAATGGTATTTTCCTGCATCTTGTGGAATGGTATTTTCTTACTCCTGGTTTTCCACTCCTTTCATCTATAACCATGCTGAACTTTGGGAACCTATTTTATATACCACTGTGGGTTGTTTTCCTTGGGACTGAGTACAAATACTGCATGATTCGTAACAAAATGAATATACTAACAACACTGTGAAAGGGATGCTAGTTTGTATGAAGTTTTTGCCTGTGTGGCAGCTTCCTTGTGTGAAAGCATTCTGGCTGGCACTTGAACAAAGCAGCTCATCTTTAAACTAATTTAGAACAATTTCAGCTTGTTTTTGAGCTGGATGTCTATAGACACTCCAGAACTAGGAGCATTTCCTGTACTAGTTGAATCACACACACACACACACACACACACACACACGGAAAAGAAGCTCAATGAAAACACTACTGAGGCCAAGAAGATGGTTTCTGTTTGTGGTTTCCTTGAAGCCCCAAACCGCACAAGAAAACTGGGGAAAGTTTCCAGCTAATGTGGCCTGTTCTCAAGGGAATTATCCCATTATTTTCTGAAGCTGAAAATTTCTGTTGGACATTTAATTAAAGTTCCTGCACTTCCCAGCAAGCTGCAACAAACTTTGTGGCTGGCCGAGATGCTTTAAGGTCAACAGGTGTGCTGGATGACCTGCTGAATCATCCTCTAATGCTGAAATTCAGCTTTTTTGACCCAGAACTATTCCCATATCCAATATGGGGGGGTGCATCTTAATTTAAGTGAATATATTGTGATTCTATCATTTCTCAATGACCATAAATAATGCCCTTACGCATCAAACTGAAGTCTCTTATACACACCCTTGCCTCGTTGTCCTGCCTCCTTACTCCAACGATTTCCCAATGATTCAAAGAGTTGTGGGCACATGAATGCAATTGATCTACTGCTGCTAATGTCACAACAACATTCCTGCCTGCCTACAAAGAACAACCTTTCTGTGTTTTAAGTTACTGAAGTTCCTATGGGACATTAGAGGTGTTCTTTCCCAGGTGAGAAAGTTATAGCTGTTCAAAGATCTTCTGACTTTCCCTCTCTCTCAGCTTCCAGATAATACCTCTCCTTCCCGTATTGGTGAAACAGCCCAAAAGGTGATGAATAAA